GCTGCTGTTGTTGTTGTTGTTGGTTGGTTATTTTCATAACCTCTGTCAAGGAACTTAGCCCTAAGTTCCTATTGTAATGAAGACGTAGTCGATGAACCGATAAATACTATGTATGTCCTTCAACTTTAAATCCAAAACACCAGTATTCCTTGAACGAAATTATATTGTTTGGCAATTAAAGTGAAGAAAACTACAAAGTCTACAAACAAATGTAAGTACAAATGAAGTTATAAAGTACTTTTATTCGTGTTCTTTCCACCTTCTTCCAACTTGCACACGATCGTACTATTCGGCCTTCGATTTGCCCACCAATGGCTGCCAGTTCCAATAAACAAACGTTCAATGTTCACGTCCATTGACAACCTCCGTCTTGTCTATGTTCACCTGGAGTCCTGTCTTCTCTGGCTGCTTCTTCGACCAGTTTGTCAGTTTTCACTTGTAAGTCTTCGATTTTGTGTGACATCAAACATAAATCATCCACGCGCGAAATCCAGGTCTTCTTGGTTCTTCACGTCGGTCCAGGATATCCCTGTCTTCTCGTTTCCCACTGTCTGACGACGCATAATCCAGTCCACCACAATTAGGAATATCATTGGTGATAATAAGCACCCTTGTCTGACTCCTGTGTTTACTCCAAACGCCTCGCTGAATTTTCCGTTGTGGATCACTTGACATGTGCCGTTGTCGTACAGCTGTTGAATAAGGTTGATGAATATTTGGGGTACGCCGTAGTACTCGAGTAGTTTCCAAAGCTGTCGAAGGCCTTCTCAAAGTCTGTAAAGTTGAGGTAGAGGTTTGATTGCCATTCCATGCTTTGTTCGATGATGATGCGTAGAGTTATATAATTAGATATTAATAATATATACTGACTTCGGCTTTGCTTACTTGTGAATTTCAAAGAGTCAGCTAGTAAAACTGATCGTGATTAGCTCTTCAAGCCACAGAGTTGAAATCGTCCTACTAGTCCTTACACACATAAGATTAACTATTCAGTAACTGAAACAATTTTTATTGAATTAAAGTTCCAGATTAGTGGAGATCTGAGTCCCCACGAACCGGCTACTTCGTGAAATTTTGGAATTAATTAAAATAAGTTTTCTCCAACATCACACTGAACATGCCAACTAATGTATCACTAGCACATCCTCAGTTTTTCCATAGATTTATAAAACCTATACAATAATTTTCTGATAAAATGGTCGTTTGAATTACCTTTGACCTTTCTTAGTGCAAATCTGATTCACTATCTAAGAAAAGGTTGGAAAGTGATTTAATAACCGATGAGATTTTCTTTGCGCCTGTTATAATCCTCAACTTTCAATAATAATGATAATAAAAGCTGTTAATCTAACATATGTTAGCCTTTTTTAGATCACATGACAGAAACAAAATTGATTTACTCCGATATTTAATTTAATTTAATTGTTTGAATCATTTCAGACCACAAGAACATATTAATATTTGTATTTATTGACTTAACAATTGCATGCAGATTAAACTTATTATTCTAATTATGATTATCATTATAGTTAAATAGCATTTAAATACAGTCATACAAATGGTTGCATTATTTTCATGTCAGGGTGAACGTGACACTAAAACACTAAATAGGCTTCCAGAAACTCCGTATTATTTTAATTGCTGTTGCACTGCATGTACAGAAATATTAGCAGCAGTAAGATTACGAACATAATATCAATGTAGATTTCATCATGAGCTGACATTGGTTAGAGGACCATTGGAAAACCAGCTGGGAGTACTGGACAGCCAGCTGTTTCGTCCTAGTTTGCCACTCTTCAGCACAACACACCCATTGCCACGGTTTGAACCCACGACCATTTACCCGATCCAATGGCCAGCCCATGAATTCCAACTTCTGCCAATTCACGACATAGTGCGACCGCTAGCCAATGTCTCCGGCGAGTATTTGTCCTCACACCCGACCTGCTGCACCCTACTGCTCACGACAAAATTTCATACGGGTGTCAGCTCATGATGAAGTCCTCCAACCAATCAAACAAAATTCCTACAAAAACCAGTACTTGAAAATGTAGATTTCATTTGAACTGAAAATCAGAGTTTTTGAAAACCAAAGATTACTGGACAACTATTTCATCTCAAGTATTGGTTTTGTAGGGTTTTTTTGTTTGATTGCATGGAGGATTTCATCATGAGCTGACATCAGTTAGAGAACCACTGAAAAACCCACCTGGGAGTACTGGACAGCTGTTTCGTCCTAGTTTGGGACTCTTCACAGTACGCACCCACAACCACGGTTCGAACCCAGGACCTTCTGGTTACAAGGCGAGCTCGTAGACCATTGAGCCACTGGGACCCAATCCAATGGTCTTTGAATTCTAACTGCCTCATCTTCAACCTGCTGTACCCTACTGGTCACGGCTTCCCACTAGAACCCGAGCTCGCCTTGTAACCAGAAGGTCCTGGGTTCGAACCCCGGTGGGTGCGTATTTCATCTCAGTTTGCAACTCCTTGCCACTATGCACCCACAATCCGATTACAGATTGTACCTAGGATCTTGAAGTCACGAGACAAGCCTGCTGACGTTTCACCCTCTGTCTGAATTGGAATTCAATGATCTGTAAATTCCAGCTTCGGTCATTCCGCACTATAGTATCGGTTAGTGACGAAATCAACACTGAATTTAAGTCGAAAATCCCCACAGACTCAAAACAAGGTTATAACTAATGTACAATATTATATTAGTGAATAAATTAAACTGCAAGGTATATTGTCACCTTCGCACTGATGATTCTCATCTTACTGCCTGCAATTCGAGATGGAATCCCCCTAATCCCTTTACTTATGTGTATTACAGAAAGCAAAATTAGGACAAGAAAGTCCACTCAACTAAGCATTAAACTATATGATAAAAAAATTAGGAAAAAGGGAAGTCATTGATGAAAAGGATTGTTTTTAAAACTTCTCACGAAAACTGTACGGTTAAAATAATATTTATCGAAAGATAAAATGAAAAATGCCAATAAATAACCCAGTAGATTTTATCAACCGTAATAATGATCGATTTATGACATTGTAAAGTTTACTAAGACGATTGACTGGACAGTGTTCTTCTACACTAAATAAAAGTTATATGAGAGACAGGAAGACTGGGCGAGAGAGCTATAGAGGTGGGGAATGAGTTGATGTTCAATTATTTTCCCATGTAATTATATCCACCATCTACTATCAGTTATGTAGAATGTATGCAAAAAAAAAAACTTTTCCGACAACCACATGCTGAGATTACGTAAGATCAGGGAGCAAATTAACAGTGAACTAGCATAGACTCTCTCTTCTAATACACAGTTGAACGTTTTGTTTATAGAAATACAAAAATGTACAAAAGTATGACGATTTATATTATCTATGCATTACTTTAATTATATAAAGAATCGAATTCTCTCATATAAATCCCCTGTTAACTGGCGGTAGCTAATGATCTCAGATGATTGACATATATTGACGATTCACCTTACTTGATAAGCGTTTCATTCATAATTATCGTTAATGTTTCAATGAACGGCAAAAGTTACTTCCTCCTTAAAACTTAAATACATTTAGTTACTTTGTTATTCTCCATCTGTTTTCAAGATAGGAAAGAAAAATCTCCCCATCAAAACCTAATGAATTAGTTGGGTGTCTTAATTAACATTAAACAGTATTAAATTAGAAGAGGTATGCGTAATTTGTTTTTCTGGATCACAGAATATGGCTTCAATTGACCACTGGACAGAGAAGCATTATAACTTTGTCTATTTTTAACTGGAGAAAGAAATCTGCCTGTGTTTTTCTGTGTGTTCATGGTCTCTAAGCGTGGAGAACTGGTTGGTACCTCAGTGAACTTCTGTCTAATGTTAGGTGGTTAGAGATAGCTGCCATGATGTCGTTGACCTGCAGGTTCAGAGAAGAATTGATGCAAATCGTCTGAATGTCTTCTGATGCCTAATTTCCTATTTCTCCTCCGTGTTTAGGTATGCCCCAAGGTTTCGGTTCATTGAAACAAACTCTTATCACAGTTAAATTTCCTCTTCTACAATACTGCAAAGTATGTTAACTTAATTCTCTGAAACTCAGCATTTAATTTTACTCTTTATTCGTGAATGTTATAAAAAAGAAAGCTTCATAAAATGGGCAGCATATCTTATAGAACGCCAAATTTGATAGGTATAAACATCAGACACATCTCCCCTAAGTATAGCGGTATCAAGAATTAATTCGCATTAGTTCCATACGTCTTCGGTTGCTTCTGTGTTTCACACATGAAAAGTATTCTGGCTTCCTTTTATTCTGAACAGCGCATTCATCATTCGGATTTGTATTTAAACATAATAGTTAAATGACAAGATATTCCGCAGAGGATTTGTATCTTGCGTTAGTGTTTGTGGATTGTACTTAGTGCGGAATAATCACTTAAGTAGGATAGAAAGGCTTAAACTTTTCATGAATTATAATTTGAGAAAGCATTAATAAACAGTTAAATATTAAAGTAAATTGGTGGATGGTGACTAGAAGTAGAATCCAAGATGCTCATTTCGTCCTATTTTGGACTCGTCACTGGATGTACCTGCATTCCTCAGTCAGTGAGTGATGGTGTTCCCACTGAAGCTCGAACCCAGTACCTTAGTGGTTTAGTGGATAACACTTTGGCGTTTGAAACTATGGGTACTAGGTTCGAGCTCTGGGGAATGCAGGTACGTCCAGTTGACGAGTAACAGATAGGATGAAATGTGCATCCTGGATTCCACTTCTAGTAACTATCCACCAGTTTAATTCAGGTTGAATGATCAAATATCACAGAAGCATCTGCACGAGGAGTCGAGATTCCTACCTGAGTCAGAGCACATCAGTCCAATAAATCAACGGGAAAGTGGAAATTGAATTAAATAGTTAAATATTATTCGCTTACGCATTCATACTACTCATAGTAGTATTATTTCTTTTAACAAAGAATAACTTTTGTGTATATTTTTTTATTTTAGGTTAGTAACCAATTTCCTGACACTGATATCACAAGGGTGTAAAAGAAAATTACATGGAATACTCATTTAATTGAACCTCAATTTATGGTAAGTAAATCTTGGTTTGATAATGTTCAAAATTTAATAGATTAGTGATAGATGTATCCTCTTAGACGAATTTTCATTACCAAATAAGCGATTAACGCATTATTGTAATGGAATTTCGTGGATTTCATCCATAATTTCAGTGGTTAGATTTTCGTCACGAACCGGGAAGCACTAGACAGCTGTTTCAAAGTGTCCATCGAAGGCTTTGGTTAGGGTAGAGGCATACCACGAGTTGACAAATAATTCAGGTATCACTGAATTTCAGCCCAAGTGACTGGACGGTCAGCGAGTTTGGTCTCATAACCTGAAGGTCTTGTGTTCAATCCCTGGTGGGGTCAGGAGTTGGTAGTGATGATGAGTCCCGAAATAGGACGAAACAGGGGGGGTGAAGTGATCCCTGGTTTTCAATGATCTCTCTAACTGATGATGGTTCATGATGAAAATTTAACAATTGAAATTAATCCTAAATCTGCACAAATTCTGTAACCTGTGTATCCACAATGATACTGCCGATAACTAAATATAAAAGAATTGCTCAAGGAACTTTCCCATTTTCAGGAGTAAAGATTTCAGTGCATGTTGAAATTATACAAATGTATTGATGCATTAGGAGTAGGTCTTTGTATCAGTAATTAAGATTTCTGTAGAAATGTTAGATTTAAGCATGCTCAGAACTGAAATATATTTCAAGTCCGATCAGGGTCTCATGTTAGCTACAGAAAAATTGAAAACTAAGGAGTACAGGACAGCTGTTTCGTCCTGGTTTGAGACTCCTCATAGTAGGCACTTGTGACCCTTCCGCCAGGGGTCGGAGTCAGGACCTTCCACTTACAAGGCAAACTCGTAGACCATTCGGCTACCAGGAGCCGATCCACTATATCGGGTGGGAGTCAAATACTCACTGATGACGCTGGCTGGTAGTCGCGCTAAAGCCAAAAATTAGTAGAAGTTGGAATTCAGGGGCCATTAGATTGGGTCACAGTAGCTGAGTAGTCTAAAGCTTGTCTTGTAACCGGAAGGTCCTTGGTTCGATCCCTGGCTGTTGGGGTCATGATGGAGTACTGATGAAGAGTCCCATATAGGACCTAATGTACATCCTGGATTCCACTGCTAGTTGATGTGAACCAAAATGAAATATATTTGGTTTATTTCTAATTCCATCCACTATGTGAAGAGCCGCACTGATTGAATGTCATTGATGATTAAATGTCGTTATACCTCAAAGTCAGTCGGATCCCTATAAGTTATGGTTTTCATTATGTAATACTTTCTATTGAATACTGTTTCCAGCAGTACTTCAGTTATTATTCCGTGTATTTTCTATCTTCATAAAGTAATTAGAAGAGGGTTTCTTATCAAACCTTTCTCATCTTCGCTTCTCATTTTCGTCTACTCGGCATTGTGCTGCTTTCATTCCGATTTCTTCTATACTACTCCAACTGCTTCTTTATTATTATTATTTCCTTGCGTTCCGAGTGAAGCATAGGGCTTCAACAACACATTTCCACTTTGTCCTATCTTCTGCCATCCTCTTCAGCTGGGTCCACGATTGCCCAAACTCTATCATCTCTTCCTAACACGATCTCCTCCATGTCACCCTCATAGTGACCACCCACTCGTCGCTGCCCATTTGGATTCCACTCGAGGGCCTGCTTCTTTAACCTTCAGCTATTCTATACCAAACGCCTTATCATATGAACTGGGGGATATCTTCATTTTTATGGTTAACTTTCTTTAACCGACGTAAGAACAGAACTTGAGTACTTTGACAGAGTATAATTTCATACAGTGTGACACTATTAACTACACCATATAAAGTTACAATGTGAAGGCATTTGTTTGACTGCTTAATGCACCTATGCGCTGTTAGTTTTTTCTATTTGTCTGATACATTTTGACACCATAAATCTCTGGAGATTCATATGCATCCAGTGATGAGCCCCAAATGGGACGAAACACGAGTTTTGGCCGCCACTACCCAAATATTATCCTATATCCCACTTTTATTCTACAAAAATCCTATTCATCTGATTGTGCCCCTAACAGTTTCATGAATTCTGAGAAATAAAATCCCATTCGCAGCTTCTATAATGTGGCTTCTGTAGCAACTCAAGTGATTCTGCATTTCAGTGTATTTTGTTTAGCGTTGAAATATCGTATTCAATTTGCGACAGTACTTCTCCCTTCAAAAAAACGTAAAAGGGAATTACTGAGTGAAGCTGCAATGAAGACAAGAAAAACGATGCGATCGAAGAGACTACAACTGGAGTTATCCTCTAGTAAAATTTGAGAACGACGGATAAAAGCGGGATTATTGGAACATAGGAATTTAGCTAGGGCTAGAATGATTGCCTCTGAGAAATACACTTAATATATATATTCTGAACGAAATCAATACTTTCTCGAGTTACTGTTATTGTGGTAAACACAGTCTACAGTCAGAAGCAATTATATTTGCTATCTGATGACAAATTTTCCGCATGTTTTGGTACTATTTTGTTATCCAAGCTTTTGAATTTATTGGTAGAGGTTTTGAATTTAAAATGAGCATCATTTTCATTGTTACTTCACAAAGAGGATATATATATTCAAAGATCTGTGGTTAACACACTAGTGCCTAATTAGAACTACGATCATTACTCATGACTGGACAACATTATTTCAGTGAATAGTCACTGGTAGATCACTACGCTTAGTCAATGCCTACAAAATCTCGTCCCCGCAATTTAAGCGAGTTAATGAAAATGTCGATGACTACGATGCTGAGTGATTAGATTTAAATGAAGATGGCAGAAACAACTTCACTCGGAACTGAAAACACATTCTTCTGCTGTGCGCTAAAAAGTATAAAGAGTTGTGTAGTAAGAATCACATTACCCTTTTAGAAAGAAACTCTTCAATCATTAAGATTATACAAAATTATTCTGGTTACAAATCAGAGTCAAGTGCTAAATAGTTCTGACTAGCCAGTGGAACAAAACATATTTCTGTTCGTGAAACATTGAACTCTGAACAGATCAGCTCACTCGACTTACCAGTTACCATTTGATTCTTTTAAAGAACGATGGTAACTGATTCTCTGGATTAAAGTAAAGTGTATATATATACGTACATATGTATACCAGTACTCACACTTAACTAAAACTCTAGAAATCAACTGTAAAGTAATTTAAACACGCGCGATAACTATGTCATCAAGCAACGGTGTTAATCAGTTAAACCTCTTGTAAGTAGGCTGTAATAAAATAACACGTACTCACTGAACACCTCTGCATCAGTTATAAAGAAAATCAAACGCTTTTATGTGTTTTGTCATGTTAACTTGTGAAACGTTTCTCAAACGGGATACTACGTAAGCGAGACACAGTAGACTTAATTAGTTTCAAAACTTAATTGGTGATTTTACTAGAACCACTTCTACTAATTGTATTAATACCCTAAAGATGATCTGACCAATGTGCACACTGATGATCATAGTACATTAAAAATGCATATAATAGACAATTCCTTGATGGAACACTCATCTCTTTTTTCATTTTTACAATGTGATTATACAGACTTGGTATAGTGAACTAGACTATATATTGATTAGTGTTAATATTTGAAAATTCTGTCCATTGTCGTGATCGATATTTAAACGGTATATATGACCTATCAAATGGCTTAACGAATAGATTATTAGTAGTGATAACTGGATTAAAATCCTTCTTAACAAGTGGAAATCCAGTGTAACTATCATCTTAAAAAGTAAGAATGTTTCATTTGACCAATAATTTTTCGCTAAATCAGTTGTTACCTTCGGTAAGTTTATGATTCTTAGTTGTGATGATTGTAAAATATAAATCCCATGCTTTTTCAGCCACATTTTTGGTATTTTCATCCTCTTTTATATTCCAGACCTCATCATCAGTAATTTGTGAACCATTTAATTCGGATACTCAGTATTCTGCATTGTCATCCATCGATCTGAATACTACTAATACTATAACTGTGACGTCTATTGATAATATTACTGCTACATGTGATACTATCACTCCGAATACTGCTATTACTATCTACTACTACTTTTATGAATGATGAGGAAAGTAGTATGGTTCATGAAGATAACAATTCCCCTGTACGATGTAAATCACTAGAGACAAAATTACCTGAAAAATATCAAACAAATTCATCTACAAAGAAACGTCATCGAAGTACACTTGAAAATCAGTGGAATCGTTCAACTTCATTAAATTCTTTAACAAATTTAAAATTACATAATACAAAAACCCCACTAACCTTATCATTTAATGGAGAACAAAGGCAACACGAAGAGTTTGATATTATTTCAAAGAAACGAAAAACTACTGAAAATACAGTAAGTTGATAATTAATGTTATTGATGTTACATAACTGAATTCTTTGGTTAATAATTCAAGCATTATTATTTGTAAGGAGGCATATCTTAGTGTTGTCCTCATGTGGATGCATGAACATAGATGAGATTGTATCGTAACACATTGTGACATATTCTTTCTGTGTTTACTTCAGTACCCATGATTTTGTGTTAAAGGTAAAAACGATGCCGGAGAACTGTTTTAATCCTCAGTGAAATCTTAGTTGTGGAATGTCAGTTGAGTAGATACGTCGATTGCCTAGATATCAGAAAAGAACTAAAAATGCAAAAACATGTTAATTTTCCGTACCCACTTAATAAACTTCTCCAGAACAACCTCTGTTCACCTCAGTAGGCGATCATATCTTTTGTTTGTCCCCTGAACCTTATCCACGAAGGTAGAATTCACATGGATAAGTAATATCAACAGTCAGAAGCTTCATAGATTGATATTGTCAATCCACCTAATCCTACCTCAGTAAAAACATAAGAAGATGGGACAAGTATGTACAATACGTTACAGTTACACAGGTCGATAAAAACACTACAAACTTACCATTTAGCTTACCTTCTTTAATTCAGATTCTTTACCTTACATCGCTTACATGTTCCTCCATAAGAAATTCTCAGTATAGGAAGATAAAGATACAAGGAATATTATCTGACGGTATCTGCAGTTTCTCTAAGTTATTCAAATGTACTGGATAACTGTGTCCAAACTCCAGTTTATTTATATTCTTACGTACCGCAATAATCTAGTAACATGGCGGATACGGCCCAGCGGTATATTAAAAGATGACCCGAACAAGTATATCTGCATCAGAAATAAGATATCCTATTAGTAATAAAGGTGTTATACAAAAGGGTATATTGCTGAATACCAAATATGTAACCAATCATGTGTCAGAGTGGCAGTAAATCGGTTCTCTAAGCTGAATCAAATGGATACACTACTCAAATCCAAACGAGTGAAGTGATCTTGGCGAAGTTCAACAATAGCGTCCCAGGAGTGCGAACGCTCCAATGACCTGGAACGCATGCCAGTCGTTGGCTAACGGCACCTGTTATTATGATAGCTGAAATATCAACGCTATTCACCAACTAAGGAGCAAATTTCACCCAGATCACGTTTTTAAGTACTGTTCGGACAATGTGTTAATAGCTCGTTAGGGTTAAGATCAGGGTTATAATTAGGATTAGGGTTAGGTCTACGGTTAGGATAAGGGTTGTAATTAGTGTTAGGATTAAGGTTAGGCTTAATGTTAAGTTTAGGGTTAGGGTCAGGATTAAGGTTAGGGTTACCATTATGAATAGATTTAGAGTTGATGACATTTATTTTTTTTTACTTATCCACATTTCCCTGGTAATTAGTCGTCAATCCTCTTACTGGAAACCATAGTAATTCAACCGAGGGCTTTTGGGGAAGACTACGCAACTGGATAAGAGAGATAAACAATTCAGAAAAATAGGTCATCTTTAGTTACCTCGGTGAATACAAGCACAGAAACTAGTCTAACTTAGCAACTGATACTCCTCATTATAACTGGGACGTATTTTTAAGTCATGTCAGAGAAAGATAACCTGTTTAATGTGTTTTCTAGCATTTTCTTGTCAATATACATCATTTTTTGGGCAAAAATTCCTCATTTTTATGATTGGTCCAGGTGAAGGTCACTCGTGCGTTCGCACTCCTGGGACGCTATTGTTGAACTTTGCCGCGATCTTTTAGTGTTTGGACCGCTTCTATCTATCTGTCTGGTTGGTGAGCACTACCGATCGACGTCAGTGGTTTTCAACTATTCATGCCAACTAACTGTGAAGACCACCCTAGTAATTCACTTTCTTTTCTTATTGATATTTATGGAATCAAGTTAGACAAACATTACGATATGAATATTTTTTGTTTCCAAAGAAAATACCGGTGAATTTTCAAATGGAACTGTGTAATTTGTAAATGAGAAATTCAATTATAATTTCTCACCTACTCGAATAAACAAAGCATGATTGAAGAAAATAAAAGACAAACTCAGAGAGGAAAATTGTCTTTACCGACGAAATCATCTTCACAGGATGTACAGTCGTATTTATATTTACCAAAAATGAATAGTAGTCTATTATTGAGTAATAAGGGGGTGACGACTGTATAGCCTGTGAAGATGATTTCGTCCACAAGGAAAATTTTCTTGATGACTCAATGGGTATTTTCGGTAATTTGAAGCATGACTGACTGAGTTCGGATTGCTACACTTCATAAAAGACACATTGGAAAAGAGGGGAAAAGAATTGCAAAGAAAGCATAATTAATTCAAATGTGAGAGAGAGCGAACAACTCGATGGAGAATAATGAGAATTTAGTGGATGTGAGGACTACAAAAAGTGAATGCATCTGTAGTGATACTGCTCAAAATCAATCTCAGTGGTACAGATGTATTCATACCCGTTAAACTTTCATGTTATTCCATGTTACTATTCTTACTCTCTTACATTTCTCTTCATCAAAGTTCTTTTGAATTCCTTTTCTCTCTCTTTTGTTTACCTTTGTGAGTTTGTCAGCTTGAACTACTGCACTACTTACGGGAAAAGTCCCGCGTTAAAAACGCAGTCAGCCAATTAAGATTTACATTACCCCAGAAACGAGAATTTGTATAGTGCTTCACTTTAGTCGTGACAAATATTCAACAGGAATACTAAAAGTGAAATAGGGATCAAAACGAAGCTACCTACCTAAAAGTATAGTTTATAATGTTTTCAGTATACAAGTGTGTTATCAGACTGCAAATGATACCATTTCTCCAATTATAAATGCGTTACTCAGTTGAGTAATACAATAGTAGAGTCAGATGCAGTAACTGACTGACTGACTGGTTTCAACGTAGAACTTTGCACACATGTGCAACAGTTAGAGTTGCCACACTCCATGTAGCACACAAAACAAGAGAAGAGAGTAATGAGAGATAAATAAACAGAGATATGAGGGAAAAAGAATAGTAATATGGAAGAACAATAGAATTTTATTGGATATTATTAATCACTAAGAGTGAATGCATCTGCGCCATCATTAAGAACGATTTTGAGCCATATGACGAATTGTCTCTGACCATTGGTTTTTACCATCCCGAGGACCCTAACCACGAAACCAGTCTACACCTTCCTACCTGGCTGGTTGAAACTAATTGTTGTGGATTTCATTGACTGGTGAACCCATGTTTTGGTTTGACCACCACTGGCTAACTCTTTTCCAACCTGATCCTATGTCACCTAAGATTGCCCGTCGGGGAAGGTGATGGCTAGGGATGCATGCGTAACACATGTCCTAACCACCTCAGTAAGTGTAAAGAAATTGTTGGGCTACTCAACATAATAAAAGTTACCTATTAGTATGCCCTTATCAGTTAGATTTACCTATAAGCCTATCAGAGATTTCAGCTGGTCCTATATGACTTAACTCTCTTTTGGATGGAATATCATCACTAGAATTTAAGATCGTTCCAACTGATGTGAATTACGCATATTTTTATGCTCTTTATGAAGAAAATAAACATTCAGTACGGAAAAAGAACGTGTTTTTTTCCTAATCTATCAAAGATAACATGTTTGCTCAATGTACTTTTAACTGATATTAAGCATTTCAGATATTTGTGTTATGAGTTTGTTTAAAGTGTGAATTGTATGAACACGTGAAGTAGAAACACTTTTTTTTTCTGCAGATGCCTCTCATCTCATCTTGTTTTATTAATCCGTTAATTTATATGGTGTGATTTTTGTAAATCTCTAAAGTGTTTTCTAATTTTTATAAGAATCATTAATATCAAAGTGATCATATCATTTTGCAGATTAGATAGATAGAACACTATGAAACAAAGGCAATTTAAAAAAAACTTGTAAGTAGCATGTTATCTGGTGTGCTCAATCAATAGATTGTGATTAACACAATTAGAACTAGACAAGAGCATTAATTATCATTCGTTCACCAGTTGTTATAGTTTATATTTTTTTCAGATGACGAGTTTCAATGAATGGACCCTATTTGATTCAAGTTTATTTTAATTGACTGATATAGCAATGTAAAAATGTGCATAAAAGTACATTAGTTCAAGTCGCTACACTTTAGTAAAGCTCATATAAGAGTAGAAGGGAGAAGTGTAATAGAATCACACTGGAAATATATATGTCTGGGAAAGAGAGAATAAATATTTGATAACAAATAATCTGAAAGATAATATAAGACTGAAAAATTCCGCTTTATTGTAAACGATTTCTTGCTGTTTAATAAATAGTCTCTAACCTCTGATTCTTTGCACTAAAAAGGATCTTATCTAGGTAGCCTACGTATCTCAGATAAACAGTCAGTAGCTTAATGGATTGAAAAAAATAGTTTGGGCTAACTTTCAGATCTGATCCCATTTCAGCTAAGATTACTTGTAGAGTAAGGTTATTATTGTTCGATGTGCATAACACATGTTCTAGCCAACTCAGTCAATGGATCTTCACAACCTTATCTACTGACTTTCTATACTTGCCTAACAAGAAGGTTAACCTCACTAATTTTTTTCTATAGTTTGGTTTGTAAGGATTAGTTATGTTTTACGAGTTGATCACGGACTGATAACAGTTAGAGAACCATTGAAAACAAGCAGGGAGTACTGGACAGCTGCTGTTTCATCCTAGTTTAGGAATCATCGGCAGTGCGCACCCACTGGGATTCGAACCCAGGACCTTCCGGTTACAAGGCAAGCTCGTATACCATTCAATGGCTCATGAATTCTAACTTCTACCAATTCATGATTTAGCGCGACTCCAAACATTGTCGTTGGTGGGACATCCATCCACACACGTGACATCTAATTGGACCTCACTGGTCACGACTTCTCACTAGAACTCTAGGAAGCTCCATCCTGTAGCAAGTCACTAGCGAGCATCAGATTAATTTCCTATAGTTTGGTTTGTAAGGATGGATGTCCCACCAACGACAATGGTTGGAGTCGCGCTAAATCATGAATTGGTAGAAGTTAGAATTCATGAGCCATTGAATCGGGTCCTAGTGGCTCAATGGTATACGAACTTGCCTTGTAACCGGAAGGTCCTGGGTTCGAATCCCAGTGGGTGCGCACTGCCGGTGATTGCTAAACTAGGATGAAACAGCAGCTGTCCAGTACTCTCTGTTTGTTTTCAATGGTTCTCTAACTGATATCAGTCCGTGATCAACTCGTAAAACATAACTAATTTTTGCCATTGTCCTCTATCCATTGACAACAATTAAACGAAGGTATCTATAGAAAAAGTTCTTTCATTTCTCATATCTCCTGTAATTAGCTATTATGCCTAACAGCTGTAGAGTAAAATGGGGCTAAATACTTTAGGGTGCATATTGTCTTTAATGGATCACTTTTACTGTAAGGTTCACCGGGGTTATAACCCAGGACATTCTGGTTACAAGACGAGTTAGCCTGTAGACCACTAAGACACTGGGACCCCATCTGATGGTCAGTCCATGAATTCCAACTTCTGCCAGTTAACGATATAGCGCAACCGCTAGCCAATGTCTCCGGTAAGTATTTGTCCTCACATCCGACCTGCAAAATTTCATATCATATAAAACTATTCACAATTATCTTCATTTCTATTTTTCTGTTAGGTTATTCACACTGATTCAAACGATTCAGAGCAAGCAGTTTACAATCATGAGCTTAAAACTTTCGAATATGGCAGTGTTTATGATTATCCTCAACCGAAACCTATAAATTATCATCATCATCATGAACGACAGCAAAAGAATCGACAGATAAGCACGAATGAAAACTTTGGTGAAATTAATTCCTCCTGTGAACAAGTGGAAAATAAGGAAGCCTTTAATGAAACACACCACAATCGAATTCAACTGAAACATTTATCTTCCCCTTCTTCATCATCATCTTCAGTATTATCACTCAGAAAGAATTATTCAAATGAAAATCAAATAAATGCATTGAATGATTCAACAAATGACACTTGCAGTAATAATCCTGAAGATGAAGGAGATAATGAATTGTCATCAGCCTCTGAGCTTACTACAGCTGCTTACAATGTGAGTTAGCAGGTTCTTAAATGTTTTGCAATTTAATTGAGCACATTTTATTGATTAAATATAAATATGATGAAATATATTAGTGAGTAGGATGTGTGACTGCAACTTATCCATATTGACCTGTTGGTTTCATTTATAATTTCATTACTTGTGGAAATTTATGAGAATATTTGAGATTTATTTGATGTAAATCTGATTATAGTCAGGATGCCCATTGAAGTGGCCAGACTGGGTAGGTTATCCTTCACCTGATTTGGATTTGTACAACGAGTGTCGAATTTTAAACACAATGTTGTTCATTAATGTCCCTTTTTAAAGACCATCAACTTCATCTGTGAATCTCTTATGGAAAATGATGTAGACGCAGGTATACCACGTCAAACACTGCGGGAACTGCTACTGCGTTTTATGATGAATGTGCAGTTTCAGTTTAACAACGGATTTTACCGTCAAGTGGAGGATACAGTAATGGACTCCTCTCAAAGTCCTGTCTTAGCAGATATGTTTATGACATAATTAGAGAATCGTCCACTCATAACGTAGTCAACGAACCCTTGTTCTACTGTAGATAAATGGACGACACTTTTATCTTGCATAATAATAAAATTGATGCCGACGTCCTTCTCCAAAAGTTCAGTATGGCTCATCTACAAATTCAGTTCAGATATGAAAAGGAGAATGACAACACCTCATAGCTTCCTGATGTCCTGCTAATAAGAAGGCAAGATGGCAGTATTAAGAGGGGTACTTTCCGGAAGAGGTCATGCGCTGGACAATATACCCATTTCAAGTCGTTTGTTCCTCTTGCATACAAACGAAATCTTATCAGTACTCTGATGTACCATGCTAGAAAAATCTGCACAACCAACACTCTAGACGATGAAATAAGGGAAACGGAAAACTTTATATGAGAACGGACAATCCGAAGAACTTTTTAAAGTCTCCATGAGGAGAACAGATAGAAAGAAATACCTGCAAACGGTGCAGATGAAACATATATATATATATGTTTTTACCGTTTAAAAGAGACACAGCAATTGAATTGGTGGCATCGAAACTTCAAAAGATAATAGTTAAAACATTCTTTACCGCTACATTGTGTTTAAAATTCGTCGCATAATTCCCCAGAGTCTGGCCACTTCAATGTACATTTATAAATCTGACTGTTCATTTAGAGACAGTTACATAGGTAGAAGGACTCGGCAAGCCCACCGTCGCCTTCTGGAACACTGTCCAACATGGTTAGGTAGAGGAGTCGTAAAATCAATCAGAAGTTCCATAATGGCAAATCTGGTGGATACGAAGCACAAGATTGACAAAAATTCTGCTTTTAAAAAACTATACACAGGATGTTCAATCAAATGTTTTTATTATCATTACTTTGCTCTCCAAGTGAAACACAGGGCTTCAAGCTTGAATTTTGAAGTTCCAGCAGTGATGGTGTTGTTTTTTACAGACTGGGTTAACTAGCCTCACGTTCAACCTTTCTTCTTTACCGGGATTATTAATAGCTACGCAAGGTTTAGGGGTGTGTTGGCCGGGAATCAAACCCAGACCACATGAATGGTTGGAGAGCATTCTACCATTGAAACACAGATGCACTTCTATCAAATCGATGCTGCATGGTTTTTGAACTTAAAAATGAAGAGGAATTGAACAAATTCAGAGGATACTCTGGAATCACAATAGTAGTCTAAAAGTTTGATTCCTATTGTTCTTTAAAGCTCACAGTTGATGGTAAATGCATAAAAACACTTTTTGTAAAAAAGACTACCACAAAAATAAAACACAAGAATTGAAATATATATACAATAAAAACATTCGTTAAAGAGATCTGTAAATGTCTAGAGTGCCTGAAAAATCCAAAGACCTGGAAAATCCAGAGATATTTTTCATGGTTAAAAGTACGTCCCACTCGTTACTGTCTAATATTTTCTGTGCGTCTATTTGTCATAAGTTCACTTGCTTTTTTAAAACACAATGAAGGAATAGAACAAAAAAGACGGAGCATGCGCTTTATGATGGGCATCATAATATCGTGAATCACTGAGAAGATTCACACCGTAATTTGGATCTTCAATGAATTTTGTAAACATTTTCAATTCATTCAATGATGCTGGTTTAGGTTTCCAATGTAGGAGTGACAAACAGATCTTTTACGAAGCTCTGGAAAACTCTGATGCATTTTTTTATATCATGAAATAAAAGCCTTTACAATTTCTTCGTAAATAAACTATTTGATTTGAGTAGTGTGATGATAATAATAACATTTAAACACTGAATCGAACTGTATAACCGTGTGAGAATCCCTGGATTACAGTCAGCAAGATGTGTTGTGACTAAGACAATATTGGATTTAGGTTTGGCCTACTGTGACTTCAATGCTCGACAATATACAACTGATCCCCCGAGTACTATTCTGACACAGAAGACTGACTGCGAAGGAAACGACTAATCGTTCCAGGGAAAAGACCATAAGACCAGAAATTACAGCTCATTATATAACTTATTTCTAATGACGAGTAAATTACAGGTTTAACAATATGAAAGTTATGTTCTGACTAGACAGCAGTCATGACAGATAGTATTCTCAAAATTGTTTGGAAAGAACAGTCATCGGATGACTTACATATCCGGATAGACAGAAGGAGGTACGCTTATATACAGGTACGGGAACTTGTTCTTAAAGATAGGCACAAAGATAAGTCTCTTTAGACAGTCCGACATTGTTCTCTTCAGAAGATCAACGGTAAAGTCACATTTGAAATCCAAATTCACATAGACTATCTCCTTCGTACTGAAGTAAATTGAAGCATGCGCTGAAGATGTCACCTAGTAGGGTGATGAAAGCTTCGCAAATTAACTATCCAGCTCAGAGAACACAACCATATCAAAATCATCCACCTGAGCTACAAATCTTCTCTATCATATCCAAACTTATTGAGTAGTGTAAAATAGTGTCCTTACTTTATTAACTTATTTGTTCATAGAAGTTCAGTTTTACTTAACATCAAGTCGTATATTTTTGTCGTATCTGTCATTTAAGTTCTAACTCATGTAAAAACCCTAACAGTTTGATTATTCTCCAAATTTCAGCTTTTTTGATGAGCTTTTTATACCATTCTAAGAGTCATTTCTACTACTGCTTCACATGCGTGACACTCTCAGGTAGCAGAAAGCCACTAGAACATGCACAACCTGAACCCCAGTTGATCACTGATACATAACAGCATATGTCTTCAGCTTTCCGTAATCTACAAACGTTGAGTTTTTAAGACGGAAGCAGAGTATTTTTTTCGTGGAAATGACACGTAATTCTGCCTGTCTCACCACTTTAACACAATGTCGCTTTACATCTACTTCACCCTTAAGTAATAACCTGCTGAGTCATTTTACCATAAAAATGTCTATGGTTGTTGCTTACTAAATCTTGAATTTCTTTATTGCAGAATTTTGTACGTCGAGTAGTTGACGATACATTGGATCGAACGGTTACATTTTGTGAACAACCAAGACATGCTATTACAGCCTTAGAAAATATATGTACAAGAGCATGGCCTCAGCTGGAAGTGAAACGTCATCGTAATAGAATACGTGCTTATCTCAAAGCCTGCAGGCGTAATTCAAAAAAGAATAAAGGTCAGATCAATATGAAAGAACCACCAGCAAATGGTTTATCAATCGAAGCTAGACAACTTGTATCTAAAGCATTATTGTTAGTAGCAGATGATTTAGACTACTTAAAACAGGTGAGTAGGTGTCAAAGAAATACTAAATTTTGATTTGATTTTTTCTTTCATTTGCCATACGATGGGCTTATTATCCAAAATCATCAATCAACATCCTAATCACTTCATACTACGGTGGTTATTAGCATTTTTTGAAATGTACTATAAAGCAATTCCCTAACAAGCATTTAGTTTAGATTTTAGAGTATTTAGAGTGTTTCAAGTTCATGACAAGTTATCCCTCCATTGACGCCTGATCACTGGTGTAAATTCTGGTATTATAGATTCATAGGATTCTTCACTAAAAATAATTACTGTTTTAATAACACGTTGTAAAGCAATATCATTCCTGGAGCCCAGTGTTATTCTTCTTCTTGACTGATGTTATTTTGGATCGCGAACTACTATCGGTAGAATTTTCATGATAAATTTTAATTCCTACTGAACTCTTTGAAGGAATTTGGATTCTATGTACAATATAATTTGGATGATTATGCCACTGTACTCATTATTTCCCCTCTCTATTCAACTAGTCACAAATGGAATATCCAAATTTCCATTTACGTATTTAGAAAAACAACGGATTGAGCGAAGAAATGTATTCCTTTTCAACTAGTTCCTCATCATCGGCTCTACACTAATAATGTATACTTTTTTACATCAAAATGTTTTACCAGTCAAGTGGTTATTCTAGTTAATCAGTTTTAGGTATAGGGGGGGGGGGTAAAATTAAGAGGTTAACCGTTATCGCGACAAATAACTAACAAGTGTTAGTAACAATGTGGTGAGAGCTGTCTACTAGCCAAATTGGTAGACAGTAATTTACGTCAATATTTACGTTCCCAAGATTTGTCGTGAGAAAATGTGAACAAAGATTGATTCAAAACCGACCACAGCAGACTTTGCGTAGGCGGATGCAGTTAACATATAGAGGATTTGACATTCAAGAAACAGTCACAAATAGATGAAAGATTAACTTTACGTGAGAAACAACCAATCGGAAGACTGTGTTTGTTTACTTAAATATCCATAGTAATGTACATGAAAATATATAAATATGCGTTGATTTCCTTAATAAATGATCTGTTGCCTGACTCTTGCCTTCTGTCGTTACAACAAGATATCTAAGTTCTAAAAGAATGGTGAAAATTAATTACGGAATTGAGATAAGATGCTTTTTAGGCATTAGTAACAAGTTATTACGTAATCAAGAAATTTGTAAAATGACGATGACTAAGAAGAACAGGATGACTCATAAGAATTACGCAAAATACAAACGAGTTAATAAAATTTACTAGAATAGTAAAAAATACCAAAGTCAAAAGATAGTTACAAGGGGAGGGGAAAAACTTGTTTTTTAAAAAGTTTAATACGTATTATGTAGTTGGCCACGGCAAAGAAAGGGGCTGTACAAATTTCTTTTCAACACGCAGATTTGGCTTGTTCAGATGAATTCCGCTTGCCTTTGCTGTATGTAAAAGTCGTACTCGTAGACCATGTGAGAGGTTAGGTGATATTCGATAAATAACTTTAAAAGCTTTGTTAGAGTCGACTTGATGTCCAGTATCGATGATATGAGCTAGTATTGAGCTGCGTATAGCTTTATTCGGACCCTTGCCAAACCAAGATGTTCAGAAATTTGACTATGAACTTGCCTAATCGTACGCCCAATGTAATTGGCTCCGCACGAGTAGTTAAACTGGTAAATACACGTATAAGAGGCGAAACAGGGCAGTTTGTCTTTATTTCTTGAATTAAGTATTGGTTGGCTAGTGAATATACAGTATAGCTTAGTTGCACTGAAATTCTTTTTGAAAGTCCTTCTCAGACTGTGTGATAAGATGTCACTATTGACATCACCCGTGAATTGTAATCTTAGGAACAGTGTGCACCCTCGACTTTCTACTTCCTGATTTCATGTGTTTGTTCAAGAATTTAGTCGGATACCCGTTTCTACTTGGTAGATCACGAATATTAGCGAGTTCTTCGTTCAGTGTCTCATTTGAACAGATAATTCTAGCCCGGTGAACCAGACATCTAACCAGATTACGTTTGTATTGTAGAGGCACGAAACTCAGGAAGTGAGTATATTATCCATTGGAAGTAGGCTTCCGATGCAATCGTCCACATATTGTTCCGTCTGTTCACTTAGTCATTAGGACATCCAAAAACGAGAGAGTCATTTTCTTCTTCTTCTTTAGTGAAGCTTATATATATACATATGAATGAATGTATCTAAATACTAGTTCACTCATAATCCTATGTCTTTTGACTAACTTAGCAACATACTTGGAACCTTCAGTTGTCATTGAAAACCAAAACATTAAGATCTTGATCTACAAATGTCCTCTATTGATTAAGTCTGTCTATTAGTAATTTTCAGAGACTGATTAGTGAGCAAAGAATATTTTTTTCTGTAATTGCTTCGTCAGATTCCATGGTTATATGTTTACAATAATTAAAGAATTACAGTTATTGACTACCTGATCCAAACAGGTTATAAAGGTGGCACTGAAGAATCCTTTTCTATCATTTATCGGGTACTAGATGAATTACCAAAGGCCTCCAGGTGCTGAATAATTCAAATATCAGAGGCAATTACAATTCTCCTCAAGCAACTGAAGTTTTCTTTTTGATTATAGCTTGATTCCTTGACTGTACAAGTATGGAATTTTCAGCATGTGATATTGGTAGCCCAAATTTTACAGGCCGACCACTGATATCAGGTGTGCGTCGGCAGGGGGTCGAACACCGGAGCATGTGCATGGTCGGCGAGCGTCCTAACCACTGTGCCACCGACACACAAAAGGAACAGATCCAGAAACACTCTGTGTAGCAATAGGCGACTATTGCTACCCTGGCCTGCTTTAGAAACTATAAATTCAGAAATGCTGTATTACATCACATCATTTTAAGTATAACCTTCCGTCCTGTGTATATAAATTCCCTAACCTGTTATTACTGCACTTATAAGCAAACGTTTTGTTTCCTTAATTAATCCCTAATAATTCATTTACATACTGACACACACACAGACGTAACCTTCTACCCCATTTTCCTCCCTATTTTTAATATTATCATTCATCCATATGAAGTTTATAATGAGTATAAATAATATTCAATGTGAATTTCAGTCATAAGCAATCCTTACTAACATATTCATTGTTAATAATGACCATTTACTTTTGAAATATGATGTCCATTTCAGTGCTACATTTATGCATACTATTAAAAATACATTTTTTTGAACTATAATCTACTAACGGTCTATTCGCAGGTACCTCTTGGAATTCTAATGGCAATGATTCGATATTACTTTTAAAAAACTGTAGAACCTGATGAAGAAGTTATCGAGAAGGATATTCTTTGTTCACTGATCAGTTTTTCTTGGAAAATGCCCTTTATGTTGACTTTGTTGTTTTTAAAGTGATGTTGACATATTTGCTAAAGTAATTTCTTCTATTTCTATAGGCAATGCAGGCAGAAAGGACAAAAAATAAATCAATATTCTCTACAAAGATGGATGGCTCACGTGAAAAATCCTATTTCACAGGCACCAATAGTAATCATAGCAATACAAGATCACCGAATCATTCATTGAAAATGGATTTATCAAACCCTTCCGATTTTGGAGATGTATACAGTCAAAAACATGATCTGCCTACTTTATTAGAAAATAGTAATAACAGTAGTAATGAGAAATTAAAATCTAACAAAAATCTTTGGAATACACCACACAATTTACTCAGTGACATAATGACTAATAGTAGTACATCAGCATTCCCATTTACTGATCCATTGCTATGGTCTAATTCATTATTACAGAATACAAATTTAGATTCAAATTATCTAGCAGCAGCTGCTGCAGCCCTGGCTGCTGTTAATCCTGCCAATATATTGAAACTGCTCCCTGCAGCGTTACAATTAAACAACCATAACAATTCACTGAATTTATCATCATTTAACTCCAACACTAATAGATCAAATAATAATAATAATGAAAATAGTAATAACCTAGGCACGAACAACCATCATGAAGGAAAACATGATAAGACAACACATGAACGACATCCTACGCGAAAATTATCACATACATGGTGTGACGATGAATTTACAAATAATCAACATCAGATGAGCAACTGTAGTGTTAATAATGATAATAACAATAATAATAACAATTCTACAAGTCCTAATTTAAGTGAAAATAAAAGCTTCTCATCAGATTCACATTTCAGTGTAGGATTAGAAACGAGTAAACATTCGAGTTTCAATAATTTTGGTGGTGGTTCATACTTATCAGATTGTTTTAACAATAATGATGCTGCCTATTGTTCACCGCCTCCAGCACATACCAGTTCAATTCAGTATAGTCCAACAATTAATCAAGCTTTGGACAGGCTAACAGATACAGGACTATTAACTCATGTAGGTTTAAGGTGTTTATTATTTTGAAAACAGGACGTTTTTATGCTTTTATCGATCATTATTATTTCCTCGGGTTCTGAGTGGAATATAAGGCTACAGCAGCTCATCTCCACTTCACTCTGTTCTCTAAAGTCTCTTTTATCTGGCTTCACAACTTCCCACAAACTGTCATTTCTCATTACACGATCTCCTCCTTGTCACCCTCGAACCTAAGACCACCTCGTTGTTTCTCATACTGGTTTCACTTGAGAGTTTGTCTGGCGCGTGATGTCAATCGAAGGTCCTCTCAGTCTATGTCTAATCCATTTTCACTACCCTCAGCATATTTTTTGGGCAGCAGGTTCTTCGTTGACTGAGTTCCTGGTTGCTTATCCTTTCTGGCCGGCCATTTGATCTTCGATTTGGGAACGGAGACAGTTGTTGATGAACATTTGCAACCTGTTAGGAATGCTCTTTTTAACGCTCTGGCCAAGTCTTTGAACCATATAAAAGCAGTGACTGACTTGAAATTAGTGTAGAACATCCAAATCTTGTTCCTTATGTTGAGTGCAGTAGAATTCCACACTGATTTCAGAGTAATGAACACCTGTTTTGTTTTTATGATCCTGACCTTGACATTCTCATCCGTACAGGCTGTAGTTGAAATGATGCCGCCTTGATTAATGAACGAGTTAACTCCATTTGGATTTCTCACGTTGGTAGTGATTGATACGTGTTGTTATTTTTGGTTAGGCATCTTCACTTGAAGTCCTGTCTGTCGAATCGTTGTCGTTACTAACTTTTCATGGGTTTAGTGAATGTTGGTATTAGGTTTAAACTAACAGTGATTTGGCTATCATGTTGCAGACACGTCCTGTTGATGAGTACCAGCAAAAATGTAGCCTAATTCCCCGGCTTCCAGTCGATTTTATTTTTCTAGTGCATTTAGATTAAATTTACCTACACATTTGAGCTACTCATGAGTAGCTTAATAAAGAAAACAAAAGTAATCTAGAAATTATTTATGTATACTTCTACTTTCAAGTCTCACTCGTTGCACAAGAACTGGCTCTAGTAGTTCAGTAGCTTATTGGATCAGTTTCTGGTATTTGGAGCAATGGCTTCTGGATTCACGTATGGGTGGGATACCATTACTCACTTGGAAGAAAGTTCATCTATCTGATGAGTCATAAATAGAATGAAACGAATCTCCTGTATTCTACTACTAGCCGCCATCAAGCGAGTAAATTCAAATTAAAAATAATTTAGGCTTACACGAATCGATGCAATTTTCATTCCACTTTATTTCGCGCATCTATAAGTCCTTACTCAATAAAAAATAGGTTATTAAACGATTGACACGGCAATAAATCACATTTTTAAGAACTTCAGCTGATTGATAATGTTCAAGTGTTGGTTTGTAGGGATTTGATTGGTTACGGGATTTCATCATGAGCTGACATTGGTTAGAGAACCATTGAAAAACAAGCTGGGAGTACTGGACAGCTGTTTCGTCCTAGTTTGGGACTCTTCACAGTACGCACCCACCGGGGATCGAATCAAATCCCTACAAACAAACATTTGAATATCGATGAGATGTTCACTAGTGACTTGCCCTATTCAGGTAGGTAGGTACCTGGGGTTCTAGTGAGAAGCCGTGACCAGTAGGGTGCAGCGGGTTGGATTTGGGGTGAAATACTCGCTGAAGACATTGGCTAGCTGTCGTGCTATGTCGTGAATTGGCAGAAGTTGGAATTCATACACTGGCCATTGAATCTGGTCCCAGTGGCTTAATGGTCTACGAGTTAGCTCTCCTTGTAACCAGAATGTCCTGGGTTCGAACCGTGGCGGTGGGTGCGTACTGATGAAGAGTCTCAAACTAGGGCGAAACAGCTGTCCAGTACTCCTTGCTGGTTTTCCAATGGTTCTCTAACTAATGTCAGCTCATGTTTGATAATGACTTTAATTGGTGGATGGTGACTAGCTGTGGAATCCAGGATGCACATTTCGTCCTATTTGGGACTCGTCATCTGAACGTACCTGCATTCCCCAGTGAGTGATGGTGTTCCTATCGAGGCTCGAACCCAGTGCCCATAGTTTCAAACCCCAAAGCGTTATGCACTAGACTACTTGGGCCACGAGAGCCACCTCTTGTGCAACGGATCATATTATTTATTTAATTGAATTTTAGATTTTCCCGTCGATTGATTGGACCGAAATGCTCGGTTCTAATTACATGCCCAGACATCGTCGAAGTATCTGCACAAGAAGCCGACATGTCAACCTGAGACCGAACATTTCGGTCCAATCAATCGACGGGAAAATCTAAAAATTCAATTAAAGATTGATAGTGCCATTAAATAAGTAATGAACTAATCTCAAATGAGAGGTTTTGATTAGAAGAAAAAATTTTTGGGACATGAAACTGAAGTCAGATGATGTAACTTAATGCTTCTCCGGGTATTAAAGTCTAGTGTTCCTGATATGACAATAAAAAGGGTTATAGGTGAGAGAGAAACATCCGGCCGACGATTAAGCATCATATAAACATTTACACTTTATTTCTGTGGTGGGATACCACTGTGCCAAGAAACACCAAGTGTAGAATTTAGGGCAAGAAATAATGGAATCTGAATGAAGTTTCAAACTTTCTACATATCCTTCGCTTATGTTTCACTTCTAAGCCTATCAAATCTCTCTTCAATCAAGTTGACATTTGTCTATTAGATTTAAACACGATAGCTTGTAATTTCAAACACATTCAGGTATCAGTAAAATTCGAGAATGGAAAATATGCTTAAATGATGACCAATGATGACTACATCAATTTTCACATTAATCTGAGCTGAAATTTGTCTGTTACTTAGTTTCTGGCAATTTTTTCCGTGTAACAGGTTTTGTATATATTGTAGTGTATGCAGGTTTCACTCTCGTGGCATAGTGAATAACACTTCAGCCTTTGAAACAATGGGCACTGCATTCGAGTCTCAGTGGGAACACCATCACTTACTGCGGAATGTAAGCACATCCATCTGACGAGTCCAAAACTAGACAAAATGCGCATTCTGGATTCCACAGCTAGTCACCATCAACCAAAATAATAATAATCCTCAGACATCGTTGAAGCATCCACACTGAGAGCCAACAATGTCAACACAGTTCGAGCATTTCGGTCCAACATAACTAACCGACAGGAAATGCAAATAAACTAAAAAAAAGACATTTTATATGTATTGTAATATATGCAAGTTTTCTTTATAACTATAATACTTAGATAATGACCAGGTTTTCTTTTATTTATATTTCAGGATGATGTTGAATTTTTCTTACAAAATCCAGAAGTCACAAAAGCAGCCATCAAACAAGCTCGTTGTCAATCTTATCTAATTTTAAAGAAGATTGAAATTGTTGAAAATCAGATCAAATCTTCATTGAACAGTTCAAAAATAATGCCTCTAAACTTGTCTTAGCTACATATGCATGCAAAGGTTATTATACATACATAGGGTATACTTGTTTACTGAACTCCCTCGAAGTTTATTTGAAAAAAACATGTAAAAATAAAGAAGTAACACGCTTATGTCAGCATTAATGTATTAGGACACCAAACAACAACAACAACAACAACAAAAACAACAATAATCATGAGAAGCAAATTAGAAACTGTGATTGTTTCACTAGTCACTCAGTTATTTGTTTTCAGTATACTACTTTTGAAAAATAACAATCATATATTATTAATAACCAAAAAATTGTTTAATGTGTATATTGGTTGCTCATTGGTTATTAAATTGTTATTTAGCATATTGAACAATTTAATTTTGAATGTGATCAACTGATATTTACTTATAAAAGCGTATGGGAGATTGTAATTTCTATGAATTAGTCAAAGATAGCTAAAATGGTGTAAATGTGAAGAATTCCATAGCGAAGACTGGTACAGCATTATTGTGAGATTACACACGGTATTGACATCCTTACACGGAAAATTCAATTTGTTCTACTTCTCAGTGTGTTGTCTTCCATTTCACCTTTATGCGTTCCATGTTGATAACCAATTCCTTTTACCTGAACCTTCTGCTACTGTGTTCATGTAACTCTCACTGAAAAGATTTTACTCTGTGCGACTTATAAATTCGTATTAGTGGCACATACCAAACAAATATTCACAATATTCATAAAATCGATAATAAGGCCAGTAGCTTGAGTGATAAGAATCCCGGTGGGTGCGTACTGATAACGAGTCCTGAACTAGGACGAAACAGCTCTCCATTACTCCCAGGTTTTCCAATGTTTCTCTAACCGATATTAGCTCATGATTAGGTCCTGATAAGAAGGAGTCTATAGGGATGTTAAACACTCAGAGAAGCAGTTTAACTGGCTTAAATTTGCTCAACAGTTGTTCATCTTCCTACACTATCTAGCCTATATAGAAGGTGCACATCAGTTCTCTAGCACTAGTTACAATTACGCGAAACAGTTTCATCACGTCGTTGTACATCGTTATTCACCTCAGTTTATAAGGAAAGGGATAGATCTCTCCGTAATTACAGCAGGATGATCAGCTTTACTAGTATTGGTGTCTATGATCCCATGGTCTGTAAATATATAAAGAATACGTGCAGCTCAGAAAAAAAAACAAGTCTGAGAAAGCCAACCAAGTTTCAGCAGCTGATTAAGATGTATTTAGTAAATCCACACTCCTTGATAAGTCCTGAGCCACATATATACTAATTAGCACCCGATAATCGTTATATTTCTTGACCGGGCATATTGAGATGCATTGCGGTAATCTCTGTTTGTTAAGAGAATGTTGGGAGTGTTTTATGTCAATTATTACACGACTCGAATTCAGGAAACCTTGTAACGGCTTACGGAGAGCTTTCGTGTGAAGAAACTGAAACTAGGGGTGTTTATTAGGGGTTTCAAATGTCACCATCCTTATTTAGTTTATTACACATGTACTGACTGGGCTAACTCTCTGTGAGTTCGTCTTCTAAGTAGTTCACTTGTCACCATTAGAACGCTAGCTGATTTAGAGTAGGCGGAAAAACTAGCCCTATTAGATGAAGATACTCATGGAGTATAGGCTTCTGAAAACACAGCGAAAATCTCAGTGTGATTGGCATGTGCTTCCATCTTGAGAACTAATGCGCACTTATTTCTTATTTAGGGCTATGGAGTGAAGTGGTCGAATGTGACAAATTTCATTCATTTAGAAAGTTACCTGAGCCCTAATGGATTGACTGCTGACGAAATCTTAACAAGGATACAAAAAAGAAGTTTCGTATTCACAAACTTGTTAATTTGTCTGAAAATTTCGTCTCAATTCATTTTGAGGTCTTTCTGGTATAAATGTTATTGGTTAGTATTTCTGGATTCAACTACCTTGAACTGTTGCATTTTTATTTAAAGTTCTACGTCGATAATTCAGCCAGGTAAACATATACCATAATACAGAATGAAACAAAGATTTCATTAAAGAAAATCCTCTTCATGATGACTTCAACTTCACAGCTGTACAATCGTACTCATTTATGAATTACTATAGACAATAATAAGTAGTAGTTGTTGTTGTGTGTTAAAATTTAACAATGAGTGGAAATTCTAAAGTGCGGCGATAGTGATGTGTATGATTATGAATCACAAATTGATTAGACATATGAATGAATAAATAAAGATCGACAGAAAGTGCAATGAACATGCGTAAAATAGATGATAAGAGGACTAAGTACATTCGGAAATGTGAATTTGTCATCTTCAAATGTGATAAGATGGGAAAATACAATCAATGAAATGTCATCAATAAATTTTAATGAGTAAAACGTTAGAATGTGATAACGTAAAGTGTAATAAAGCAAAACAAAACAAAATGGAACAACACAGAATAAAGAAGAACAAAGAAGTTTTGTGAGTCACATGATAACATTAAAACGAAAGAAATCGTACAAATTGATTTTGTAAATAAAGTTCTGGCTTTGTGTAATGTGTTGCCAAAGCTTCCACTATTCAAAGTAAATGCACTCATATCCTCTTAGACAAACTTTGTATACGATGTTAAAGGATTCCGTGTAGTCATTATCTGCTATATGTTACAATATAGATGAATTAATGGTTTCACGCTCTCCTTTTCTCTGCTAAGCTGGGGGATGCTCTCAGATGTGGCGTGAACGTCCTATGTACCTATCTCCACAAGAGTAGGTGAACACAGAACTAGACAATCGAGGTAACATTTCATTAACATTAAGGTGCATCGGTAGACGGTTAGAGTAAGTTATTCGTAGGGTGACAGTAAAAGTGCTTCCCTTAATGATCTTGTCAACCAGCTTTCAAGGAATTTACTCGTAATGTCACCCTTAAATTCTTAGGTTAGATGCAAAACTTTCTTAAGTACCTTATTTCACTTAGTATTTCTTTCGTATCTTTGCTATTAGCCAATTGGATACCCATTCTCTACGAAAGTTTCTTTCAGATGTCTAAGTTCTTCATCGACGCTGTCTTCACTACAAATACTTTGGACGTGTTCAGAGAGAACGGGTTAAATTTCTTCTTCTCTGATCATAGGAACAAAATTGTAAACAATAATCTAGTAATATGAAGGTAAATGCATTGGGATTTATATGACTATAAGTAGAAATATACAGTACATATCTTGTGCAAAAATAAGTAAACGTGTTTAATATTTAAGGGAAGTCGATGAAGTTAAGGTACAGGTTTGACTGCCATTCTGTGCTTTGTTCGATGATGATGCGTAGGGTTGCAGTTTGACAACAACAATCACGCACAAGCGATTCGTCTTACTTTGATGAGATTAGGAAGAATTGAGCTAAGGATTCTCATGTATTTTGGTTAGCTGGTTATCACTTAACCACTGTGTAGGAATTCACCGACTTTCTAGATGATGATCAATTATATTCCAAACTATAAGAAGTTGGAACCGTGTTACTTCAGCCCATTTTTTGAATAGTGATGTGCTAGTCTACAGATTTGAAAGGCTTAATCTTTAAAGCCACGTGTTCGTTGACAGAAGCTACCAAACAGTCTCAGTCTAGAACGGGAAGGGTATCTATTTATCTTTGATCTTCAATCATCCAACGGAGGATGTTAATTAAAAATACTCGGTCAGTTACCCATACATTTCCTCTTTGAACGTACTCGAAAATTCTTAATTTCTCAAAGAAATAATGAGGATGAAGATCATGAAGACTGCAAGGTACATAAATGCAAAATCAATCGAAGAGGCTATAAAGTTACATAGATTGAGATGGCTAGGTCACGTACTGCGCATGCCTAACCATCGCCTCCCCCGACGGACGGGCATTACTAGCTCATATAGGTGCAGGTTGGAAAAGAGTAAGCGGTGGCCAAACAAAAACATGGCCTCATCAATCCATGAAATCCTTGACAGATAAATTGAGTCAGGTAGCTGGGAGATGCAGACTTCCGGGTTGGGGCCCGCCCTCGGGACTCTAAGAATCAATGGCTGGAGACAATAGGTGACATGGCTCAAAATCGTTGTCAATGGCTTACGCAGATGTATTCAGTCTCTTTAACCTTCATACTCCTTTCTACCATTACTCATTCTGTTTCACTCTTATACTTGTCAAAACTCTATTGATTCTCTTCACTCATTTTCTTGTCTACCTTTGTGTGCTATTTGGAACGTGGCAACTCGAACTGCTGCACTTCGGTGCCAAGTTCTATGTTGAATCCAGACAGACAGAAGGTACATAAATCATGCACAATGAGAAACTGCTTTAGATTATTTGAAAGTTTAGTATTCACTTCATTTTACATTCGTGCTGAAACAGATATAACCTGCACGCCTAACAGATCTTCCACAAAGAGTGTCAACAACTAGTTCATTAACAAACGAACTATTAAGGTCTTTGGTTTTATAAGTATTCAGTGTATTTTTTTCACGTACAAAGTTATTGGACCATTCAAAAAACCAGGGAACCCCGGTCAACTGTTTCCTCCTAACCTGAAATTCTTCAACAGCGTACAATGGCGATCCCAACAAGGAAAGTAACTAGGACCACCATGTTATGTAACGAATATTTGACAACTGGGTTGTACCCCAATAGTCAATAAACTAAATTTGTTATACAGGTTTCTACGGATGACGCAGCTATCACTGATTCCTGACAATCCAACGACATCCTCAGTATTCATCAAACTATTCGAGTGATGATACTGTACGGTAACAATTATTTGGCTAAATCTCCAATAACAAATAAGCCTGAATCATAGTATGTATGTTTCATAGGTGAAACATGTAATTATAATAACACTTAAAACAATTAGTTCCCTTTATGAATTTAGATAAAGCAATAAGAAGACGTAATTTGTCTGAATCGTGTATTTACCAATTTGAATGTACGTGTGGAAACACATACATAGGGAGAACTCGTCGATCTCTGCAAGTAAGGGCTCCAGAAACAAATGGAATCTTCAGAACCTATTAATGGTGAGAACAGGAGACCTAGCTCTTCTATTGCGAAACATTATAAAGACGACATAAAATTGACCTTAACAGATCTTTTAAGCCTATCTATAAAACGTGTTTGGGGCGTATCCTAAAGTTTTGTGAAAGCCCTAGCTGGCAATTAGAAAGTTTAAACCACCTTAATGCGTTCAAAAACAATTCGTCATCACATTAAACCTTCCTTGGTAAATTTTGTTTTGATACCATAGCAGATGTACTATTACCTCTGTTATTTGGTTTAGTGGTCTTCATTGTTATTTTGACCTTGAATATGTCCTTTTAACTTGACCTAAGCAGTCTTTATTTTCTCACCTCTTAACTCTTTATTAATTTCATATATATTCCTATGACAAGTCCGTGTGTGATCAGATTGTTCGAAATGTGTTGTGCGCGCAAATACATTACACGATTCAGACAAATTACGCCTTATTGCTTTATAATAACACTAATGCGAGATAATGTAACCTGATATTTTGCTGAAAATTCGAGGTTACTCTAGTAGGAATTTCAGACTTTTTATTCAGATTACTAGATATAAAGACTGCTGAGATAGAGAATCAATTTGAATAGCTTTAAGAAAGGTGAATCGGCATTACTGTGTTAAACGCATGTCGACAACAACAACAAACACAAGTTACACAGCACAGGGAAGCAGCTTTGTAATAACTTTCTAATTTTAAGACAAACTGTAAATATTGATTAAATTCACTTGGTAGAAATCTAGGAAAACTTTTAATTCTATGTATGCCTTTGTTTCCTAACTTTATTTGCCATTTGGCTTCTTCAAAGCGTACAAGTATTAATGGCAGGCAACATGTATTTGAAAGGCTTAAATTTGTTTTCTGAAGCTTATTCATCAAATCTTGATTTTACATGGCATGAGTTATATGAATATAACTGTTCACATTGATTTATTCTGTCCTCTTACAATCATACTAGTCTTCTCTCTGTATTACATAATGTCCAACTTTATATTTTTGACTTAAATCTACTCTAACTGCAGTCACTTCGGGGAATTTAATTGAAATGCTTAATTTACTTAGTTCATTTTAAATATAATGACGAGTTGGTATCGATAAGTGGACCAATGAAAACCTGAGAGTACTGGACATCTGTTTTGTACTAGCTTGGAACTCTTCAGAAGTATGCAGCCATGACCCCACCGGGGATCGCACCCAGGACCTTCAGGTCGTAAGGCGAGCTCATTGACTATTCAGTCAGTGGGACGGAATCTAATGGTACATGAATTCCTACTTCTGTCAAATTGAAATTTTTAGCGCCATCGCTAGTCAATGTCACCGGCGAATATTTGTCCTCACACTCGATATGATGGGACCCATCATTCACGACAGAAGTAAGAATTCATGGGCCATTGGATTCCATTCTAGTAGCTGAATGATCGATGAGCTCGCCTTGTAATCTGAAGATCCTGAGTTCGATCACCGGTAGAGTGGGTTCACGGGTGCGTACTGATGAAGAGTTCCAAATGAAGATGAAACAGATGTCCAGCACTCCCAAGTTTTCTTTCAATGGCTCTCTAACTGATATCAATCTGTTACCAAACTTGGAATCAATCAGGTCCATACGAAGTAAATTCGTCTTGACTAATCTTTCTTCAATAACCGTTTTTCCAAGTCACATATTTTCTTCTGTTTCCTAAACTTTATTCAATTTTCAAACTTAGAAGGGGTATCATAAGAAATATTCCCTTTTGTCTGTTAAGCTGTCATTTCGTGACGAAATTTAACCTAGGAGATGAAGTGTCTGTCGCAGACAACATTCATCTGTGTTTAGGAAGCAGAAGAAGAAGGCAAAGATTGGACTAGCCAATTGAATGAAACAATAGAATTTAATTTTCTTTTTATAACCATCACAAAAATAGTTAATAATGTAATTACAGTTGAATAAGAATCTATTACAACTCCATTTTAATAAGAAAAGAAGCAGATTTGAAAACAGGTGAATGTGAATGTTTGCTTTGAATGAGTGTGTAAATTGCGGAAAGGGATTTCATAAACTCTTATCCATCTCATTATTATTTTTATCATCATCATCATCAAGAATGTTCTCTATGCGCATGTAATCATCATAAAGGCAAAAATAAACTGAGCTGGGTGGGATTAACATCAAAATATTGTAGAAAAAAAGTGTTAATGATAGAATAGAAGATGAAAAAATTTTACTTATAACAGTAATAATAGTATAACATGAATAGAATTTTGTGCATAATTCGATCACAAAAATGATGATGATAGAGACTGTTTAGATAGACGTAGATACACCGTCGCAGGGTTACCCTAAACTGAACACATTTTCATCACACGGATCAGGAACTGAAGTCTACTGTTCAGGTTTAGTGATGGCCAAATCGATCTGCTGAACCATTAGCTACAGTATAAAAAAAAGGATATTCACATTATACAATAAGGGTAGACACAAAAACAATTATATTCAATGCAATGTAGAAAGTAAAACACTGTTACTACGATAATACATTAAATGTCAGCAGTCTTCTGAATAATGTCATTAGGAATGGCAAGATGTCAGAAAAAGTAACCAGGAAGTTAGTACATCATTATTAGTCCTACTAAAAGTTAATGACTTTCCCACTTCTTGGGAAGTACATGACAAACGGTTAGAGAAAGGTAGATGATTGACCGATTAACCTACGCCATCTCTGGCGTAGACGTGATATCCCGTTGGCTGTCAAACAAAGGGTGTGTGTACTGCCCAGCAGTTCTCTCTGTCCTCATTTATGGATGTTAAACATGATCACTGAAAGTGGAAGACATGAAAAGGCTAGCTGTCTTTGATCATAAGCGTCTGCGTTCTATCTCCCATGTTAGGTGGTATAATAGGTTAAGTAATATTGAGGTTAGGGATAGGTCGAGTGGAGAGGAAATCAATCTCCGAGGTTATGGAGTTACATAGATTAAGATGGTTAGGACATGTTTTAAGCATGCATCCCTAACGATCACCTTCCTCGACGGGAGATCCTAGGTGACACAGGATCAGGCTGGAAAAGAGTTAGCCAGTGGTGGTCAAAGCAAAACATGGCCTTATCAGCCAATGAAATCCATAACAATTAGTTTAAGCAAGCCACGTGGGGAGGTGTAGACTGGCTTCTTGGTTGGGTGCCTTGGGGTAGTAAAAACCAATGGCTGGAGACAATCGGTGACATGGCTCAAAACCGTTCTCAATGACTTCCGCAGATGCATCCAATCCTTGTGATTTATAACACTCAATAAAATTCTATTGTTCTTTCATATTACTGTTCTTTTTGCCTCATATTTCTGTTTATTATCTCTCATTACTCTGTCCTCTTACTTTGTGCGCTACATGGAGTGCGGCAACTGAAACTGTAGCACATATATGCAAAGTTCTACACTGAAACCAATCAGTTATTCAACCACTGAGACGGAATCCAATGGCCCATCAATTTGCGATATATAGGTCTATCTGCCGGTAGGGGTCATGGGTGAGTAGTGGTGAAGTGTCGGCAACTGGGACACAATAGTTGTCCCTTACTTTCTGGTTTTGAATGGTTCTCTAACTGAAGTTAGTTCGTAATCAAATTAGAAATCAATCAAATCTTAGTAAACCAACATTTCAAAACGCAGATAATACTAATTTAATGGTACCAATTTCTACTAATTACAACACCACCAGCTCTATGAGAGATCATATCAAACGTGAAAATTAGATCGGACAGGCGTCAAACAAATTATAATCTCATAATATTAAATTTGTCAAGAAGGAAAGTTGACTGATATTAATAAAGCCAGAAAAATCTATTCTCAGATTGGAAATAACCTCAATTGAGATAAGCATCTACAGAGCCTGAGCAGGAATGTGACTACAAATAATGTGCTTAGAATACTACCGCTCACAGTTACAAGATGATTGACTACATCACCCTATAGCTTTCTATCATCATCCATGAACTTGCCCTAAAGGAATCCACAATATTCAACATTTTTAAAGGGAAATATATGAGACTGATCTACAGTAAATATTCCTTCAAGGCTGACATCACATTAAGATATTCACTTTTCTAGTGTCAGCTGCCAATAAATGGAATGAATTCTTCAAACTTTGCAAAAACATTTTTTGTCAACAGATACATCGATAAACTTGAAGTCTGGGTTCACTGACCACTTGTCTATTGCATTTAAAAGACTAATAATTTGACGGACTGAAACTCCGGTAGCTTGTTAGCAGGTTTTGATATTACAAAACTCTAAGACTTCTAAAGGATTTAAACTAGTGGTTTTCTGGTTACCAGCATATGGCCTTATGAATAAGTTGCAATAATGTGATTAGACCTCGTGTTTAAATGACGGACAGAAAAAAAGTCACGATTTGAGTCTGTATTTCAACAAATAAGTCATCGCGCTGATTAACTCGGATAACACGGGTTAGAATTTGTACTACTAATCTGAATCTTATATTTCTGGTGTTCTAACAAAATGAGTTCAGCTACCATTCTTATCAACAGCTGAAGCAGCGACAGTCAACAATGCCAGAAAAATTAACCTCAATAACCAGAAGAAATATGTGCAATCCCTTTGTTTACCTTAGCCTACAATAAAGTCAACACATTCTCTACAAAGACTTATTGAAAATTCACATTTTAAACTCCAATCGCTTTCTTTTTTCTCTTCCCTGCTTTTATTGACATTCACGACCTCATGATCTCTTTTATTAAGTCTGCTACCAATAGTCACCTCAATAATTTTACGTAAAACGCATGTTTTAGTTGTTTTATCCCCATAATCCTTTTCTTCACTGCTATATTAGATTCATCATTACTTGATAAGCATTCACCACTGCAAATGACACCACCATCACACCATTATTATTATTATTATTATTATCGTTTCTAATTGTCCTGTTGTGAAATTAAATTCAAAATTCTTCTTATTCTACTGATGATAACTCACAGCTTAAAACATGCAACTTCACTGATGTTCCTGTTGACCAAATATTTTGCGTAATCAAAGTTGACTGCCTACTAGATATATCACACAGTTCTTTTATTCCTCTACGTTCCCAGTGGGCATTAAGCTAAAGGCTTGAAGTTTCTGTAGCAGTGGTGATTATTTTGCAGAATGGGGTTGCTAGCCTCATGCCCAACCTTCCCTCTTTACCAGTCTTACTACTGGCTTAGCGAGGTAAAGGAGTGCGTCAGCCGGGAATCGAACCCGGACGACCTGCGTGGTCGGCCACCAATTTATCGCTGTACCGCTGACGCACAATATTATTTACTGGATGACGTTTCGAACAAAATTTATTGTTCATAATCATATCAATTATAATCACACGACTTCGAAACTTGAGTTTTATAGTTTTCTTTGTTCTCTCCTATTTGTTGTAGTGGTAGTAGAATCTTCCAGATGTCCGAGTGGACAGGTGTTGAATCATTCCTATTACACGTATTTGCAGTTGATTCGATAAACAAAGCTTCAGTTATCAATCTCTCCCTCCATCCTGTTACATTAGATTTTAAAACTGTCACCTTATCCCATCCTATTGTATGGTTGTGTGTAATTGCATGTAGTGCTATAGCTGAACTATTCTCTAGATTTCTTATCTTATTCGGGTCAACTAATCTAGATTTTGCTAGGTTTTTATGCTCGGCTAGTCTGACTGCACCTGTTCTACTATTTTGACCTATGTATTTGACCTGATAATCATTGCAGGGTATTAGATAAACTAAATTGTTCTGTTTAATTGGCTCCATAGGATCCTTTAGTCGACAAAGCTTGTTTCTAATTGAGTTTGTGGGTTTGAATACCAGCCACTTTTATTCCTGCCTTGTTAAGAACTCTCCGTAAGGTTTCCGAGGTTCCTTCTTTGTATGGAAGTACTACTGATGATTTAGATTCCCTATTGTTGGTGTTGTCATTATCCTGTGCATGTTTGACATGCATGTCGTCATTAATATTATTATTATCACTATCACTACTATTATTATTTATTTTATTCTTACATTTTCCTACATACTTCCTGATTAATTTATCAGGGTAATTATTAAGTTTCAAAGCTTCTCTTATATGCCTCACTTTCTGTCTTAGATTTTCCTTGGTACTACTTAGCTTTTCTGCCCTAATACTTAAACAGGGTTAGTCATACGGAGACTGTTACACTTTTTGAGTGAAAAAAAGAAGAGACAAACAGAATGATTAAAGTCATGTTGGCAGTTGTGTACACAGAAATAATAATCTAACTAACCTTAGCTAGATTAGGATCACAGTCGAATTGTTTTGTTTGTTGACCTGAGCTGAACAATTTCTTCTGTTTCTCTTTTAAAGTAATCAATATCCCATTCTTATTGACAGTCGGTACTCCAGAAACATTTTCCAATGGAGTTCTCCAATTAACAGAAAATGTTCCCAGTATATCCATAGATTCAATGATTAGTAATTCACTAAAATATTGTAAAAAAAAATAACGGACAATGACAGGAGTTTTGGATGCAAAGCTGAATTTTATGTTTATCAGTTTAAAAGTATAAATCATTCGAATTTAAATGAGAAAGCCTAATATACTAGTGGATACAGTTAGCTTACTAGAGAAGATGTGCAGCTCACGTAGATGATTTTCATGTTGTTGCGCTTTCTGAGCTAAGTGGTTTACTTGCGAAGCTTTCATTGTCCATCTAGACAACATCTTTAGCGTGAAGTTCAATATGAAGTAAAATCATTTGAAATTCTCTATGGAAGTTAAGTTACGAAAGTTGATATTTACGAAATAAGTTGCTTTAAAGGCAAGATGAAACGAATGTGAAAATCGTCGCCACTCAACATCAACAACAAAATTCGGATTTTCAATACAAACGTCAAGTCAGTCAGTTCTTCTATACGGATCAGAAACTTGGCGGGTCACAAAGAATATTTCCAACAGCCTGTTGCAGACCTTTATCAACAACTGTCTTCGCTGGCTCTATACTGAAGATTAGATGGCCAGAAAGAATCACAAACAAGAAACTATGGGAACAAACAAAATAAGAACCAATCGCTCAACAAATATGCAGGGGAAAGTGGAGATGGATTGGACACTCGCTGAAGAGGCCGTTGGGTGACATCGCGCGTCAGGCCATAACTCGAGTGGAACCCGAAAGGGAAGCGGCGAGTGGGACGTCCAAGGATGACATGGAGGAGATCGTGTGAAGAGGAGTTGAAACAGTATTAACTAACATGGATGCAGGTGAAAAGTACAGCAGAAGACAGAAGCAAGTGGAGGCGTGCAGTTGAAGCCCTATGTTCCACTAGGAACCCAAGGGAACAATAATAATAATAATATAAAGGCAAGATGAAGCAATTAATGTTGCAGTCATCATTAGAGAGCTTTAAAATGCTGCATTATAAATCTAGACAAATGAATATATGATGAACACAGTCAGTTTCTATGGAAAATAAGTTAACTAGTTAGTAGAACTTTTTACTCAGCGAAAAAATGAATGGAGGCTAGTTAATAGAATAGTTAAGCAGCAGTACAGGGACGGTCCTAATTTTTTTCAAGAAACAAGCGCATACTTTTGCATTCCTTTACGTTCCAAGTGGAACATTTGGGGTTTAAACTTTGAAGTTTAAGTAGCGTTGGCGTTTCTTTTCCTACAGGATAGAATTACTAGCCTCCTGCCCAAACAGACCTACTGTAGGCTAGTGAGCTAGAAGTAGTTAAGGAGTGCGTCAGTCAGGAATCGAACCCAGGACCATGTTCATGGTTAGCGAGCATATTTCATCATAATTCCACTTAAGAAATGGTGCTATGCTCAATGATTATGAATTATGTAGTAAACATGGGAATAATGTTAATTATATAAGAACAGAACTTGTGCACTGTGGTAGAGTATAATTCCATTATGGGTAAAATTTATTTTGATAATGTCTCACAGTGTTATACAGTGATATTTACTGATGATGACGTTTCGAGTACAATTTATTGCCGCTCATAATCATATCAAGGTACTCCTCATGCAACTTTCTAACTTCGTTTATATAATTTCACTATTTTTCATCGCTTGACTTGATTGGTAGTAGTATTTTCCATATTTCCGGTATGAGTGATGAGTCATTCCTATTGCATGTGTTGGGTGTAGGCTCGATGCACTGCATGCCTTAACACACACCCACACAATGGGGGTGGGAGAGAATTAAAATTCTAAGAAGTAATAAAGGTAGGTGTAGAGAGAAGTTGATTACTGAATCCTTGTTCATCGAGTCTACACGCAACACGTGCAATAGGAATGACTCATCACTCATACCGGAAATATGGAAAATACTACTACACCAATCAAATCAAGCGATGGAAAATAATGGAATTATATAAACGAAGTTAGGAAGTTATGTGAGGAGTATCTTGATATGATTATGAGCAGTAATAAATTGTGCTCAAAACGTCGTCATCAGTAAATATCACTGTGAGACATTATCAAAATAAATTTTACCCACAATGGAATAAATGTCAATTATTTTCACGGATATTTTGAAACTAGCCTTGTCTGATGAGCTACGTCATTATCTTACTTACGTTACTGCTACTGTATAGTAGATTCTGGCATGTAGACTGAATCTTGTGTGTTATGACTAGTTGAAGAAATTAAGCAGTTGCGCAAAGAAAATCTGACATAGATGCGTTTTGCAAGTCGCACTTGTCCAATGTAGTGAATGAAGGGGACAACTCTAGTTGAGTATCGATTACACCCTCAAACTAGTTGGGACCGATACAAGACTCCAGGGTCAAACAAATCGAATCGCCATCAATAGGCCAATCAAAAGGAAGGATTTTTAAAAAGTATGGAGCTTACTTATTCATATAGATGAACTAAAGATAACATTAAGGCTAAAGATGAAAGCTACGTATATGAAAACTGATACCTAGAGAGCATCAAAACAACTAGAACAGTTTATCTACTTATAATTGATAATTAATTGTACCACGGTAGACAGAAGTGTAGTTGCCTATTCATTATGATGAACTAATTGAGTATATGATGAGTAAATTATTATTAATTTATCACGGAGAAATTTATTTATTTCACTATGAAAAAGTATACAACTCATTCAGTTTTAAGGTCAACTTCCAGTCACGTGTACAGACAAATCAATAAATTCAATGTTATGAGCAGTGATTATTTGGATTACGTAATTTTAACATCTAGTTAATGTAAAACCAAGCCAATATTTCATGCATTTATCCCTCTTAATGAATTTGAATACAGCAAGAACAACAACTTTTGGCCTGTACACAGCTGATGAGAGGCTAACGAAATAAATGATTGTACCATTTTATTCTGCAAGAACTGTTGTTCTTGCTTTATTCAACCCAATATTGCTGAGTAAGAACCAATACTGTTATGAAAAGGAAGACTACATGTAAGTTGAAGAGGAGGCCAATTATCATTTACTGGAATAACAACTTGACAAAACTCTTAATATATGAAGTCAAATTAAGACCTAGTTAACACCTAAGTCAGTAGAAAGACTGACAAATAAGTATTCTGGGGAACTGCTGATTGTAATTCTCCTTCCTAGGTGCAAAGTTTCCACTTAATTAAACTACCCAACTGAGAAAAAAAATCAATTTCAATTCAAACCAACTTACTTTGTGGTTAGAAACAGTACATTGCTTCCTCGAATAGATGGAACATGAAAGAGATATTGACCGGAATTGCCATCTTTATCTACATGCTATAGAAAAAAGAAAAGAAAAAAAGAAACAAGGGAGAAGTAAACAAGAATTCAAGCATTGATGGGTTACAGGATTTCATCATAAGCTGACATCGGTTAGAGAACCATTGGAAAACCAGCAAGGAGTACTGGACAGCACCGTTTCGTCCTAGTTTGGGACTCTTCTGAAGTACGCACCCACCGCCAGGGTTCGAACCCAGGGCCTTCTGGTTACGAGGCGAGTTTGTAATCAGAACAAATATATATCCTCATACTATCAGCACACTTCTAACCTGTAAGAGAGTTAAATTTAGGTACAATACTGTAAATGTAACGCATTCTTAGTGTTGATTAGGGGAAGTGAATTATTAAAACCGTGTAAATAATTAGACACGTTTTGTGAAGGGTGCAATAGATTGCTACACATACATTATTTTGTATGTCAGAGTCATCATATGGGGGTATATACATATCCATGGGGATGATGTTGGCAAAATCAGTCCCTTGGTATTCATTTCACTGCATAACACGAATTCTGAATATTATGATTTCTGATCAGATTTCCCATTGCTGCCATTATACAATACAGACAACTTCAGAAATACTTGTATTGGATTGAGAGTCAAGTAAATAGCAGATTTTGTTATACACAATAGAATTGCAACATGTATTCTTTTATATTAATACATGTAGACAGCTATGGACACTAATTTGATTGTGAGAATGTAGAAATTTTAAACAGTGGAAACATCAAAAATGCCTGAAATTAATTCCTAGAAGCCTGATATTCAGATGAATCAGCGACTAACAAGTCAACATTATTATAGATTAAATTTATCAACTAAAAAAGAATCAGCCAGGAGTTCCAAGTCAGTAGAAACGATCAATACTGACGCAAATTAACAACCAATAATCATTGCAAAGGTTGTCAGGAGATACAATTATATCATTCATGGAGAGTTGAAATAAGTTCACCTTGTATTGAATTCCACGTTGAATATGTTGTCTAGAAGGATAATGAAAGCTTTGCAATTAAATCACTCAGCTCAGTGAATGCAATTACATCAAAAAATTACATCAGTCTGTGCAGAAAATATCACTAGCAATGTAACCTATGTGCGTCGGTGGCACAGCGGTAGAATGCTTACCAACCACGCAGGTGGTTCGGGGTTCGATCCCCGGCCGACTCACTCCTTTACCTCGCTAAGTCAGTAACAATACTGGTAAAGAGGGAAGGTTGAACATGAGGCTAGCAACGATTTAAGACAATACATTCTCATTCTCGGTAAATTCGTGTTAGTCTCGCCTTGTAAACAGAAGATGCTGGGTTCGAACCCCGGTGGGTGTGTACTGACGAAGAGTCCCAAACTAGGACGAAACAGATGACTGTCGAATATTCAAAGTGATCAGTGAAATTGGAAATCAACCAAGGTTAGGTAATAAACATAATAGGTGTCATACACAATTGAAGGCATTAACTGCTTTTCAATGCACATGAGAGTTGAAGTTTAGTGTAAAATTTTAACATAATTGTAAGTTTTTCAATGTGATTGTGTTCTCAGATATAGGGGGTGGGGGTGATTTAATTGTGAAACTTTCATAGTTTTTCTAGACAATATCTTTGGTGATTACTTCAATGTGAAACAGATTTTGTTAACGCGTAAAATTATCACCACTTTTAAAATCGCCTTACAAAAATCATGAAACACATTAACTATGGTACGAATACAGTAGATTGTTTGGTTTAGGAAATCCTCTTAAGTCTTAGTAATTATTTATTAGTCATCTAATTCAGTGATCTCAACTCACTGAACAAATCTTAATCTTATAAACTGTAACCGATTTTGTTTCCTGAGTTGCTATGTGAACCTACAAGCTAACACTGTTGATTTTTTCTGTTTTCTGTCTTACTCCTCCCCCCTCTTTTCTACTTTGAAGGCGTATAAATTGATGATGAAAACTTAAACTAAGAAATTGTAATGCTTACATTTTGGATGCGTCAGTTTTATAGTATTTCTTCTCTACTACCGCTTAAACTTTAAAGTATGTTATTATCATCTACATAACCATTGTAATTTCAGGTAGTCTGCAGCTGATGAGAACCTGTGAAATAGAATGATGTCATTTTATACTGCAAATTTCGTCTTCCTTTCTTTATCGAAATTTATCAAGGGAACCAAATGTATGAAATTATTTATTGGATAGCTTGATGATAAAATAATCACAAGATATTAAAATTTTCGATCTATTATAGTGGTACCTTTATGATAAGATTTATTGATAAATCAGTGTTACACAGTAATATTAACTGATGACGTTTCGAGCACAAATTATTGCTCATAATCATATTATAGTGGTACCTCTTAGTGTGTCAACTGGTATTATTATTGTTGTACTAATTAAAAATGTTTATGATTATATTTACTAAGACAAATCCTTCACTACTTTTTGTCTTATTCCTATGTCCACTCCTAACTTGTTCCACCTCCTGGACAGTTTCATTGTCAGCGAAATAATAATAATAATTCTCTTCGGTAACTAGCCGTTTACTTTCACAATGACCTAAGTGAACTTTCAACCACACATTCTTGAGTAAGAATTTCTCGAACTTCTTTCACCTTTTTGCACGAAAAAAAGGCCTTTTAATTTTTCCAACTTCACATTTCTACGATACGTTCATTGTGATGTCATATATATATATATCATTCTTTTACGTTCCTCGTGGAACATGGAGCTTCAAGCTTGAGCTCTGAAGTTTCAGTAAAAAAGGGTGTTTGTTTTTAGAGGGTGGGGATGACGCCCAACATTCCCTCCTTGCCGGGCTTACTACCAGCTACTCGAGGTTTAGGAGTGCGTCGGCCGGGAATCGGACCATGGGCCACGTGGATGGTTGGCGAGCATCCTTCCACTGAACCACTGAGGCATATATATATACATCAAGATATATACAGAATTCATTTGAAAAGTTCTACTGAAATCTGGTGAACCCAAGGGAATTTTCTTTTATTAGCATTTGTTGCTTGTTTTAAATGTGTCAGTAAATAAATGGTTCCAATTTTTACTTTAATCAAGAGCTACGAAGCATCTCTATTATTGCAATCTAAACTATTTAATAACATGCTGTACGATGCCGCTGGGTTTAAAATCGATGAATTACACTTTACACAACAAATTAAACGAAAATAGGGCTTTACAGACTTGAATTTAATGTAAACATCATTTTAGAAATGATGTTATTTTGATGATATTTCACACCTAAATATTCATACTTCTTGTAAATATGTCTTATTGTTGAATGGAGATGTTATCACGCTTGGTGATCAAAGATCCACTATCAAAAATTTGTGAACAGAGAGGATAAACAATTTTCGATAAAGAAAGAAAGACTAGAAATCGAAATTTATCAAGGAACAATGTATGAAACAAAGTGTTTTCACTTTCAACCTGAGCTATAAATTCTCTTTATTATTTTAAAGGAATCATATTGTCATTTTCATTACCTACATTATTTTTTCTAAAAATCAATTAATAATTTTAGTCAAGGTTACTTTTTGGATGTACTTATAAAATAATTCTATTTACAACACTAAATAGAAGCGAATAGGCGTGAAAAAAGATAAGTTCATTAGATGATATGGTATAATATAACTAACAGTAACCTCAAGCCAGTGATTCTGTATGCTTTAGAGACTTGGCGAGCATGTCACCAATAGCATTTTCAACACACTACTGGAGATATTCATCTGCAGATGCCTTCTCTTGCTCGATAATGAGATTAGATGACCGGAAAGAAAGGATAAGCGACAAGGAACTCTGGCAGGTAGTGAACCCAACAAAGAAGAAAATGGAGGTGGGTTAAACACACGCCGACCAGACCGTTGAGTGACATGACGCACCAGGTTGACTATCGAATGGAACCCGAGTGGAAAACAACGAGTTGAGTGTTTGAGGGTGACATGGATGAAATGAAAGCTTATGGGTAATCATGAAGGCAGAGAAAAACGACTGCAGAGAACTAAGCGAATCGTCGATGTGCTTCTGAAGCTCTATGTTCCGCTTGGAACTCAAGGGAATAGTAATGCTATAGCAATAACACCGATGAACCATCACTGGTGGAACAAAAAGGAAATACATTTAATACTAACGCATCCCGGATGACAGTGTCCACCACTGTTTATTAAATAACATCAAACCTGCTCGTATCTCTAAGTAAGTGTATTATCGTGCCTAAAGAATATGTCAAAATGAAGGCTATTTTAAAATAAGTTAATCAAATTTATATCACATGACCAATAAATCACCGACCAAATATTGCTTCCGAAATTCAAATAAATACAAGATGCCTACACGAAGATTCTTAATTAATCAATAATTATAAATGTCAGAGTAAAACAAAACCCGTTAATTTTAAATATATATGACAAGCGTTTTCATTCCTCCTTGGGTGAAACCACCACAGTTATTTTTCAAAGAGAATAGAAAGTCAAAACTAAACGGAATATTTGCATATAAAACTGATCTGTGGTAGAGTTCTGCGCAAATAATGTCATTGATTAGTCCTAGTTATTTCGTCGTTATTGTGGTATTATTGTATTATTTAAGATTTTAAGTTCACAATAACAGCATTGACATTTTATAATTGGAATTAACAAAGATATCAAATAAGTTTGTCATGAGATAAAGAATTTTTCAAACTTATACACAGCAAAACAATTGCGCTATTACTACTATGCTTAAACTATCGAAGTTTTGCAATCCAATAAAATGAATCAATCAGATTTCTTTTAAATAGTCGTAACATTTAAACTGGAAACTGTGACACAGACATAGAAAGCAGAGAAACTACATTTTGAAAAAAATTGGACAACAGTGAAGGGCGTAATTATTGACTGAGATAGCCATAGATAGCTAATTCTAATCACAGTTGGTTTAGCAGAGTGATATTGTTGTTAGATGGTTGGAGGCAATCGGCAAAGAAACCTTGAACCTAGATTTCATGCTTTTTGGCACTCGTCAGCAAGGCGTACCTACAATCTGGAAGGAACTCACGTCCCTTCTGAGATTGAAACCCAGGTCATCCAGTGGCGCAGTGAGAGACGTTATCACTGGGCTATTGGAACTGGCGATTCCCCTTTCTGCATACTATAATGAATATTTTGATTAGACACTAGGTGGGGAATTTGCGTATTTGATTGAAAAGTAACTTATATATATATATATATATATATATAATATATATATATATATATATATATATATATATATATAATACTGTCAACAGCTAAACACTCACAAATCCATACTGATTCGCAGGCATTATTCAATCAGCTACAGAGACCGTTTCTCTTTATTGATAAGACTTTCAAGTCAAGGTCTTTCAAACTGAACAGTCTTGTAGTACTGCACTGGATGAATTCAACATGTCTAAGCTAAAGAACAGTCTCAACGAATTCAAGATTTTAATAGTGTATATGTGTTTGCTGAAATCTATCCATCAAATATATCATGTGGTCATCAGGCTGAGTAATACGGTACAGCTGTGAATTATCGAACGTTTTTGTCTCCGTTTTTATGTGTTAAGAGATAATTTGTAGGAAGCTTTAGATTTAGGTCCTGTGTTGAACTGAACACATAATAAGCAGAGCGAATCTGTAACCAAGAAAATATTCATGCCTCTTTTGAGATTGAAATTCACGTCGGATGACCTGAACAGCTTAGAGATAAAAGATGGTGACTTCAAGAATGAGTAGATAGGAGACAACATGACGGCAGCGGAAATATTTTATTCATGAATGTTAAGGAACATGAGACAGGTTGTCCTGCCAACTCTTTCTTAACATCTTGAATCGTTCAGATTTCACTTTGAGATAATTAAAAATTGTAGGATAAAACAATGCCAGAATTTCGAAATAAACACTGGGGAATACATAGAATGTCATTGAAATGTAAAACAAAAGTGACAAATATTCGCTTACTCTAAGTATAAGATGACCATCAGCTTCACGTCTTTCATACGGTCTAATAATTCCATCAGAACGAATGTAGCGAGGAGGACGAACACGTGAAACTTCTTGGGCGGTGTCAGCTAACCTATTGTTAGGAAAAGAACAACAACAAATAACACAAGTGGACATATATACTAGAACTAAGATATTAACATGAAGCAAATGCGTCCAAATAATTTTTTTTAAAGCCATAAATTTCATATAGCCGCCAGTGCAAATTTTCATCGATTCACCAAATATTTTACAATGTCTATGTGAACACATTTTTTCAAATTATAAAACGTGAAATACAAAAGGCTGCAGTTGCTATAGTTCCCTATTACTACAAGAAAAAAATGTTTAGAAAACAAATTAATGAATAAAAGTGAACTGATGTAAAGGAAATGATGATGGAAGTTGAAACGAAATCCCATGGATCAGCAGGATTCAAACCAGAGTCCTCTAGGTGCGTTCAGAACCATAGTAATTGAAGAAAATAACCTGCTTGTACTGTACTTTATCTATGGTCACTAATTAATATCTTCCTAAACGATTTGACTGACTGAGTTTCAACAAAGAACTTTGCACATAAAAGCAGCAATTCAAGTTGCCACATTCCACATAGAAGGTAGACAAAAGAGAAAAAAGAGTTTCGAAAGAACCATAATGAGCGCAAATGGAACATGGATAATATAACGGTTTAGTGGATAGGGGAGAACACAAAGAGTGGATGTATTTAAAACTGTTTTGAGCCATATCACCAACAGTTTTCAGCAGTTGGTTCTTAGAATCTCGAGGACTCCAACCAGGGAGTGTACACTCCTTTTGCAATTAAAAGTGTTCTCTGAGCTGGTTGGTTTAGTCGTGAAGCTTTCGTCGTCCTTCCGGACAACATCTTCAGCGCCATATTTAGCACAGAGTGAAATGATTTAAATTTCTTCATGCATAATGTAATTGCGTCTCCTGGTTACTATCTTCACATATGTATTGACCACTTTCTATTGACTAGGATTTTAAACTTTTTGGTCACCTGACTTACTTTTTATTAATTGGAAGATTTCATCTATATTAACGTGTTTGTTAATCGCATTTTCGCTTGAGTACCAGGCTTCTAGGAATTCTCTGGCACTTTTCGTGTTTCCTCTGTTTAAGATTTTGACGTGATCCCAATCAAACTGATGACCATAGTTGTCTGCATGCATTGATACTAACGAATACATATCATGTCTTTTTACGGCTGATTTATGTTCTTGGATTCTGATTCGCAGGGGACGCCCACTTTGGCCGATGTAATGCTTGTTACAGTTCATACAATTTATTTTGTAGATGGTATTAATTTTATCCCCTTTTTCTGTTGGATCTTTTGGTTTGCATAATATCGAATTAAGCGATTTTACTGGTTTGTGTGCTATATTTATATCCAACGGTTTCAGTATTCTGGCTGCTATTTCAGAGATATTCCTTATGTATGGTAGAATGAATTTTCTTGTGGTCTTTGATGATGGTTTCTTGTTGGTGTTTTGATTCGACTTTAAACACTTTTTGATGAAATTTTGTGGATAACCATTCTTTTTGAAGACCGTTTGTAGGTACTTTTCTTCAATTCTTTTCAGCTCTGGAGTGCTACAATGTGTCTGAGCTCTTTTAAACAGTGTCTGCACACAGTTTCGTTTGTGAGTAACCTCTAGACAGTTCAGACAAACAGTCAAAGACTTAATGGATTGATTCCATGTTTTGATCTGATCAACCCTCACTATTTTCTAAGCTAATCTTATGTCAGTTAACATTGATTAACGAGGAAGGCAAAGGCTCCGGACAAGCAACACGTGTCCTAGCTGTCTCAATCGATTCACCTTCACAACCTCATTGAGTGACTCACCTTACCGCTTACCTAATACCGTACGCCTAACATCAACATTGCTCACCGTATTGTACTCCTTAACACGTGAGATAGAACGTAAGAAAAGTCTGTTTATATTAACCTTATATAACATATACCAAATGGTTACCCGCTTGCTATAGGAGCTATGAGGCTTTTTCTCAATTCATTTTAAGCAGGTTAGTTGTAGGTAAAACAACATGCTTGACCTTGTCAAGTAATACAGTGAAATAACAGAAATAATCATCACCTACCTGCGAATTCCTTCGAATGAACTGCTAGCAAAATCTACAACTCCAGAAACTGGGCGAGTTACTGCACCGACCAAACCTTTGCCAAAACCTAAAATCAGCGATTAAAATATTGAATACAACAATTAAACAAAAAAAAAATTAGTACAGAATATTCCAACCAGTATGAAGAAAAATATCATGAAACCAATAATCTGGAGAATGCTTCTGTTGAAATCGACAGCGATTACAATGACGATCGGTTTTTATAACAGAAAATATAAAGTGTTTGCCATCTTTTCAGACGTATAAGGATGTAAGACATAATAGTCAACAACTTAGTTTCCACCGAAACCATCTTAATGAATCTAACTTTAAAAGATAACACATTAGATACAATTGAGAATTAGGTTTCTAAATTAATCATAGAGAAACTTGAAGGTACCTTTGTTAGCTATAACTGGCTCTTAATATGTTTAAAAGATAAGCTTCCTCTTATGATTACTTCTGTATGCAATCGTCAGTAAAACTTCCTACAGACGGACGTATATCTGTAGCATTTTTTGGTTACAGCTTGATGCCACACCGTATTTTCAGTACAAGTATGGAATTTTCAGCTGGATATGTACAACGACAGATTTATAACACCACATTCCAGTATCATTTGTAATCTCAACGGTATTTCAAAACTGTTTATCAAAGCCAACCAAATCCCCCCAGTGGACGCCTTAGACATTGATGAACTTAAACCTGACCTTTGTGCATAGACATACAGTGGATGTTTTCGGAAAGGACACATTTCGTTACATAATGCTTTGGTTCTTTACCTTACAGATTTTTTTCATCCCACTTTTCTATGTTACGTAAATTCGATACACGACCATACACCCATTACATAAGCTACTTGTTATCGTGTAACTAACTCATAACCATAACCATAATCGTAAATGGCTTATATTGCTGTTATTATCACCTACTGTGTTTACATTTCATCGCTTGATACACAATTCATCCAATATACGTAAATACAATGTTATAACAAAATCAGTGAAACGTGTTTTTATACTAATTAATACAAGATTAATACGAGAAATTGGATACCACACACACATCAACCAGAAGTACTTGCTAACCAGGTCGAAATAATATTAACACCTGAGGACCGTTTCGCTTGTTTTGGACCAAGCTCATCATCAGTGTAACAACCGGTTTAACTCAGCTCAGAGAACCGAATCACAGTTGAAAATACCCGAAAAGAGTTTTCTTCTTCGTAAAGATTTCAACTATATTTCTTTTTCAAATTTCTGTTAATGAGATCTTAGGAAACATAAATAAATAATCAGTGTTGGAGGATTTCACCAATGAGCTGACATCAGTTAGAGAGCCATTGGAAAACCAGGAAGGAGTACTGGACAACTGTTTCGTCCTAGTTTGGGACTCTTCAGCACAACGCACCCACTGCCAGGGTTCGAACCCAGGACAAGGCGAGCTCGTAGTGTAACGACAGAAGGCAAGAGTCAGGCAACAGATCATTTATTAAGGAAATCAACGCATATTTATATATTTTCATGTACATTACTATGGATATTTAAATAAACAAACACAGTTGTTTCTTGAATGTCAATCCTCTATATGTTAACTGCATCCGCCTACGCCAAGTCTGCTGTGGTCGGTTTTGAATCAATCTTTGTTCACATTTTCTCACGACAAATCTTGGGAACGTAAATATTGACGTAAATTACTGTCTACCAATTTGGCTAGGAGACAGCTCTCACCACAGTAGACCATTAAGCTACTGGGACCCGATCCAGCGGTTCCAATGGTTCTCTAACTGATGTCAGCTCATGATGAAATCCTCCAACCAATCAAACAAAAATCCCTACATAACCAATACTTGCTAAGTGCAATGCATGATGACAAAATTTGATATTTCCAATAAATTAAATTAGAAGTACATTAGATATGCCCTACTGGTATACCGATAAAATTCACATAATTCAAACCTACCATATATTTTAAAAATTGCTTCCGTTTTTATAGTTTCAGTCTAACTCACTTATTTAATTATTGACTATTCAAGTGTAATATATAGATATGCTTATTTTTCTTTTGGCATTAATATATATTAATCATAAAGTGGATATTTATTGATATTTATCATTATATTTAAATCACTCCTATTAAATTAATTCGCGATTTGCAATTTACACAGTTTGAGGTGAAATTACACTAGTTTCCTTTGGAAACCTAAATTTTTCAGATCATAATATGTGATCTGCTTGACACCATAAATGGCAATCAAAGGAAACAGGCAAAAATGCATGTGACGCTGTGGACTGATGATTGATTGATATGAGCAATTAGAAACGACTTGTAACAAACTAGTAGTTCTTGCTAGTCAGGTCGAAATGATTTGAACATTGTACAGGCGTTTCGCTTGTTTGGGACCGAGCTTATGACCGGTGTGTCAGGTTTGAATCAGCTCAAAGAACTGAGTCGGTTGAAACCGTCCGAATTCTGGCTGTTCGAGTTTGTATAGCACAGAGAGGACCTATTTAGCAGGATACGATGAAGCCTTTTTATTTCATAGTGCATTCGTCAGTTGCATACAACCTGAATAATCAAAAATAAATAAGTCATTTCCATGATATATTTACATCCATCTACTTCTACATTAATTTTTATTAATATCTTTTGTCCCCATTGTCCCCTATCATTTTGTTTGATTACGCTGACGAGTGCCAGCTAGCACGAAACCTAGGTCCAAGGCCTCCTGCCAATTGCCTCCAACCCCCTAATATCATCAAATCAATGTGCACCGTGATGGCGAGCTACCTAGATGGTGGCAATTGCAACCTACTGACAAATTCAGTTCAAATAGTTGCTAACTAGTGTCATATAAAAAGTATCCAATACAGTCCTACAGGAGGTCAATCGCGAGCCCGAATATCTCAGTGATAACGTCTCTGATTGTAGCACTTGGTGACGCGGGTTCGAATCTCAGAAGGGACATGAGTTCCTTCAAGGTTGCAGATACGCCTTGCTGACTGGTGAGTGCCAACTAGCACGAAACCTAGGTCCAAGGCCTCCTGCTGGTTGCCTTCAACCATCCAATACCAACATCCCTATTTATTTCTGAATTTATCTTTAAATTACACAGCAGTCCTTTCCTTAGAATATAAGAATGTGTTCAATTTTGATCATTCTAACTTCTATAATTCGCACATGGTCTTTGTTTTCGACATCTTATTCTACCCTTAAAAAATGGAGGTGGTCATTTAGTTAAACTGTGTCACATTGATTACTTATGCATTCTACTACTTAGGTTATATGCAGCTGACGAAGACCCTATGAAGCCACCAAGTGAATTCACTTTATCCTACAAAAGCTCTTTGCATCACGATTACGGAAACTGGGGTTTTAGTGTTGGGTTAAGCCAATTACTTGGAGAATACTTAAATATTATGACAATAATGTTACTATTACATAAACAGACAGTGGTTCAAGGTCCACAGTAGAATTCAAACTGATGGGCTACAGTTTATAGTGATCGACTATTCTAATGACTGGAATTCAGGTGTTAATACTGTCTTTTCTCAAGCGATAAAGTTATCATAGTTTTTATCTAACAATGACCATAATCATGAAAGTCTGTGTACGTACCTTTGAAAAAGCCTTCAACACCTTCCTTTTTAGCACCTTCAACAGGTTTCGTGACCACTCCAGTAAAACCGTGGAATACTCCCTAAAAAGTTGACAAGAGAATATTTTAAGCAATATTGTGAATGCATGAGGGTAAACAGCACTAGTGATAAAGTAACCTAGAAACATTCATTCATTCTACTTACCATAACTAAACCTCGACCACCCTGAGCCAGGCCAGCTCCAAAAGTTTCTGGCCGTCGCGCTAATTGTTCACGTCGTTTACGCTTATATTCCTCATCTAAAGTTAATGCAGCTATACCTTTGCCAATAGTTCCTGTAATACGAGAAACTGCACCAGCTGCTCCACCTTTACAGAGAAAGAAAACAGAACTTGAACATAATTCTTCTTTTAAAAGCAACTTGAAATATTCATCTAATCAACAGCTATGAGTCACATTAATTGTATGAGAATTAAAGATTTTACCTGTGATGACTTAAGAGTTTCTGAAGACATTTCGATTTCAACCGTTTTGGCTTCACAAACATCAGTATTATGTAAAACAGTGAATATTATTTTCAGAGAGCCAACATACAGCATTTCATAGAGTGGAGTATTGATATTGTATTTTTAACTGAAGAGTTAGTCACGTGCGCGTCGGTGGTACAGCGGTAGAATGCTTGTTAACCAAGCATATGGTCCGGGATTCGATCCCGACAGCCTACGCACTCCTTTACCTCACTAAGCCAGTAATAAGACTGGTAAACAGGTAAGGTTGGGCATGAGGCTAGCAACCCCATCCCGTAAAAATAAACACCACTGCTACCGAAACTTCAAGCCTTTAGCTTGGAGCCCTATGTTCTACTTGGAACGTAAAGGAATAAAAAAGAAAGTCAGTCACAGATTTATTTGTTAGAGAATGAACTGAAATCCTTATGTCTACAAAGGGGTTCAAGATTACTCTATTCAGGATTTACTGGCGAACGAATTGCGTAAATTGAAAGCATAGCTCATGAAAAGTTCACTTGTATCTTTTCTAGCAGTGATACAGAGATGCATATTTAGGTGTTTGGGACAGAATGAATGCTGTTAAAAGCTGTAAATACGTCTTTATTGACAAATATTAGCACGGATGAGACCAGGCCTGTGATTTTACACTGAACACCTAAAATCATTCACAACCAAACAGAATATACAACTGATGAATCGATCTAATCAGTATGTTTACAGGATTCAATTCATACAATATACTGAAATCATATTTTACACTTATATACGGACATTGAATACAATAATTAATTTTGCTCAGTAATCCAACATAGATACAAAATCATAAGCTGAATCAAATAAGATTTTTATATGCAATATTTAGATGTAAACACATACCTAACGCATGACCGAATAAACTCCGTACACCTAAAGCAACACCTTCAGCAAATTCCTCTGGACCAAGAACAGCACCCTATCAGAAAACAACAACAACAACAACAACAAAACATCAGAAAGTATGCAATCCACTCGGAAGAATATCATGTAAGATAGAATAAAGAGACTTGCAAATTTAAACATACCTTAACTGGTTCATAGAAAAGATCTTCAACACCCTGTGCCATACCACGTAGTACACCGAATGGATTACCCAATACATCTAAGCCCAATATTAATACATACATTTGACGAATTCCTTGACTGACATAATGACGTGACATTTCTAATGTCATTTGATTCACTGTCATGATACACGCTTGACGTTCAAAGTAAGCTAGCCTAGAAGCAGAAAAATGAAGTAAATCGATAAGTCATAGTTCAATGAACAGTGAAGCTCATTTTGAAAACCTTAAAAAATATAGATGAATTCATGTTTAACTAATTTTGCCTTAAGTACACATCTGTACAGCTTTTGATACGACAAGTACACGCTGAGATCATTAATATCACATGGGAGTTGGAGGTTATATAGCCGTGAGTTATAGGTGCCGAAAGTAGAAAGTATTACAAGATTTTGATATTGAATATTCGTTAGGTTGGGAAAATGTTACACCTGGTCAAATCAAAACACACCACGAATCGTTGAAGTCGGTGACTATTGGTCTGGTAGGTTGAGGTTGTCTGGCAGGAGTCCACAGAATACATAGAATCGATCACAAACTTTAAATGATATGGCTCAATGCATTTCACAATGACTGAGGTCTATTTAACCTTCATTATACTCGAAGTTTTGAACATCTCTACTATTCTTAAATTAATTACTGCTTTTAAGCCCATGTGTGTGTTTGTCGACTGTAACATCAGCTCAATATCTGTTTTCCTATTTCTTGTGCTGATAGGAACTGTGATAGGCTGAACCGATGAACTTCTTTCTGCGGTGACAGTTTTGTCAGGCATACTACTAGACAGCTTAGGCAACGTGTTACTGAACATCTCCCATCGTGGTTTGGCAAAGGACAGAAAAAAACCATCTGTAGGTCGGTTTTGTCACATTTGATTGATAGTGATTATTTAGTGGAGAAAACGAAAGCATTCAAGGTGATTCATTACATCCCACCGAATCTTTCCAACGGAATTTGTATTCGTCTACTACACATAGCTGATGCGATAGACATTCAAACTATTAAGCCTAAACTATGCATTGAAAAGAAGTTCGTACAGCTATTATCCCTCGCTTGGCCAATTAAGACCTAACCAAATGATGACGTCGTTATCACCCTTTACTTATATTTTCAACCCCTCTCTTATCGTCCCTTAATATTATCATATCTTCATTAAAACAGTTTATTTTCTTCCCTTACAATCTAGTATTACTTAATCGGTCCATTTGTTTTTCTTAACCTTTATCGACTACTTCTACCTGAATATTTGTTTGTCTAATCACACTGTTTTTCATCATTCTTGTTATCAAAGATCCCTCCACTTTGTCATCTTTGTTACTGATAGAACCATTATTATTATTGTTATTATAACTAGAAGAATATCATTCTTAGCTTCCACATTTTTCTAAATAGACAGCATAAGCTTTGCCTAAAAAAATCTAACTCTGAACGGGAGGAAAACCTAACAAAGGAGAGTAAAATATACGTGGCAAGCTTACTTAAAAATCACATCCTGGACTTCAGTTAACGCTACTCCGAGAGACTGTAAGAACAGGTTAAGCACTTCACTTGGGAATGCAGATGATTTGCCTTCTGTACTACCAGTAAGAGAGAAGCTGACATGTACCTTGAAGAAAAAAGAAGTAAAGACAAAAAACGGAAAATATATTGAATTGGACGAGTTAACGATCGAATTATTTGAGTTCCTACAGTTAAGCTTTGAATAATTTTTAAATGCAGTTGAGCGAGCCAGTTTTAAATCTGAACACATGTGATTATTTTTCGTGGGTTAATTTGCATTTCTCGTGGATTGATTATGTTGGATCAGAGTGCCCGATCTGTGTTGACACGCCAGCTGCTAGTACGTGCGCTTCGACGATGTCTTAGGATTCACATGAAGTTAGTTTTTTTGATGGCGCCTAGCAGTGGAATCCTGGATGTGCATTTCGTTCCATTCACGACTCGTCAGTTGGATGTGCCTGCATTCCCCAGTGAGCGATGGTGTCCCCACTGGGACTGGAACCCAGCACACATTGTCTCAAACACCGAAGCACTATCCAATAGGTCATGAGTCAGATGAAGAGTCCCAAGTAAGACGAAGTGTGCATCTTGGATTCCACTGCCAGTTATCATCAACCAAAATGAATACATGTCCACCAAGTAATCAAATATCCCAAACTACAGATGTTGATATATACAATACTGAAGTAAACCGCAAAAGCAAACATTTTTCATCTAAAACCAAACTTTAATATGATAGAAGAAACATAACCACAACAACCTTAGAAGGATAATCAAAAACACTATAATAATAATATTAGCAGCGACTTCTCGTCTTAAACTGGACACATATATACAAACAATGTAACTCAAAGACCATAAGGATACGTAAGTGCTTGGAGAAAAAGCAACACCACTTGTATAATGACTGATGATAAGATTCGCTTCTCCAAACCTTATTAGATGTAGTGACGTTCGAACCAATGACTCGGTTGTTATAAATCGAGTGTATATGCCAACGAATCATTGGTGTCTTAATAAACCATAAAAGTGCAAACCTGAGGTTTTTACAGACAAATCTTTCTGAATAACGATAATACCTGGTGAAGCAGGAGGATATCAATCAAGATTCAAGCGAAACATGAGATGGTTATATATTTATATGATAATTAATTCTCAATACGTAGCTCCCACGTTTGATATTAAACCAATCAAGGAAAAAACAACACTCACTAGAATAGATTATAAATGAGATTTAAGGAGTCTCTAATTCTCGTTTTTTTCTATTCCTCATGTTACCTTTCTTGTACATCTTTTTGGATTATTTAAATGCTTAAAATTTTTTTTATGGTTGACAACACTATATACTGCGTTAGTCTTTTTTTCCTTCACATTCCCAGTGGAACATAGGGATTCAAGCTAGTGGCTTGAAGTTTCTGTAGCAGTGTTTATTTTAAGGATAGGTTGCTATAACTTTTTTCTATATTTTTGGCGTTAGTCAGTGATCGCCGACAATTAATCCTTGAGATAATTGCTAACATTTGTGGAAAGCCTTAGTGGTTGTGTGTTTTTCAAGCTTTTGTTGACAATCTAGACAAAACCTTGAAGCCTCTGTTGAATATTTTGCCTTGTATTAGCAGACTTAAAAAAACCCAGTAAATATCTCGATCACATTAGGTACCGAAAGAGCAAGAGACATGAAAGGATAAAAAAATAATTCCAGGTGAAATTGTTGCATACGCATACTGAACCATTTCATGCATTTTATTTTATACAACAATTTTTACAAACTGAAAAAAGAACAATAAAAGTAAATTAGTTTACCTTAATCGGTGAAATATGGAAATTATCAAAGATTGAGCGATTCCCTTCTTGTAGATGCGCTTGTACAACCGGTGAATCAATTAGCTTACTGGTGATCAGAATATAATCCTGTTTGAATGCTTCCTCCTAGAATGTAACAAGTGAGAATAGGAGGTAAAGAAAAAATATGATACACTTTTGAAGAAATGACAGCATAGTGGTGGAAATAAAACTAATCATGGCGCTGATAAAAAAGGGGATGCATAATCATTACTGGGGTGAAAATCGAATGCTGATATCACAGAAATATTATGAAATGGGATAAAATAAAAGCAATGCAACAAAATTGCCCAGATCTCACAGATGATGACTCATGAAACTCTTAAAGGGAGATCACATGCTAAGAGGCAGATGCAAAGTAGTGATGAGAGCATGACAATAACAATAATAATAATAATGACGATGAGAAAAATATGACGTAAAATGTATCAAATAAATATCGTCATGTGCGTAAACAAATAAAAGTGAAGACTTTAAATTACGAAAACGGAAAGTTCCTACCTGTTGATCTGAAGGGTTTGGATTGATTTCAAGGTTGATAACGAACTGACTTCAGTTGAAGAACCATTGAAAATTAGCATTGATGGGCCACTCAATTCCGTTCTAGCCGCTCAATGTTATACAAGCTCGCCTTGCAAATTGAAGATCCTAGGCTCGATCCATGGTAGGGTCATGGGTGCGTACAGATGAGGAATATCAGGTTGGGACGAGACAGCTGTCCAGTACTCCCTGGTTTTCAATGGTTCTCCTAACTCCAGTCAGTTCGTGATCAATGTTGAAACAAAAGTTAAACGGAAAATATACGCATTTTTTTAATTAGTCCTTTATTACGATGGGACAAGAGTATTCAGAGTTTTTTCAGCATTTCAGATAATACCAAACGATCAACTAGTAGTTCTAATAGACTTTTAAAAGGAAAGGGGCCGTTTAATTTCAGATAATAAAATGTGATAAGGTGATATGAGATAAATGAAAATCAGTTTATAAGTTTCATCCGACTATAACAAAAACTGGAGTTTTCTGATTTTTTTCAAGTTATTCACTCTGAAAAGCACCATCTGTGTGAAGATGAACACTATTCACAAACTACTAAAAACACTTTATACAATATGTGACAACAGTCAAAATAAAACTAATGTGACTATGGTGTCCGAAATCCTACTATGATAAAGTATCTGTTTTATGCAGTACTACTCCACCTTTCTAAGTATGTTACAGGACTAACTGTTTTTATTCAATGGATAGCTGAGACAACCTAAAGTTACACTTATCAATACTGTCAGATATTTCAAGGAAGTAACCCTGATGCTATATGCTTCTGATTGATTGACGTGAGTATTTGAATACCACTCACATTCACCAGAAGGCCTTGCCATCGAGATCAAAGTCATATAAATTCCCGACTGTCATTTCGCTTGTTTGGTAGGGGTCAAACAAAACATGGCTTCATCAGTCATGAAATCCACAACAGTTAGTTAAGCCACGTAGGAAGGTGTAGACTTTCTGACTGGTTGGGGTCCTCGGGACGGTAAAAACCAATGGTGGAAACAATTGGTGACATGGCTCAAAACGTCCTTATGTTTCCGTTACTACTATTCCTTTGTCTCACACCTCTGTTTACTGACTATATTATGCATTTCTTCTACTTTCTTCTCTTGCTTTGTGTGCTACATGGAGTGTGGCGACTTGAACTGCCGCACATATGTGCAAAGTTCTATGTCGAAAACCGACCGACCGACCGAGCTCCTTAGCGATCTGACCGGTTTGAATCAGCTCAGAGAGCTGAATCAGGGCAAGTCATCCGAATTCTGGTCAGTAACTTAGATGAACTGGTAATACGTTTAATCAAATGCTCACTTTGCAAATTTATTTGCGATTTGCAAATGGTCAAGTGTTAATAAAAATGTAATGATCATTTAAAACACTGTGTGATTTAACAAAATAAAATCTTATCTATAATGGAGTTATACTCTACCCCACAGTGCTCAAGTTTTATACTTATGTCACAATCATTAGTTGTCCCATAGTTGTTAAGGCTGAAATACAAACGATCTCATTGTACATGCATCAAAGAGATAATCAGATAAGTCGTTCTTCAGTCACACATAGGCAAATCTGAACTTGTAAGAGGTGGCTTCTGAGTGTACTCGTTCATTTACCATATCAATGTATTTTACAGAATAGAATTTTGTAATCAGTGGAAAGTGAACGACACCTCACAAACCTTCCCATATTAAACATAAGATTGAGAATGAAGCTGCATTTGATTTAGGAAATACAACTGCAATTAATACTTCATTTCATCAAGCTTAAACTCATTTCTTTAACATAAGCAGGTGACTATTTTAAAAAGTTAGATGTGTAAAGATAAATCAGAGACAGAGCGGAGTGATTAGTAGAATATTCAGAAATCAAATTAACAATCTCCATTGAGACACAAAAACGAAGATTTCAAAGAAGAGAAATTATCTTATACTGGTTGGGGTTATAATTAAAAATAAATGAAATGAGAAGAAAAACGAATGACTAAGGTCACAGAGGGGTACAGCAGGCTTTATTTGATTAGTGGTCGCTAGCACTGCTCTCTTATGACGAAATAAATGAATGCAAAGCTGAATTTATTGGAGGGGTTAAGTACAAAGATAAGAGAGAAATGTGAATTTACCAGGTCAGATATAGTGAAAACAGAAAACAAGCAGAATGAACTTTTCTTGGTTAAAAATTTAAAAAAAGTAGGAAATAAGAAAGACACGAAATTTTGTGAATTATATGCTTGTTTTAATTGGTTAAATGTAATCTAATCAAAGGAAGCGTAACAATTGTTTTGTTTTTTTTGTAAAGAAGCTATTCCCTTTGCATTCAACCGGATAAATTCACGTATTCGCATTTCCGAATGTACCTAATCTCCAAATAAAAGTTAGCCAATTTGTTTATTTATTTCCTTGTGGTGTTTGAATTTTGCTTTGACCTCATTCATCAATCGTAATTTTTCCAATCGATTTGGGATTTATAATCAACTCAGGAAATATGATAACACTTCAGTGTTTGTAACACAAATAACAGAGAAGAGTACTCAAGTGGAAGAAATTACCATGGTGAGCAATTTAATCGATGCTGTTACATGAAACGCCAACCATGGTGCATATTTAGGTAGTATAAAATGAAAAGTGAAATAAAACAGGATGTCAAAGACAGGATCTGTAAGGAAAGATGGACGTTTATTATCCTGGAATCAGTATGGAGATATACAGCATTTAGTACAAGGAATTAGATCGAATTCTCAAGTATTGGTTTTGTAGGGATTTTGTTTGATTGCACGGAGGATTTCATCATGAGCTGACATCAGTTAGAGAACCACTGGAAAACCTGGGAGTACTGGACAGCTGTTTCGTCCTAGTTTGGGATTCTTCAGCAGTACGCACCCACGGGTTCGACCAGGACCTTCTGGTTAAAGGCGAGTCGTAACCAGCGATCCAATGGTCTTGTCTAACTTCTGCCAATTCACGACATACGCGACCATTTCGCAGTCTTCTTGATGAGTTACTGCCATCTTCAACTGCTGTCCTACTGGTCACGGCTTCATCCGAATTCTGTTTAACACCGATACCAAGTCACTGCTTCTATATGGATCAGAGACTTGGTGTGCGCATCACAAAAAACATTCCCAACAAACTATAGACTTCCATCAACCGCTGTCTTCGCTGACTTAATACTGAATATTAGATGACCGGCCAGAAAGGATAATCAGCAAGGAACTCTTGTAGATAACGAACTAGCTAACAACCTATTAACCAACAAATATGCAGAAAGAAAAGATGGATCGAACAGACTCTTAGGAAACCTTCAAGCGACATCACACACCAGGCAGTCGAATGGAACCTGAAAGGAAAGCCACAGGATGGGTGTCCATAGGTGATATAGCGGCAACTATGTGAAGACGAAATGAAAGATTGTGGGCCGTCACAGAGCCAGTTGAAAGTGATGGCAGAGGACCGAGTGGAATGAAGATGTCCAGCTGGACGTCTATGTTCCACCCGGAACTCAAGAGATGAATAACAATAACTACTATAAAAAAAGTCCACAACGACGAGGGGAAACCTGTTGGCTGCTAATTACCATACTTGGAACATAACATTTCAAAATTTTATACCTTTTATGTGTTAACTAAGAACGAAGTTAGAGATTAACACCATTACAAGAAGGTTGACAAATTAATTCATGAGTTGAATAAACACCGCAAATCCCCCACGACTGACACTTTCCTCAAATATATTTAGATGTTATCACTTGTAAATAATCCCTGGGTGATTTCCGATTAAGATTATTTTCTATACACTACTAGAGTAGAATACTACTATCCGTTGTTGTTGTTGGAAATGAAGCATAAAACATAAACCACTTGTCAAGAATATTAAGTTCTCACATTAATTCCCTATTTCCTGACTAAAACCTACTACTTTGGCTACTGAATCACATAGTGCGGATTTCAATAATTCAGCTGATTGAGTACGCTAGTAGGAAAACTATGTTTTACAATGCGATATATCATTTATCTCTTTAGGATCTATTCAGTTTAGTAACTTGAGTGAAGGAACACTGGTAAATGGTTCGTAAATGAGTACACAGTTCATTGATTGATATTATATGAAGTAACTTCGTTGGCTATCAGCACCAATGAAGCCATAAAGCCTTACATTTAATTTTCTCTAAATTATAAGCCGAAATGGCCTATAACCCCAATCCAAACGAACCCAAAGTATAAAACAGTTGAAGACATAACAATGTGTATGGTTAAAAGTTAGTTAAACGTATGATAGGGTATGTTGTTACCAGTTCACTCAAGTGGTTAGCTAGAAATCAGGTGGTTTGAACTGTTTCCACTCTCTGAACAGAGTCAAACCCGGCGGCACACCGCTAATGAGCTTGGCCCCAAACGTGAGAAATGGACTTCCAGTGTTTAGATAACTCAGATTTGGCTAGCAAGCACTACTGGTTGATATGGGTGGTGTCCAGCTACTTATCTCAATAAATCAGTAGTAAATGGTAACTAATGTGTTTAATTTTCTCTGACTGCAGAGCATTATTCAGATCATATACACATTACAACTAATGCAGTTCACTGAGCTGTGGATTACATTCAATTATTGATATAAGGATAAAACTTGGGCATAGTGGTAGAGCATAACTCCATTATGGATAAAATTTTATTTTGATAAAGTCTCTCAGTGTTATACGGTAATATTTACTGATGACAACGTTTCGAGCACAAATTATTGCTCATAATCATATCAAGGCACTCCTCACACAACTTTCTTGCTTCATTTATATACATGAGTAAAAATTGATTAGACATTTGAATAAAATCAATGTAAGATAAAGTTCATTCGGAAATAATATTAGTGTTATCAATAAAATACAATAGGATGGGAAATAAGATGTTTTATGTTAAAAATAAGTAACTTGTTAGAATATTATAATGCGAATTGAATACATTTTAACTTTATTTATTATCTTCTGATTTGACTGGTAATAATATCTTCCATATCTCTGGTATTTGCGTTGAGTCACTTCTAATGTATGTGTTGGGTGTAGACTCTATGAACCAGGATTCAGTAATCAATCTCTCTCTCTACGTCCCTATATTACTTTTTAGAATTTTAACTCTGTCCCACCACCCTATTGTGTGGTTATATGTTAATGCATGCAGTGCTATTGCTGAATTTTTTTCTTCGTGTGATCGACCATTCTAACCTTAGCTAAATTCTTAAGTTCTGATAATCTCACTACCCCTGATCTACTAGTTTGACCTATGTAGTTAACTTCACTCACAGTCATTGCAAGATATTTTGTAAATTATTCTATTTCGTTTAATAATTAGGTCCACCGGGTCCTTTAGCCTTCAGAGCTTGTCTCTGAGTGAGTTTGTAGGTTTGAATGCCACCCTAATTCCTGCTTTATTGAGAATCCTACCTAGGGTCTCAGATGCTCTCTCCTTATATGGTAAAACTGTAAATGCCTTATATTCTTTCTTACTAATGGTATCAATATTATTATTTTATTTTGCTTTTGACTTTTTTGATTTTCCTAATATAAACGAAGCAAGAAAGTTGTGTGAGTACGTTGATATGATTATGAGCAATCAATTGTGATCGAAACACATCAGTAAATATAACTGTATAACACTGTGAGACTTTATCAAAATAAAATTTTATCCATAATGAATTACATCCAATAGGGTAAAGTTTTATGAAAATCTTTAATTACTTAGATCAGAGTTGATAGAGAAGGATTTCTACTTGATTATAATTGCATGGAATCGAAGTGTTGAAGCCAACAATTCGCATCCCTGTAGTCGGATTTTTTTTGAATAACTTACACATAATGATTTGCAAGAGAAGAATAACTGACTTGCTTACTGGCTGAGTTTCAACATAGAACTTTGCACAGAAGTGTAGCAGTTCAAGTTGTCACACTCCACATTTAGCACACAAAGGTAGAGAAAAGGAAAAAAAGAAAGAAAATAGACTCAAAAGAACTATGATGAGAAGAGATGTGCATGAGAAAGGAAGAATACTGTAACATGGAAAAACAGGATATGAGAGATTGCAAAGGAGTAAGTGCATCTGTCCCATGGATAACGATTTTCAGCCATATCACCAAGAATAAGACAAATCTATTTGAATCTATGTGTGCACCCTACTACTATAAAACACAACTATGAAACATATATCTGACAGTCATATACATACATATAAGTAAAACAAAACCAATGAATATCCAATGCTATACAAAAATGAGAGTATGAATTTGCAGACACATCACATTTATGAGAAACTAAAATAACATTTATTACACCATCTCATGATAAATATGAATAATGAGTAATATATATATACACTGACTGATTGATGGTAGACAAAGAAAGAAGATGTGGCGAAAATGTAGCAAAATTGGGCAAATGAAAAACGGATTGAGATAAGATAATCAACAAGAATCTGATGACTGATGATCGCATGATGACGGATTTCACCAAGCATCTCTCACCTCTAAACATTTCACCTACACGATATTTTTTGAAATGATTATTCCGTATTAGTTTGTATGAATGGATAGTACAATTAATTTAGTTAACTTAATATTAACAAGAAAAGTTATCAAAACGACTAAGTAAAACTCAATTTTTTCCCCAATGTACATGTAAAAAAGCACGTAACAAAACATCCAGGTCTAAATACGAAGTGTTTTTTTGTTGGGATCCATGCGGCACAGCTAGAGCTTAAGTGTGTCAGACAGAAACCGATTTATAGCACGACCAAAACTAACAATCTCAAGATTAGTTGTCTGCTGGCCTACCAATACAGATATGGAACAAAGCTAATAACTCAGTGCTGTCTTGATTTTAATGAAGGGATTAAAACGTAAATTGTCGAACCACTAGTCTGGAAAATACTGGATCGAATCTTGTCACAATCCAAATATACCTTCTAGCACTACGCATCACATGGCTACTAGGGTTAATAAAAACGATACATCGTTATTTAAATGTACAACTGATGAAAAAAGAGTTAAACAGTTTGATTATAAATAATCTTCCACTAGGCAGTTATATATATGACGCTGCATGCGACACAAAGTTAAAAAAGGACTGATTTGCAGTCAAGCTGCTGCAGATAATTCAATATTTCCACTTCACTGATTACCTATTTCAGATATATTATAAAAAAAGAGTGAATTTCGGGGGAAATTTCTAGAGCTAATGAAGGTGAAATGATTGCGCAATCCATCTTCTGTTCAAAGTATCATTATTGGTTTGATAAAAATCTTAAATAAATGCTTAACGAAACACTTGTTCAGGAATTATCAGAGTTAATGTGTATGTATCACTAGCTATGCCACAAGGGACGAGACGTGAAGCAGTCACTCCCAGAGTTGCTATTGTAAAACAATTGTAGTATGTATGACTAAGATGAAGCGAATGTGAACTCTGGACTCCGTAGTTATGCAGCACATCAATATCGATAATTAGCAATCTCAATATATTTTTATTATGATTTATTTAGTTTATTTTATTCCTTTACGTTCCCAGTGGAACATAGGGCTTCAAGCTAGAGGCTTGAAGTTTCGGTAGCAGTGGTGTTTATTCGGCAAAGTTAAACTTTAAGCACCATTAACTACCAATCAGCGAATGACCTCGAACGCACCAATCACGTGGAGGAGGCATTTTTGTGTATGGAATACATATATATTTATGAAATAATGCATAAAAACTGTAAAAAGTGTTACAGGGGATACCTTACTCTCACATGTGACAAAAATAGCCCTCAGTTATAGTTTGGAGTATCAACAGAGTATAATTCTATTGTGGGTAAAATTTATTTTGATAAAGTCTCACAGTGTTATGTAGTAACATTTACTGGACAATAAACTGTGCTCGAAACGTCATCAGTAAATATTACTGTATAACACTGTGAGACTTTATCAGAATACATTTTACCCACAATGGAATTATACTCTACCACAGTGCACAAGTTTTATTCTTATATCAACAGAGTAATTTAACTACATTCTATGCATGTAATTATCTAGGTCTTCTAACCCTAACAATAAACCTATTCTTTCCTGAACCTAGCCCTAACGTGAAAATATCCCTAAACTAACCCTAATCTAACTTGAACTAACTCTAATGTCACCTTTAATAAGTTAACCTAACCCTAACTTATCCTTGGCTTAAAGCGTAACTTAATCTTCCGCAAACCTAAGCTGAAACTTGCCTGATATCCCATTTGATAGTATAGCACTTCGATGAGCATATTTTATTGATGATGACAACATTATTTGCTAGGTTTCACTAAGTTGCTCAGTGAGCATTTCAATGTCACTGGTGCGGTTGCACTCCATTGGTAGTAAGTGGTGCTTAAAGTTTAACTTGGCAGTTTATTCTTACGGGATGGAGTTGCTAACCTCATGCCCAACCTTCCCTCTTTACCAGTCTCATTACTGGCTTAGCGAGGTAAAGGAGTGCGTCGGCCAGGGATCGAACCCCGGACCACCTGTACGGCTGGCGAGCATTCCACCGTCGTGCCACCGACGCACATTTTATATGGTAGATGTTGTCAAATTTATGATCCTTCGTTTGCCACCTTCAAGAGTGAGGTGAAGCCAAGAAAGACAAGAAGGCAATCACGCTATTAAATAAAGAACAATAACAAGCGAGAATGTTAGTTTGAATTACAACAGTATGAAAATATCAACGTTTGATATGATAGTGATCAGAGGAGACAAATATTTATTCTTACCAAACAGCAATAAAGTCGATAAGTAAAGCTTACTGGAATAATTATTGTTAGTTATTTTATAACAGTCAACTAGTAGAGTGGTATGTTTTTTTCTTCCTCAAATGAAACACGGCTTACCTTAGATACATGAGCTACAGCACTACCGAAGAAATTAGCTACATCGTACAAAAATCCTTGATCAAGTTTCAGTTGCATTTCTTGTATAAGTACACGGAAGTACCTGTGGACAAAAGAGAATCACATAACATTAATGATATTGGATAAATTGTCGTGAATATTATCGTCAGAGGAAATCGGCTAGAAAACCAAACCGAGGAGAACTGATGACAGGTATTGGCCTAGTGTGCACATACTATTCAATAGAAAGTCAAACACAGAAATATCAAGTGTTTTGAAAACTTACAAATGAAGCAGCCTGTCAAAATCTAAAATTACATATTTCAGAACTTCTATAAACTTGAATCCAGTGTGACCCATCAGCACTTGTCCTCAGATTCAGTCTATGACTGGCTCTATTAACCACAACTTTTCGTTAGAAACTTAAGAAATTCATCGTCATATCAGTAATTAGTAAGCAAGTAGTAAGTGGCTATCCGATCCATTGGTTTATAGAAAAATTAGAGCATAATCACTGTCCGATGCTCCTGGTATGCCTGATTTTGAGTTCTTTACGAACCGACAGACCAAATGATTGGCAATAGTTCCACTTAAACCAATGAAATAAATATACAGGTGGTTTATGCTGCCAGTTCAAATTAGTTAAGAAAGTAAGGCCTAGTCGGCATTATATACTTATAGCAGGACATACTTTATTTTCAGTATGACATTCGTGAATATCTGCAAGTGTGACTTGGAAAAAGGGGTAACCAAATCAATAAACAGTGCCCTCTAGTCCCGTTCACTAGATAGTGAACACCACAACTAAATAAATAAGTCGTTGACAGTTGTATCTCGAGTGCCAGACAATCTATATCAAATAAATTATACTTATATTCCAATAGTTTACACACTATTATGAGCTTTTATTTTTAGTAATATTTCGAGCAAAATTATTGCCCGTGATCACACCAACTGTTGGTATTATTTTATTATTTCATTTTTTTGGTCAATTTATTTTTGTGTATCCAAAATTATATTCCAGGATGTTGCAATTGTGCTGAGTCATTCTTGTTACATGTATCCGGTGTGACCTTAATGAATATAGATTCTGTTATTAGTCTCTCTTTCCATTTGTTCATATTAGATTTCAGAGTACAAGCATTGTTCCAATCAATATTGTGGTTTTTGTCCAATGCATGTGCATTGTTGTAAGCTTGTGTTCCTGTGGGATGACCTTTACTTAGGTGTTTATGTTCATTTACTCTCACTTTGAATGATCTATACGTTTGACCCACATATATTACTGAAATTAAATCTATATCAAGGTACGCGATTAAGTCTTTTAGCCAAAGCTGAAACCACAGGGATCAGTAAGAACTACGTGTGCAAAAAAGTACATTCATCCTCTACTTTTACCTTGGCCTACCATAAGGTCATTAGGGAGGTCATCATTCCATAATTTCATGTTTTATTATGGTCTTTTTACGCCCCACCCCACCCCACCCCACCACTTTCACCTAATTCGCTTCATACCATCATTACTATTTGTCACTCTTTGGATTTTTACTCAACTTGTTTCGGTCTGTACCATTTGATTATATTTCACTCTATGAACACTTAATTTGTTATTAGTCACTCCTCTGACTTACACTCAATGTAGTTGTATTTCCTTCACATAGCTGAATATAACTCATCCCTTGAGACTTAAGTTTTGTTGACTATAAGTACACAAAAGTATGTTACTTATTTGTCTATTCACGTTTTATCTCATGTTCTTTATGACTGTATATGTTATAATGCATTTTAATGACAATCAAGACCACCTTATAATTCTGATTTGCCTTTACTGGCAGATATGGTATTCTAACTATCATGGATATATAACATATAAAGTAGATACTGACTATGCAGCATCTGATACATCCATTAATATATAATCTGCAAAGTTCAACACTGTATGCCAAAAGGCACACGAGTGCGTTTACTTTGCTTTGGTAATACGTGAAATAAGGCCATAACTTTGTGAACAAAAACAATTTGTACGATCTCTTTCGTTACCATCGTCTTGAATATATCATGTGATTCACAAAAACTTCTTTACCCTTCTTTATTCCATGTCCCATTTTTGTTTTATTTTATTTCACTTTATGTTATCACATTCTAATATTTTTTATTTTATTCTATTGACAACACTAGTGTTACCATAGTAATACATTCACATACTCATATTCCTGAATGTATTTTATTTTCATATCACATCTATGTCACGCACGTCTATTGAACTTTATGTTGACCTTTATTTATTCAATTTGTGACTCATAATCCTCTGAACCAACATTATCCCACTTAAGTATTTCCATTCACTGTCAAACTTTAACACAAACACACAGCACACATAGAAAACTAACTGTTATTATCTGTTGTTACTTGAGAAAATCAAATCCCTACAAACAATATATATACGGAGAAGTTAAATTATCACGGTCAAAATTATTGTCCGTCAAAAGTCGAATAATCGTTAAAAAATGTATTAAAAAACATTACAAACATGATACTACACTGGACAGTTGTCTTATATGTGTTGTAAGAACGTCTCTCAGTAACTCCAAGGATAATCCGTAGAGAAATAGTTCTATGCGCTATACGTGTGTTCATTCAGAAGACTGTAGATCTTTTTGCACTTTGGAATCCATTGTTGTTCTCGACTCTGTTCCTTAACCCTCCCCTAGCCTTAACCCTAACCCCACCTAACACTATATAGATTTACTCAGTCTTCATGGAACTCGTTCACATAATCAATCATCTAGGCATGATTTGATATAGAGTGACCTTTCATAGCGTTCCCTAAATCTGATTGGTTCTTGAAAGTCACCTTCATGTGTATTTATCAGTTTACTTGTTCGTATAAAGCAAAGTATATCGACCATACACAACGTCAAGTCCACAAACGTATTCTGGAAAACTGTCCAGCCTGGCTAGCCAGAGGAGAAAAGAAGAATACCAATAGCTCTATCCTCGAACACCTTGTCAACTCTAGACATCGAGCAACCCTGTATAACTACTCCACAGAGTTCTTCAATATCACACGAAAGGACTGTTGAAATGTATCATTAAGAGTTCAAAAAGCATTACATTATATCATTACACTTACTTGAAACGAAATGAACCAGGATTGGCTGTACGCCCAATAATAGCCGACCATTCAAGTAAAGGTTTAATACCTACAGAAGAAACAAGTTAACTTATATTATACAGTGTGTTGAAGATTTATTTTCAAAAGACTATTTAGTTAACACGAATGATGCCAAAAACCAAGTGCACTTATTATTGAGATCATTATGTTAAGCATTAAGTGTGTACTTCTTTTTGAGTCACATCAAAAATTCAAACAGAAATAACTACCACTTGTAAAGTTTAAGATGTAAAAGCCACATTAAGATTATGTTAGTCATCATGTGGAAATAATTGCCAAGTTACCTTTATTTGTGCATTTTTTCTGGTACTTTTGACACTTTTTAGTTTTTAATAACAATAGTAGTAATAATAATGATTTCAGCACATTACTCTTTAAGTAATTACCTTACCAAAAATTCTTCTTACTCATTACATGTATATATATATGTCTGTTTGCACATTTGTTCCATGAACACTCAAGTTATCACACAAAATCTCTACAAGCTAATTATTAACTTATTTAACGCAGCTGAAGAGAGTTCAATAAAGTAAAAATGATATCATCCCATTCTACAGGGACTGTTTCCACTTATGAAAACAAAACAGGTAGTCTAGAGAAGAGTCTCTTGATGATATTAGATAGTTGGAGGCAATCGGCCACAGGAAGCCTTCGACCTAGGTTTCGTGCAAGTTGGCACTCACCAGTCAGCAAGGCGTATCTGCAACCTTGAAGGAACTCATGTCCCTTCTGAGATTCGAACCCGCGTCACCAAGAGTGCTGCAGTCAGACACGTTACCACTGAGCTATTCGGGCTCGCGATTGACCTCCTGTAGGACTGTAGTGGGTAGTTTGATTGGACACTAGTAACTAGTGTGACGTGTCTAGTCCTTTCTTTGGTGCAGACTGAATTCTATCAGTCAGTCAAGAGTCTCTTTTCGGCGGCGAATTCATTCACTTAGCTCTACAGTCTTGTATGCGTGTGTGTGTGTGTACATTAGGTTTGTCCGATAAGAATAAAAATTAGTTAGGGTTATTTGGTGGCAAGACATTTCGAAAATGTGATGAATAATCAAATTGCAGCTAGGGTGGATGAAGACTGGTAAGAGGGTAGTGGTGATGACTTGTCAGAAAACATAGTTATTAGTGTTAATCAACACATAGAAGTTGATTAGGCGTAATACAGTTATGTAATAAGATGAATGGTGTGATGAGTCAGTTGTGATTAGGATGCACATAGAAACAAAGGAAAATATGGAATTATGTCGGAGTTCTAAAAATTACAAATGTTATAAGGAGTTAGAAAAAAAACACAATAAGCACAAACATTTCCATTTAACTGATTAAATTCATACGTGAGAGTAGAATGCCTTGTAACTTACTCTGGATAAGATAACAACTGATGTAATTATCTAATCAATTATTTCCCCAACCAATTATCAACCATGACATCCATATCAGTCTGCCAGTTCACGGCTAGTCTGATAAAATTAAACTGACAGTTAAGTATCACTCACTGACGTATCACTTAGACATGGTTGCAGTGAAATAATAACCTGGTTAGCAACTACCTCTCCTGCTAGCTCTCAGGCTAGCAATCCACAGACTGTCGGTTCGAATCCACCTACGACTTAGGTCACCAACACACCTTCGAACACCACCCACTAAATCAATATCAGTCTGATGAATATAAGGCTGTCTAAGATAGTTTCACCAAACATTAAAACACTTTTGATACCTGAATCAAGTGCGACTGATTTCGGTTGAGGATAAGCTGCCAGTACAACAGGAAAGGTGGAGTCCAGTCGTTGACTATCAATCTGAAAGAAGAGTAGAAAGAAGAATCAGACACATACGTTAAAATAATGATGAATTATAGAACAGAAAATCACCCAGCAAATCTTAATAACCTAAAGTCAGTCTATACAGTTTCCTAACCAGGAAGAGAGGTTCCACAATACATTGTTCAAGTAAACATGGCAACACACACACAACAATGAAGTTGAAACATGCCTGACTATAAAAAAAATGAGTTTAGTGACTTTTTTTATTCCTTCACGTTCCCAGTGGAACATACGGCTTCCAGCTAGACTAATATGAGCAAACAATGAGAGCTGCTGAGAAAAAATATACTATTGTGATACTGAAAATGACACAGATGATTTCTTACCTGTAATCGGAACAGTTTTGCATGGATTTGCATCTGACTAAGTGAAGATTTATACTGTAAGAATACACCAGGTTCAAACGCCCGTCTTAATTCGCATTGATCAGGTTTAAGCATAAGCATTCGACTGAAATCCACTTCAGTTGGATGACTGGTATCAGTTAATTTAACAATACTCGTTGATGTTTTATCTGCATCACTCGAGGAATTCGTGTAATCTGTATAAGCACGTTCTAGGCTTTCACTTAAGGCAACTTGTAATGGCTTTAGACGATTGCCACGTTTCACTTGACTCCATCGAACACCGGAACTACACAAAAAAAAAACAAATAAATAAATAAACGAAATTCTATAGTGTTCATGAAAAGAAATACATTTATATTTCAGAAAAAAGTGAATAAGTAGACAAATAATAGAAGGAAGTTTAATTCAATGATTTAAGTGGTCGACTTTTAAGGACTGAGTCGGTCGGTCGGTCGGTTTTCGACATATAACTTTGCACATATGTGCGGCAGTTCAAGTTGCCACACTCCATGTAGCACACAAAGCAAGAGAAGAAAGTAGGAGAAATGTATATTAGAGGCAGTAAATAGAGGTGTGAGACAAAGGAATAGTAATAACGAAGAATAAAACAGTTTCATTGGAAATCATAAGTCACAAGGAGTGGAGTCCGAAGGCGTTACACTTTAGCTCTATCATCTGGGTAGACTATTACTTTACATCGTCCTTGTGCAATACTTATGACAGACTTAGGCTAAATCATACTGAATTATAGCGATGTACGTCTTTTTTCAAAGGCATCTACCTGTTGTAGACCACATTCAGCCGTCGTTTAAATCAAAAGTATATCAGAGCAATATGAAGCTGAAGGACACATGCAATGTTCGTTTTATTCCAAGAGGAAAAATAAGTGTGAAATAATTTCATGAGAAAAAAACATTAAAAAAAAACAATAAAAAATAATTAGTATGAATATAATAAATGCAAAGACTTTCAATTTCACTAACCTGGTAATAGACACATAAGCTATTTCAGCCCGTGCAGTATTATCGACTAAAGAAATGCCGATTGATTGAAGAGAGATAACAACTTCTTGATCTATTGGTTCGAGATCAGAACTCTACAGAAATAAAGCGATAATAAATATAAGCACACTGTAAATAAGTGTACACAATAAAGTAATGTATGGTTATACAATACTGGACACGTGAGGAAATGTGAAGATTTCTGAAAAAAATTGGGTAAGCACGAATCAACTAAATTATATAAATCTAATCAAATCACATACTTCGAAGACAACTGCTTTCTACACAGATTTTCACTGTTAAAAGATGACAAGATCGACTTCATGATAAAGACAAATTTGATAATAAGACAGCTATTTGTTTTAAAATAGTGGAGAAGATTTGTAGCTCAAATGGAGGGTTCTGTTATGCCTTTTGAAGGCAATGATAACTGAGACTTAATTTTCATTAATCCAACAACAACGATAACCTTAGAAATATGATGTCGTGTAGAATGATATCTCAGCAAAATAAGATGCTGGCTACAGGGTTTCATCATGAGCTGACATCGGTTAGAGAACCATTGAAAAACCTGGGAGTACTGGACAGCCGTTTCGTCCTAGTTCGGTACTCTTCTGAAGTACTCACCCACTGGGGTTCGAACCCAGGCCCTTCCGGTTGCAAGGCGAGCTCGTAGACCATTAGGTCACTGGAATCCGATCCAATGGTCTATGAATTCCAACTTCTGACAATTCACGAGCGTACTTCAGAAGAGTCCCGAACTAGGACGAAACAGCTGTCCAGTACTCCCAGGTTTTCCAATGATTCTCTAACTGATTATGTTTATGAATGTTTTTATAACGTTTTCGAAAACTTTGAAAAAGTATGTTTCATTCTCCTCTGCAACCAACTTGAATTTATTGAATATTTTTAATTGGAGCTTGCAAAATGCATATTACTCAAACATAAATTTTTAAAATACAGATTGGTTTTGATCCTAATAGCTACTTGTACTATGAAAGAAGTTTAACAATAATGAAAGAAAATCGTTTAGTCGAAGGATAAATGATTCTTCACTAGAGACAGTTGAAATAAACAGAATAATTCGATATTACATCTTTTTCGTCGTACTATTTCGATCTGCATAACTGATAGTAACACATAACTGTCGGAGAACACCCCTTTGACTGTTAACTCTCAGCTAATGTTAGAGAGAAACAAAAGTCTAAAACAAAACAGATCAGAAAAGTTTGCTGTCCGTCCACATGGATCTTTGTCATGTTTGTCATGCAATCATTTTTACATTCGGTCTGCAGTACTCACTTACAGCCTAGTTAGTATTTGCAAATATTATGCGTTGACAGTTAATGAATTCGAAATGAGAACACAAAACAATTTCACTCAAATTAGAGGAATAATCTGAAAACAGACATGAAATCACTTTGGGTAACAATATTATTTTCACAGCAATAACATTCATTAATAGCCAAAAGCATATAACTTACTAATCTAGCATTTTTAGCTACATTTACATCTTGAGTAAACAACAATACTCTTTGCATATTCCACATAAACGATACCCAATAGGCTTTTGTATTATTTACATAGAATTCTTCAACAGCATCCTACATAAAGTAAAAATGAAATATAGGAGAATAAGAGTAGGTATTAGTAACAGCTGTGTTAAAAGGAGTTAACTAACACGAGAACAATACATTTTTTATTCTTAATTAGAATATATTAGTGAGAATACTAACTGGTATTGATACCATTCACTCCTGTTCATTCGGGATAAGGTAAATTATGTAAAATCTTTACTTGTATTCTCCTCATACCACCAAATGTAATTACTGCTGTTGCATAACCGTCCAGATGACTTGTAATCATCGGGTTCAAAGGACCTACCAGTAAGAAATTTGTTTACTTAAGTACAGTATAAAGATGGGGGAAGGCTTAATGATATGAAGAATGAGATTTCCAATATAAAAACGATTTTGATTGGAAATAGTTATCCGAAAAAGCTGCTAAATAGTATTATCAATATAAAGGACCAGAAGGGAAAACATAAAATTGAAAAATCTCGGCTATCAACGATAGCCATTCTATATAGAAAGGAGACAGCTGAACAACTTCAAAAACTACTTGCTTTATATAATATTAAAGTCTATTTCAAGCCCTCTAATTCTCTAGAGAAAGCTTTGGTGAATGTCAAAGATATGTTTCCCAAAATGACACAAAACAACTGTGTCTAAAGGATAAAGTGTTCGGAATGTGAAGCTTGCTATATAAGGGAAAGCAGTAGACAAATGAAGGTCAGAGTGAATGAACATAGACTGTGCACGAAACGTCCACCTAGAAATGAAGTAGAATTAAAGAGTCTAGAAAAAAGATCAGCAATAGCAATGCATGCTATAGACAGCGGACATAAGATTGATTTCGACAATGTCGAAATTCTAAGAAGGGGCTTCCATTCACATGAAGAAAGGCTGACCTCTGAAGCCTTGCATATTTTAACCACATCGAATGCAGTAAGTAGGAGAGAAGGGACAGACTTACCACCTATATGGCGGGCTCTAGTGACGCGAAACAGATGAGGGGAAAAATCCAATCCTATATTATGACCATATTATGAAATATTATCATGTTTTGACGTGTTTTCACATAACAAACAACATACACACACGCATATAGGATAATTTGACATTAGTGATTACTAGTATGTAATGACTGTTTACATATTTCTATTGGTACAAATGTCTACCGACAAGTGACCTTCAAAGGAACTCACTTCAATTTATGTAATTTTTGACTATATATTTTGATGGTTAATAAAATCCGAAAAATTTTGCTGAAGAAGCTGTGGCTTACACAGCGAACCGTTCAGAAAAATATTGTTTCAAATTTTTCTTAAACACGCTGGGATTATTTAAAATAATTTATAACTTTTTCACAGATGTTAAACAGGCACATCTATATGTGAAGCAAGCAATATTCGGTTTTTGACGGACGTTCCCACTTTCAATGAAACACAACAAAGATAGGAATAATATGAAGTTTGTACAAGAGATGGGGCTTTGTAAACTCTTTTTTTTATTTAAAATGATGATCGATAGGCTCCAGGCCCTATGAAAGCATCACTATACACTAGAATGAAAGTACGCCTAGTTTATAGGTCTTAAATGGAAAGAAACGTGACTACCGAATTCTACTAGCGAAAACTGATATGAGTAAGATATTCGATAAGAAGTGTTTGAAATATTCGCTAACAGAACAACCCACTATTCATTTCAAGATTAAAGTAGAATACAGCTAAAGGAAGGATAAGAGTCATTAAAAATGGACATAGCACCAATCTATAAAATCTTATTTACACATCATGTATGCCAGTTGGTTAAATAAGGTCCACAAGAAAATCCAGATAAATGTTTAAAGCCTCTAAATGAAATAATTTAGCAACAAATAGAGAAGATTGATTCGAAGTGAAGATAACACAAATTTATCAAATTTAAATTATGTAATGCATTCATAAATTGTTAATAATTTAATGTAATTTATTAATGTAAAATTGAAATTTACATTGGTCAACTTATTTGAATGACGACTGTCGGAGTCTTTACAATAGTGGACTAATTCACGTTTAGCACGTGGACAATCCCATGCATACATGATAGACATACCAGCGTCTAAACGATGAACGGTCTGTGGAAGTCCACTGTAAAACAAAGTGAAAAAAAAACATGACATTATTGTTAGAGAAACTTACACTTACAATTCAACCAAATAATTACGCAAAAACGCTCAAAACTTGAGCACTGTGGTAGAGTATCCATAATGGAGAAAAACGCTCAACATTTCATATTCGGATTTTTTTGCTGAGTTACTTGTTGTATAACATTAATTTTACTTAATCTAAAAATAGCTACATTTTGCAGAATAAAGCCGGCGTAAATCACAATCGATAATTTAAGCCATTGGGCTTAAACAGAAGGTTTTGTCATAGTTTTGTATTATTATTTATTATTATTGTTCCCTTGGGTTCCTAGTGGAACATAGGGCTTCAACTACACGTCTCCACTTGTTTCTGTCTTCTGCTGTACTTTTCACCTGCATCCATGTTAGTCCATACTGTTTCACCTCCTCTTCACACGATCTCCTCCATGTCACCCTTGCACTGACGTCCCACTCGCCGCTTCCCTTTCGGGTTCCACTCGAGCTATGGCCTGACGCGCGATGTCACCCAACGGCCTCCTCAGCGAGTGTCCAATCCATCTCCACTTTCTCCTGCATATTTGTTGGGTGATTGGTTCTTGTTTTGTTTGTTCCCATAGTTTCTTGTTGGTGATTCTTTCCGGCCATCTGATCTTCAGTATAGAACGAAGACAGCTGTTGATAAAGGTCTGCAACCTGTTGGAAATATTCTTTGTGACACGGCCAAGTTTCTGATCCGTATAGAAGATGACTGACTTGACGTTTGTATTGAAAATCCGAATTTTGTTGTTGATGCTGAGTTGAGTGACGAAGATTTCCATATTGGTTTCAGGTTGATGAATGTGTTTCTCGCCTTCCCGATTCTCGATTTGACATCCTCGTCCGTTCCTCCTGTAGTTGAGACAATGCTCCCTAGATAAGTGAATGAAGTAACCTCTTTCAAATTCCTCCCGTTGATGGTGATTGGCGCTGCATAGTTTTGTAGGGCAACGTTTTATACCCGACCCAACACAACTTTTCAGCTTACTTATTGATAATGGATATATATGATGCTTTTTGTCACCGAAACCAGTCAGTTTTGTCTTCTGATTTTTCCGTGGGCTCAGACAGTAGAAGGCATTGAGGGAGTGCAGTCATATTCAGCCTTCATTCGAGTTTCCCATTGGATCTCAGTATCGAATCCAAATCACCAGCATTATTATTGACATTATTATAGCAACTAGTAAATCATTGTTTAATCTAAGCCAAGAAGCGGTTGAACGGAAATATAAGCACATCGATTGGTGTAGTTGTTTGAGTTTTAATAAAGAAACGTTGTCTGAATACAGAGTCATTCACTTGGTATTATACTAGCTCTACAATCTTGGAGGGGAAAACAACTACAAATATCAGTGATAATACTGACGTGTTGGAGAAAGAAAATGATCCTGTCTATGAAGCAAGACAAATCGGAAACAGTAGTTGATAATGATCTGGGAATAGTAGAGATTATGTCTTTCAATGATGACTAGAAAATGATAGCACACTCTGCGGCCTGATAAACAGAGAGAATTATGAACAGATATTTAAAAAAATATTATTTGCCTGAGGTAAAAGCAGTCAAATGGGGAATAATAACGTTGTTTTACTGGGTTTCTTTTAACCACCTACCTTTGATGATAGAAAACAGGCTGTGAATCGCCTAAATTATTAACAAGACGAACTAAAGCCATTCCTTCTTGATACATTTGCAAGGTAATGACAGTTGCTTCTTCAGTTGTCTCGACTTCAACAAATATGCCAGGATACTGAAGAAGAAGAAGAACAAGGTAAAAATCCACACATGTATTTTCATAACTCTCAGCAATCTACCCTTATTACAAATTATTGATTAATCATTGTTGTTCGGTACACGTTTAAATACAGTGTATGAGAACATAATCACTAAATGAACATCAGAAAGTTTAATTAGCATGGTAACACTGACAGCCATTAACTATAACAAACAGTTAAAACTGTAGGAATTAGGGTATCCACATTCATTCATAATGGCAACTGATCAACGGTGAATCCAGGTGACGTGGCTGTTTATTTACAGTAGTGAGATTAGCTATCTTGATCTCTGGCTTACATTTACTGATATAAATAGCTTAGTAATATATACAGGACACTATAGATCACCTATGATAAAGTTACTAAAACCATCCATCAATAATCTTTAGGTTAACTTTATCAATTTGACACCAATGAATTCATAAATGTTTGAAAGTATAGAAAAACTCACCTTTTGATCCAACCTCATGAAAGTTGAGTGTGACTCATAAATTGGAAATGATGTAGTCATAATATCCTTTTCAACACGACATTTCATTAACATATTCTTTGAATTAGTTGCAGTCGGCCAAAATGGTGCAGCTTCACAAGCAGGTACTGTAATCCATTGTGAACTTACAGACTGTGGCGTTTTTCCATCACTTTCATCCACTTCACAACAGTCAATATCTATCTACAAGTTTTTAAATAATACAAATAATAAAAAAGCAGTATAGTAAGTAGTTGCATTATGTTTGAAGTAGGTTATTTGCATTGTAGTGAATGAATGAGGCTCATATTCCAGCAGATGTGGAAATCATATGAGTTTGAAGTAGATAGGCTAAAACTGAACTAGAAGAACTTTTCTTCATCCTAACAATAATATTAAAATAGATGGTTTTCGCAAGAACTCCGACAGCTGATAACAACTCGTAAGTTGCAGATCTCAATACTTTCTCAAAATGTACATAAAAATGCATAATTGAAGTCATTTAAGTTCATTAAGTCAAAATAAATGAAAAAAACTTAATTACGAAATAGGAAACAAATGAAACGCTGGGTCGGTAACTTCAAAGGACTCTTGGACAGACCACCACCTGCAGCTCGTCCAGAAATACCACCAACAGCCACAGAACCACCAGTGAGCAGCAATTCTCCAACAAAAGCAGAAGTCTTGAATGTCGTAAAGTTAATGAAAGCCAGCAGGGAGACAAGATGGAATTCCCATAGAAGCAGTGAGAATCGACCCAGAGACCATAGCAGATATGGTCACTCTACTATTAGAGTTATAAGATTTGATAGTGTGGAATCTTCCCACATTGTGAATTAAAAGTTAATCTGAACGAAGAATATTCTTTTCAATAATTTCTCTTCAGGTTCTTACAATTATAAAATATAATATTTGTTGTCGTTATTATTATTAATATTATTATTATTATTCATAATTTATGCCCTTCATGCAAACATTCTCTCAATACTATCGAATTTTTCATTTATACAATCCGGACTTATTATTAGTGATATTATCTCTTTTCTCAATATATGCCTCCACCTGTTTCATTTCACATATTCGTTATTTCATTATGAACCTCTCATTACAGTCTTACTATCTCCTGTTTAACACAGACCACTTTGTACTAGCCGCTCACCTTCTAAAACCTTGAACTGACTTGTCAATTTTCCTACCCCACACTCTGTAAATCTATTATGATTATTCACGACCATTGTCTCCCGCTTTACAATATTTTGTAATCGATTTCAGCCTAGCACGTTTGTCACACAAATACAACTATTTATTTTGACACCCCATAACTAATCTGTTATTTTAAGTTAAAAAATGTATCTGCCGCATAACTGGCCTTTATTGTAACGACAATAAATATAATATTTTATAATTGTAAGAACCTGAAGAGAAATTATTGAAAAGAAAATTCTTCGTTCATATTGACTTTTAATAAACTCTACTATTGCCGAAAGTTTGGAATGAAGGAAAGGTATCTAATGATTGGAATAAGGACTATCCTGTCAAGCTCCTAGATAAAGACGACTCTGCAAAAAATAGCGGCAAATCATGCTGCTGTGATCCAAAAGCAAAATATTAAGCCTCATTGTTCTGGAAAGACTAAAAGATGCTCTGGATACAAAAGTCTACCTCGAATAAGCTGGATTTAGTTAAAGTAAAACACTTTCAAATCAGATCACAGCGCTACGCATCATAATTGCATCGACTTTGAAAATGTCTTCAACTGCGAAGTATTCTGAAGACTTTTCCAACACTACAGTGTACCCGAAGCTTTATCAACCTCGTTCAACAGCTAAATGATGTCAATTGATTCACAACGAAAAGTTCAGTGAAGTCTTTAAAGTAAAGACAAACGTAAGATTAAGTTGCCTACTATCACTGATGACCATCTTCATTTTTGAAGACTGGATCATGGAAAAGACCGTGGGAAGCCACAAACGAGAATACTTTGAACCGACGAGAAGACACTAGAAGACTTATGTCTAGTGTCACACAGACTCAAAGATCTACAGGTGAGAACCCAATAAGTTTGCTGAAGAGGCAGTAAAGAGAGGACTACAAGGAGACACAGAGAAGACAGAAGTGATGAGGATACCTGAACCATGCAGGAAGGTGTAGATTGCTCGGCTAGGATGGTCAGGATGGTAAGAGTAAATGGTCGCAGACTGTTGGTGAAAGTCCAAAGTCGGTTGCACCTTAGATTTTGCAAATGTTAACTCTATATTTAAATATGTTACATCCCATTGCAATTACACTTCACATCTTTCATCTAGATGCGCGTTTCCAAAGCGTGACAACTTGGAGTCAACCATTTTTGTGCAACAGTCTAGGCTGGTACATCAGTCAATCAGTGAGGCAAGTGATTTTAGGGTAGCGTTGAAAAGATAAATTTTCTACAAACATCTGCAAACAAAATAAACAGAAGGATAGATGAACACAAAAGCTTGAACAGAAAGTATCGATTTAAGTCGCACGTCTTGATAGCAGAAAAAAACGAAAGTTGACAGAAACAAAGTGACTATAGTATCAATCTTTCAAAACTATGCATGGTAGATTAACTATATTAAGAATAATAAAAATGTTGAAAACTTCCAAAGTGATAAAAGTAGGTTAGTACCACTATGACCAACTTGTAGACACCTCATCAAGTAACATGTTATTGATCACAGGAGCTTTACTCAGGGAGTCTATAATTCCTTTCTCTGTACAAAGCAAAACTACGAGAAACAGTGCAATGAGATGAACGAATCAACGTGGAATCATGCACAGAAGTGCATCACATGTAAGTTCCCACACTTCAAAACGGTGCATAGCGTAGAAGAAAATAAGAATAACACTAAGCTACAATAGACAAATAAGGGTGTAAGGGTAAAGAGAATCGTTTATTGAGGATTTAATTTAATTAAAAATCTCAAAGATCACCGTAATATATAGGAAGCACACATACATCAACGGAGACACCTAAGCACATCGTGAATAGTATAGCTGCTAATAAACGAATTATTTCATAAACTTCACTGCAGAACATTTGAACTGTACAAGTAACAAACTTACTAAGATTTAGAAATACTCATCAGTGAGACATCAATTGGTGAATATATTTAAGATAAGCTAAGCAAATAACTCTAATAGATGACAACGGAAAAAAAACTATTAAAGAGGTTACATATTTAAACTCCATCTTCAGTTAGACTTTTATTTGAACCTTGTGCAGTACAACATTTTACCAAAGAAATTCATTCTGGCTATCAAAATTACACATACAGAAAACTACCGAAGTAGTAAAAATAACACACACTTACGTTAGCTTTATTCACAATCAAGAAATATGGCATAAATGTTACAATCTTTGTCAACCCAGAACTTGATAAATTGATTTTTATTCCAACCTGTAAAAATATACAGGAAAATACAATTAATCAAAAAAGTGCAATTTTTTTTAAAAACTGATGGAAGACGCTTATCTTACTCAGTAATCTCAAATTGAGCAGATGAAACGTGTCATTTAAAAAAAGAGAGAGAGAGGCTGATTTACAGAAAACTTTGCTGCCTACTGATATTAGACGATCGAGTACAGAAAACAGAAGTGATGCCTAAAAAACTACTTCATAGTAGTTAGTTATTCATGAAGATTTAAAGAATTGTGAATTACAAAGTCGACCAAGACATGGACGACAGACGATATGGAAAGACAACCGTTTTGCAATTAAAAGTGTTCTCTGAGCTGGTTGGTTTAGTCGCGAAGCTTTCGTCGTCCTTCCGGACAACATCTTCAGCGCCATATTTAGCACAATGTGAAATGATTTAAATTTCTTCATGCGTGATGTAATTGCGTTTCCTGAGCTACAAATCTATATTATTTCAAAGACAACCGTTTTATAAATCGGAAATATTGATCTTAGCTACAAGAAAACTCTAAGATTGAGAAGGTAAACAATGGTTAAGTTACAAATTCATTATTACGTGAAATAAAACTAACGCTAAATGAAAACGTCCGTGAAAGTTGTCGTTTATAAAGAGCACTGTCTGTTTGTAAGATGACATCAGCACGATATACCCTTGTACGTTGACCAGAGACACATTAGACTGCAAATGATGATCTTACAGTTCTGTTTCAAGCAACACTTGTCTGATAAAGGACAGTAATGATTCTTATCCAATGGAGAAGTGTTATCATTTTTCTCCTTATTTAATCAGTCATAAATCAATTGTCTAGTTGTTCAACCAAATACAGAATGCCATTGAGTATTAAAATAAAACAACAAAAAAAGTGTTCTGCATGTAAGCATTCGTGACAGTATCATTTCTATTGGATTTGAACTACACAAAGAGTTTTAGACAATGCCAAAAATGAGGAAAATTTCTAAACGGTTTATTTCACAAAGCTATTGTAAAGTCAATCCATTCTTTCGAATTCATCGAAATAAAAGAATAGTCTTCAATATATTGTCAGATAAATCACATGAGTACCAATCATTCTTTATTATTAGTTGTTCATTGACTAATGTAGTCATAATATCTGATCAATAAATAACGACAAAAAAAGAGAGAAAAAAACAACACTGAACTAACCTCATAGGAAATTTTAGATTTTGTTGTACAGTGTACACGACCTGCACTTCCAACAGTATCCAATGAAAATTTATCAGACCAACCGGAATCACATACACGAACAGCAGCCTATGAAACAAAGAAGAAATATGAAGTAAACAGATAGAAGTATCAAATTATTAAACAAAAAAGTGTATTGTGTTCATCTACAACAAATGACACAACAGAAGTACGACCACGAAAGAATTAGAAAGATGAAACAGAGGGAGGCAGAGAGGTGAAATAGCAGTAGAAAAAGGTGCTTCTCCAAGAAAAAAAGTCGTAAGATTTCAGTGGTAAACATTTTGAGTTGACTCTATGACCATTTTACAACATTATATGGTTAATCTTCAAAACTTCGCAACAGAAGTGATGTAATCGACGAATTAATACCTGTCTACGTCACTTAGAGAGTAGTTGTGAAATGTCAGTGTATCTTGGTTTTTTAAGAAGAAAATAATTTGGCAAAAATGTAAAGATGAACAAATCAAAAAATATAACACTAATTCATGAAGACTAACGAGTCAAGTGTAGGAGTTGAGATATAGACATTTGGTGATTGACGACTATACGTAACTGATTTTGAACAGACATATTTACTTTTCATGTTGGGAAATTTGATGCTTTTTTTAATTATTATTCTATACTTTACAGTTATGGCTCCATATTATTGTATTATATAATTATAACCTGATAAATCTGTACTTCTAAATATCTATTAAAAGAAAGCTGTTACATGATGAATACTTCTATTGTAAATACCACACAAAGGTAGACAAGAAAATGAGTGAAGAGAATCAATAGAGTTTTGACAAGTATAAGAGTGAAACAGAATGAGTAATGGTAGAAAGGAATATGAAGGAATATATGATTGTCGGTAGTGGTTTTTTGGCTTCCGTCGTTTTTAATGGACACAGAGTGAAGAGCCATCAAGTAGAGGAGTTGCATCAGTAGAAGGAAGGCAGGATAACAGAGATGAAGATGAAGACAAAGATGAGCGAGGATTAGAGAGGTTTCGCGTGCATTTCAGATTGTGAGGGCGATTGTTACTTCCCGGCTGCCCACACCGTGGAAGTTGGTTGCGTGACCGCAGAGCCCAGGGGACAACTGCTTGAGGCCGGTCACTTATAGGCAAACGTATAGGCAAATAAAAAGGACTGCAGAGAACAGGGAGAAATGAAGATGTGTTGTTGAAGCCCCATGTTCTTAATGGGAACACAAGGGATTCATATAAAATATATATAATCCAAAGAATAGGGAGGAAGGAAATCTGAAGTATAACTACAAAGAATCATATGCTGTTACCATATTACATGATTTAAAAAAATAAAAATAATATTCTGGAAATCACGTTTAAACAGAAAACGGAATTTTAAGAGTTATTTGTTGCAAATATTTACTCTTCGTATAGAATCTTCAATTAGATATTCATCGAAAGTATATCGTCATTCTATGTGAAAGAAAACTCAATCGTCTACTAATATATTTTCCCTTCACCTTCTTCTTGAAGTGCACACTGGAAGGGTTGGGGAAGTCACTTTAAAAATTTGCGCGAGTTCAAGTCACAATTCAAGGACATAATTGGAAGATTAAAAAACAATAAGAAGTTGAGAAAAGTGGATGCATTATCCTGGATTGAAATATAGCTCTAGCTCAGGGGTTTAAGCAAGCCACTTACCGCCGAATGAACTATGAACTGGCAGTTTTGATTAAAATAAAGCCTTTCTGTTTTTTTTTTTTTACATAGCCTCAATTATTCAACAACCTAATTACACAAATGATATTTTGATATAATAATAATAATAAAAGCAAAGCTAAGCAAGGTTAGTTTTAAATTAGATGGCTAGTTAGCTTATGACAAAGTCATCATTTAGCAAAACAGAAGCAAAACACACCATAAGAAACAATGTAAACATCAAATCTAATGTACATATATATATATATATATATATATGAATATCATTATGACTATATAATGCTATTTCCGCTGACGGTGTAGATCAGCTCATAGTAGGAAACCGAAAGCTCTTTGTTAATAAAAACAAAAAAAGACAAACACAAGGTTAAAATTTACGCCTGACATAAAAAACGAAAGCCACAGATGAAAATACAAAAATATATCATCATCACCAAACCTTAAAGCTATGAATAAATCTACAATGATTTTCGTTAAATAAAAAAGGGTATAAATGAAAACAGCGATAAAAAGAATTACAGCTTCCTTTCAGATTAATATTATAGAGCTATAGGGGGGGGGGCTAATCATATTAGTGAAAATTAAACAGCTATTCTCAGATCAAACAGCACACACAACAGAAAATATACAATGTAGAGAATTAAAACAACAAAAAAGAGAAAAAAATAAATGAAGCAATTCGCAGCAAATAATAATAATGATGATAATAATAATTCTTGACAGAGACCTGGATTTTACTACCGAATTTCAAAGAACGATTATTAGCCAGTTTGCGTTTCGATGAAGACTTTTTACGCTTATTATTCGATGAGAAGCGTCCACTACAGCAACTTGAATTTGAAGAATCTCTATGCCTTGATGATATACGCCACCATTTTCTTGAAGATCGTTTGGATAATCGACTCTTTGACTGGTCTGATTCATGATTATTGTGTTTGGTTTTTGGCTGTATAGTCAGATGTTCCTCAGTGATTTCTGTAGTAATATATAAATTTTGAATTTAAACTATGATTACCTGTCTGAGAGTTTTGTCTTAACGCCTGGAATGATGATGATGAGGATGCGGCTACTGCTACTGCTGTTGATGCTGCTGGATGCAGTGGTGTCGTTAAGGCCAATGGTTGAGTTTCAGTGTATTCAGTATAAACTTCTCCATCGGATGAATGAAAACTTGTATTTTTTTGTATCTATGTTCATCATAAAATAATTGTTGTAAATTAAGAGAATATTGATGTAGGGGAATGGATGTGAGTGGTGAAATACACCAAAGAAATACAAAAAAAGAGAATAAAAGTATGCTAATACTACTAATAATAATATAATGTATTTTATACATGTACTGTATGTATTCCTATCAATCTAATAATGTATATAGACTCGCGAGTTATATGAAACAACTCTTCAACACATGCTCTGTCTACTTTTGGGAATGAAAATTACTCAGTTAACGAGCAGTATTTCCACAAAAAAAAAGAGAGGGCGGGAGGGAAGGGTTATGCAGTACAACAACACTAATGAAACTTAGATGATCTCAAAAATAAAGGAAGATGATGGTATAAGAATCACAACAGAACATGTCGTGTAAAAACAAAGGACTGACTTCAGATAACAGACAATGTAAGTGATAAATAATGTGAAGTGCACACACAGAGACATTTTAAAAAAAATGTGTGATGTGCAGCAACGGGAAGGTGAGTAGTGTCACAAAGTGGTTTTACAAATAGAAGTGTTAAAAACAAACAAATGAACAAAAAATAGGTGTGTGAAATACGAACAAAACGATGACTAATCAATTTATCAGTATTATTATTATTATTATTGATGAAAGCATACAGGCCTTTTTCTAAGGATAACACATCTGTGATGATGATATACGGGTTACACTTATAAGTACACAAACACACACACACACACACAAATACATGCTGCTGTAATGATCAAGTCAGCAAACAGACTTTTAATCTTCACACTGAAGAAATATGTACACACTGTCAATGTGAATGCCTTTCAATAACTAATGAATGAATTTGCTATTATATATAACTACACTGAACAATAAATGGAGAGACAAGTGATTATACATAAGAAAAAAATCACGATGGATGTGTTTGTGTGTGTGTGTGCTGATGTATAAATGAAGGTATGTAAGAATATAATTTTATCAATAGAGTACAACCTGAGTTACCATTTGGATTTATAAAGCTGAATATTCAACGGAAAAATATCTAAACATATTACTAGCAATGTATAAATTAAAACATGTCTGCCTCTAACAACTCATGGCGTACCTTTCTTCATTTTAGCTTCTCTCAGGGACTGATTACCTAAGCCTTCTCTTTTTTTATTCCTTCACGTCCCAGTGGAACATAGGGCTTCAAGCTAGAGGCTTGAAGTTTCTATAGCAGTGTTTATTTTTACAGGATGGGGTTGCTAGCCTCATGCCCAACCTTCCCTCTTTACCAACTTTATTACTGGCTTAGCGAGGTAAAGGAGTGCGTCTGTGGCCGGGGATCGAACCCCGGACCATGTGCATGGTCGCCGAGCGTGCGAACCGCTATGCCACCGACGCAAGCCTTCTCAGTATGACGTTATGGTGTTATGTTCTCTATCTTCAGGTAAAGCCACTAAATGTACATTTTAGTATCACGATATTGCTGTTCCTTTCTTTTTTTTGTGAGAAGTGTGAGTATTGAGTTGTTAATATTTTTAAACAAAAAAAAAATAATCTCATCAAAGGCATAAAAACAAAGTAGGCGTACAGTAAGTAGCCTACTAATAGAAAACTTACCTTTCTTTTGCCGAAAAATGATTTCGTCAAGGATGAGTAGAGTAGAGCACCAGTAAATGTCGCCGGATGAGAAATTTCAGAGTCATCTACCGACTGTTATAAATAAAAATAAAAATAATAATAAAAGGGTAGCAAAGCAAATAGCGTTTAAGATTGTGAAGAATGCATTCGATAAAAAAGAGGTTCAACAACAATCTAGCGAGGAAAATAATTCCAGTGTTTTGAAATGAAAGTTGTGTGACAAAAATAGCAGCTTTTCATCTGACTCTGAAAGCATTCTTAGGCTCTTACTGGTTATCAGACAAACAGATGGATAGTGTCAACACAAGAAAGGACATAGCTATTGCATAGAGGATTGAGTTGTTACACCTTAAATCTCAACACCAAATAAATCAGAATAAGAAACGGGAAAACTTAATCATCAATAGTCGTAAACTGCTCTAGGAAAAGGTGGAAGGAATGGAAAGCCAGATGATGTAGTTAAAGTATGAATACATCTGTGCTCCAGCAATCGGACTGTGAACTATCTTACCACCATCATCTAACTATTGGTTCAAATTGTTTTCTAGACCACAGAGAGACAACCTACATTCCTTTACATATTTTAGACTTTCAGCTGTCAAATTCATGGATTGACTTCATTTATGATTCTGACAACCACTGCTCTTTACCACCTGAAACTAACTCCCACTACTAATGGCACGCAGCGATAGGTATGGGTGTCTAACTCATATGCGAGTCACCAGCTAGAATGTTTTCCGGGTGTTTCCTCATATTAGTAGTGACCACTTCAAAAAATAAGGAATCTGCTAAAACCTTTAAAAAGTAACCCCTTGAAAATAACGAAAAAGCTTAAGAGAAATGAGAGCCAACAACATCGCTTTGCTCGACCTCACGAATTATCAATTATTGTTCCTGGTAAATCATTCTTCCTATGTGCAGAGAAAACACATATTCTTCACAATTTCTCTTACATAATCCCTACAATGCAGTAGAACAGATCGCTGAAGTATTGGGTTAGCATTCCTTATTTAAAAAAAACCGGTGGGAGGAAATGAATTTTCCCGGTATCAGAGCAATATAGCAAGTGTGGGAAAGCATAGAATCTATTGTTATGATCATAGAAACTAGCTTCTATAGAGAGTGATACACTTTAAATTTGAAATTGACATCATAACTATCAGCTTCTGATTGTATATGAAGAAATCAAAAATTAAAAGTAACCACTTGCTCTGAGGTGGTAAGCTAAACGAAACTAAATGGAAGGAAGATAAATTATCATGTAATAAAGATAGGCTTTACCATAGTGGGATGAATTCACTAGCTTTGTATTGTCCTATATTAACTCCAATTGAACGCTTATAAAACTAATTCATGAACCCATATTATGCTTTTACAAAAACTGATTTCTCGTATGCCTACCTAATGTTTGCCATTGTATAATTCAACATTGGTATCCGATTGTTTTATACATACTTTAGGTAGTTACGCGCTCTCTCATTCTTCAAAGTTGGATTTCGCCTACAATGCATTTTTCAAGTTTTCACTTGTGCTTCTTAATACAAAATTGTTTGTATTTGGCCACATACAGCGTTTAGCACATTGTAGAACGTGAAAACGTGAATGTGTAGCAGAATATTAATTGGATTTACATATAGTACGCTATAGCTTCATTATGTCAGATACCTTATTTGAAATTAGTAATAAGAGATTTATGAGTAATATGAAGCAGCGAATATGACTTTTAACAAGTTAACAAACAAAATATAGTACGAATGATGTCTATCAAACAAGATATTATGCATGAGCACCAGCATGTGTCTGCAATCTGCGCTACTTTATAGTTATTAAGTTTACTATCCTTGATATTCTTGAAGTACCATATGTAAACAAAGTGAAACATTTTAGAATGGAGCTAATACGTAGAAGTAAGACGTAGTGTTAGTCTTTTGAAGACTCGATGGAGCAATGACTGACTCATCAGTTTAGGCAGTCGACTCATTCAACCATGCTGCACGCCGTTACCGGGGGGTCTATGAGAAACAGTGAAACGGTCATAAAAAACTAACCATCAACAAACTTACTTTATAGGTTAAATCTTTTCCAGTTTTATTTATCATCCAGTAGGGTGCATAGAGTGTAAGACATATTTGGCCCAAATTTGAAATAGCATGCAGTCCTAAGTGCTTTTATATGCATGAAAAACAAAAACAACAACAAGAGAAATAAGAAATTACAGTAATACAAAGAGTATCACTGGTAAGAGGATGTGCAATTTAATCACCTTACTCTTGTTCAATTACAAGCAAAGCTGAACTGAAACCTATTCTCTGTGATAAAGCTTCTGTATGCTGTATATATATGGGACAGATGTAAATTTTGATGAATTTCGATACATACTGATAAGGTATTAGAGTTTTTCACAAAATTTCCTTAATAAATAGGCTTTAGCGGAACATCAGTCTTGAGTAGACTAGAAGTGAATTACTTGTTTTAGATAGCATTGCTAACTACATAAATACAACAAAATAATACACTTAGGAAACCCTGTAACACATATGTCGGCTAAAACTATCATTCTGATGTACCTCACTATAAACATTAGATTGTTACTTTTTAAAACTCGTATTCTCGTTGTTTATTTCCTGTACGTTCGCAGTGGAACATAGGGCTTTAAGCTATACGCTTGAAGTCTCGGTAGCAGTGGTGATTATTTTTACGGGATGGGGTTGCTAGCCTCATGCCCAACGTTCCCTCTTTACCAGTCTTACTACTGGCTTAGCGAGGTAAAGGAGTGAGTCGGCCGGGGATCGAACCCCGGACCACCTGTGTGGTCGGCGAGCACTCTACCGCTGTGCCACCAAGGCGTATTCTTGTTTTACAGCTGTATAATTCATACTTTCTATTTCTAGTTTTGTCGATAAAACAATCTACTAAAATGTTGAGAGTTTCACCCTATGTTCTAATTGATTAAGTAGAGTAACATGATAGCAAAGTCATAGAGAAATACCACTTAAAAAAACATAATTTTATGATTGATAATGCAAGTACTGTAAAATAAGTAAGTAGGCGGAATACTTGAAAACTGAGATAAAGGATTCATGTTTCATCCTGTTTACGGTTTACGCTTAACCACTGTCGTCATTTTTTTTACGAAGAACCCCAGTAGTATTTTAGGATAATTTATCATCCCTGTGTTGTTACGCTATACATTCTCACAGTATTTCCTACTGGAGGACTGATTCCTATTGATAAACGAAAGTAGGTTAAATTTGTTATTATATTCCGTCGTATTAAATATTGTAGCTAAAGAAATCCTACAAAATCAAAGTAGATTTAATGTTATTCTACCCCAATGTTTGCTCTTTCTCCTTCAATAAGTGTTGTTGGTTCCATCGAATTAGTATATACGTAGATTTCTTGCTTACATGTTACCATGTGGACTTATTAGGAACTGATATTAGTTAGAGAACGACTAAAAGACAACCATTTTCTTCTGATTTCAAACACTTCATTGGTACAGCCTTGAAAGAATACGAGTTAGCTGTCAGAACCCAAAGAATGATATGTTCTAAGAGAGTTGCCAATTCACAAAACGGTGTAATAATCATCCAGTGTTATTCATGAGTAGATTTCTTCAGTTATACACTAAGATGATCATGAGTTTAGATAATTGGTTCCTGTATTATTATTATTTCCTTTAATTCCTAGAGGAACATAGGGCTTCAGCCGTGCATCTCCATTGCGTTCGGTTCTCTACTAGAGTCTTCACCTAGCTCCACATCTGTCAACATGCTTTCATCTCCTCTTCACATGACCTCCTCCAAATCACCCGTGGACGACCAACTCGTCGCTTCCCTTTCGAGTTCCACTCGAGCGATGGCTTGCCTAGTGATGTCACTTGATGGTTTTCTCAGAGTATGATCAACCCACCTCCATTTCTTCCTGTCTGTTTGTTTCACAATCGGTTCCTGGTTGGTTCGCTCATTGCCAGAGATCCCTCCCTGTTGCTGATCATTTCTGACTGGCCATCTCATCTTGAGTATTGAGCGAAGACAACTGTTGATGAAGGTCTGTAGTTTGTTTGAGGTGCTCTTTATGACGCGCAGTGCAAGTCTCTGATCCGTATAGTAGTACTGACTTCACATTGGAGTTGAATATCAGGATCTTATTTTTGATTCTGAGTGCTGTTGACCTCCACACTGACTTGAGAGTAGTGAAAGCTTGTCTTGCTTTCCAGATTCTTGCTTTGATATCCTCGTCAGTTCCGCCTGTAGTTGAAATGATGCTTCCCAGTTAGGTGGTAAAAGAGGTTGTTTCTTTCAGGTTCCTCCCATTTATGCTGATCGTTGCCTGTTGTTGTTGTTCTTGCCCAGGAATCTTCATCACCTCTGTTTTCTCTATGTTCGCCTGAAGTCCTATCTTTGATGCTTCTTCTGCCAACTTGTTGCTCTTCGCTTGCATATCTTCCAGTTTGTGGGAAATCAGACATATATCATCGGCGAAGTTCAGATCCTCCAAGTTTTTTGTGTGAGTCCATTTTATGCCTGTTTCCTCATTGCCCGCTGTTTCTCGCATTATCCAGTCTACTGCAATCAGGAAAATCATTGGCGATAGTAGGCAGCCTTGTCTTACTCCTGTCCTCACTTCGAAGGATTCCGTAAGTTTCCCGTTGTGGATTACTTGGCATGCAGCATTGTCGTACAGCTGTTGGATGAAATGTAAAATTAATAGAAAGTTGTCTATGAACTGTATTTATTGCTCTAATTAGGACATCTTAAATGAGTTGGACTCACTTTACATAGACTCTATATTTGGATTCTTAAAATAGTTTCACATTTCACTTAATTTGTTTAAATAGAAATTCAATTCAAATACACTTACCAAATTCAATACTTCATATTCTATACGAGATTCAAATTCAATAACACAATATTCATCCATCTGTGGGCGTAATTCCAATTTACCTCGATACATTTTTCGATCATATTCAAACTGATAATAAAATAAGGAAGTAAGAACTATTAATAAGACAAAAAACTGTAAATGCAACACGATAGATACGAATGTGAAACTTGATTAGTTATTTGTGCTACAAATTTAGTGAACTGAAGCACAAGAAACATGTGTACACATTAAGAAAGGTGTCCTACAGTAACAGATTAAGAGATTTTAAACTCAAAGTAAAAATGATACATTTTTTGATAACATAATACTAATCATACACAGTATACGAAATCTGTGAATGAGAGAAGACATTAGTATTAGAGAGTATGAGTTACTTAGCTACATGAAAATACATTCCTAACTCCTAATACTAAAATTTAATGGGCCATAGTATATTTGGGTGCTGTGTCAGAGCCTAGTGAATGCATTGACCAGTCGATCAGCAAACAAGAGTAAACCAAGGGACATGTGTACTGCTCAGCAGTTCGCTCCGTCCTTCTCTATGGCTCTGAAACATGTCCAATACGAGTTGAAGACATGAAAAGGTTGACTGTTTGTGATCATAGATGTCTACGATCTCTCTCACGTTAGGTGGTATAATAAGGTAGGTAATGTTGACGTTAGGCGTAGAGTGTTGGGAAAAGAGGGAAAATCAATCGACGAGGCTATAAATTTACACAGATTGAGATGGCTAGGTCACGTGCTGTGCATGCCTAACCATCGTTTCCCCCGATGGGCATTACTAGCTGATATAGGTGCAGGTTGGAAAAGAGTAAGCGGTGGCCAAACAAAAACATTCCATCAATCCATGAAATCCTTGACAGTTAAACTGAGTCAGGTAGGGAGATGCAGACTTCCGGGTTGGGGCCCTCGGGACTCTAAGAATCAATGGCTGGAGACCAATAGGTGACATGGTTCAAAATCGTTGTCAATGGCTTACGCAGATGTATTCAGTCTCTGTAATCTTTCATATTCCTTTCTACCATTACTCATTCTGTTTCACTCTTATACTTGTCAAAACTCTATTGATTCTCTTCACCCATTTTCTTGTCTACCTTTGTGTGCTATTTGGAACGTGGCAACTCGAACTGCTGCACTTCGGTGCCAAGTTCTACGTTGAATCCAGACAGACAGAGACAGCAAACAACTAGCAAAATTTTAGGACTAGACAATTACGACAATTACTAATTGCAACAGACTAGCACATGGTAAAATCCTTGACAATTTGAAGTGATTTTTGGCGGGTATTTTAGTTAAACAACCTTCACGCTAATTGACTGACTGGCAAATCAATGTGGGATTATTTTACAAAAAGTGTATCAAATTCAAGTTACATCGATTCCACATTAAACAAAAGAGAGACTTAGTAATATTAAGATGGAAAAACAAGTGTGGATTGAAGAATAACTAAGGGGAGGTTAGAGAAGATGTAGAATATGGAAAATGACAAGGGATGAATACATCTGTATCAAGTGCAACCGTTATGAGCCATGCCAAAAAACGGTGGTCCATTCTAAAGAATGCAGCCAGACAACCTTCACTAATATGTGACTCAGACCAGAGTCAACTAAGAGGAAGTTGATTTCTTCCTTATCAACATGAAAGTGATAACACAGCCAATCAGGAAACTTCTTGAGGTCAGTCACGCATGACAGGAGATATTTCTGTGTACAGATGAACTCAGCCACCGTACAGCACGTCAGGATGTACAACTCTAACCTCTCCTCCCAGTAATAGAGAAGTAACACTAGTAGCTTGCCAAAGTGGACACCTTAATTTCGATACACCCATTTCCGACACTATCATAAATGTGCTCTTAGATCTCCCCCACAGTGATAGCAACAGTCAAGTAAAATAATTTGAAAATTATAACAGGAAGTTGATTTTATAACTGTTGATATTAGATGGTTGGAGGCAATCGGCAGGAAGCCGTTGGACCTAGGTTTCGTGCTAGTTGGCACTCATCAGCAAGGCCTTCTGATGAGTGCAACAGCACGAAACCTAGGTTCAAGGCTTCCTGTCGATTGCCTCCAACCATCTAATACCAACAATTCACAGTGCACCGTGATGGCGAGCCACCTAGCATGGTAGCCACATTGCAAGCTTGACTGATAGAATTCAGTCTGCACCGAAGATAGGACTAGACACATTACACTAGTTACTGGCTAGTGTCCAATTAAAAAAGGATTTCATAACTGTTGAATGTGGAGAGGGCTCCTTGAAAAGAATACCAATCATTCATATTTGACTTTCAGGCAATATTTTGAATCCAAAAAAAAACAACTTGAGGAACAAGTTAAAATAGGATTTTACTCACTGATATTTCTATAGTAGCATTGTTTGGTCGTACAGTTTTCAGTGCACAATGATTGCCAGCGGGAATTTGTTCTGAAACATCCTTAAAGAGAAAGTTTGAAAACAAAATTAAAATTATTCTACTTTACATATAGTCAAAAGCCAAGTGAAAAAATGTCGAAAATTTGAAACCAAAGGAGAAAATTGAAACAATTAAAATCGTCAAAATATCTGCCAAATGTCCTAGCACTGTTACATTTTTTAAAGATTAAGAAATGAAGTGGTCGAATTCATTGACTAACCAATCAAAGTTTATGAGATATTGAATTGCCTATCAAAGAACATGTGTACTAAGCACTGATTCATTGTATTACACTCTCAAGTTGACTATTCAAGTGATAACGAGGTTATCGATTTTTCAGCATAATCATAAAGGCGAATAAAATGTTGATCGAAGGAATAATACATTAAAACGTCTATCAACTTTATGGATAAGAAACCTCCTGCCATGAATGTACATATTCTTTATACAAAAAAAACAGGAAGTCGTGACCAGTAGGGTGCAGCAGGTCGGGTGTGAGGACAAATACTCGCCGAAGACATTGGCTAGGGGTCGCGCTATGTCGTGAATTGGCAGAAGTTGGAATTCATGGACTGGCCATTGGATCGGGTCCCAGTGGCTTAATGGTCTACGAGCTCGCTAGCCTTGTAACCAGAAGGTCCTGGGTTCGAACCCCGGTGGGTGCGTACTGATGAAGAGTCCCAAACTAGGACGAAACAGTTGTTCAGTACTCCCAGGTTTTCCACTGGTTCTCTAACTGATGTCAGCTCATGATGAAATCGTGTAAAACAGGAAGAAGCTTGACGCAATCATACTATATAGAATAAAACTTACTGGCAGTATAAAATGTATTGGAAGCGGCAGTTGGTTGTATAAAACAACAGCATTCTGTACAACCATTTGAAAATCACAATCAGATGGAGACAGTTTATCTCCACTGATCATTTTCTTTTGTGCTGTACGTAATTCATCTGCTATTGTAGTCAGTGATTTTTTACGTGAATCTGAAGTGTTCACCACACTGGTGCCTTTGCTACTGCCAGCAGTATGCTCAAAACTACGCTGTTGATTATAATACAATACAGCGACAGAATAAAAGTAAACTGTTTCATTGAAATGTGATTGACACTCCATTAATTGATGAGGCCATTGATATTGTGGTGCATTGGCATTTTCACTCTCTGAAGTACTTGACATAGATTCAGCACATGGGGCAAGAAACGGTAAATTCACGTCATTGTCTTTAGCGCATTTCATCATACCGCAAGCGAATTCAGGCCAATATGCAGGAGTAACAGAGAGGATCGGTCTAGGGATGATAATAAAATAATAGATTGAACGATGAAGACAGAATAGTGCATGTGTAAACAGTAATTATGAATGTTAAAAAACGGGGAAATTTTTAATGTATTCAACAAAATAATCTGGCATTCAAAAGATATGACATGCATTCCATCCTAACACTGTATGTGAACAAGTTCAGGCATGAATCAAGTTGAGAAAATATAGAAATCTTAGTTTTTCAACTAAACCACATGTGTTGCGGACTAAACGGCTAAGCTCGTTTACACGCGAATAAAAAGGACAAAACAAATACAAATATGTATGTATGTAGAGAGGAATTCAGTCCACACAAATTCATATACATATAAAATACAGTTACTTGGTGAGTTATAATTGTCCCAAAATACATAAAGACGTAAAGAACTGTAGTGATGATGTAGTCCTTTTCGGTATGCAGTTGCTCACTCCACTCCAAGAGTATGCCAACAGCCAGAGGGTACTTGTGGAGAGAAAAGGAGATTGAAGCAAAGGATCCGAATGTGAATATACGGATCAGGTACAAGTCAGAGATGATTGGCAATAGTGGAAAGCAAGAAGCTGGAGAGGGAAGTTGTGTCGTCCGTGCTGCGCACTGAACCAGGTCGTGTCCTTATTCAATGTCCAGTAACAACCATGATGTGCAGTGAATTCATTATTTTAACTATTTTACAATGAACGTATAATCTGATATTTTTCGGCCTCCACACATGACAATACAAGTAAACACAAGGACAAGAAAACCTCGTCAATTGCTGACGAAATCTGAACTGAAATTAACCCGGATGGATAGTGACAGCATTGCGATTAGGACATTCGGACTCAGAGAATATAATGATACCGAAAAATTATATATATACATTTATATATCCACCTTCTCTTAGTAATATTTACTGTTACACTCGAAAGGGCCTCGCAGTTTGACTTAGAAAATAAGAAACAGTCATTAACTTACCCTCTTTTATAATATGCCGCAGAAAGCAATCACGCCGTCTGTGAAGCATTCTTCAGCATAATTCGCAAGTTGCGAGAGAGTCTACCGGAAATTGGATGATTACAACATTTACTTTGTGTAGAAAAAAGCCTTGATAACATATCTAGTATTTTTTTTTTTTATTTACAGCTTGATTACACACCGTATTTTCAGTACAAGTATGGAATTTTCAGCATGGATATCGGTAGCCCAAATTCAGGCCGACCATAGATATCGGGTGTGCGCCGGCAGGGGATCGAACCTCGGACCATGTGCATGGTCGGCGAGAGTCCTAACCACTGTGCCACCGACGCACAAAGCCAGCTCCTCGACCGGGAATCGAACCCAGGCCTTCCACGTGACAGGCGGAGATACTCACCACTATACTATCGAGTCCGAACTCAGTGTATGAAGACAGTTTATTGTCTTTCGTGTTACACTTTATTTTGTTGAATTGTTATCAGTTAAAGCTACCACCAGACGGGCAATGTTAGCTAACATTGGGGTCAGGCTGGAAAAGAGCTCTAGAGGCGGTCAAACCAAAACATGGCACCAGTCAATGAAATCCACAACAGTTAGTTTAAGCCAGCCATGTAGGAAGGTGTAGACTTCCTGGTTGGGGTCCTCGGGACATCGGTGCAAAGTTCTATGTCGAAAACAGACAGACAGACTTTATTTTCCCGTTTTATTACATTTGACCCGACAAATTCACATATTCACATCTATTTATTCATATTTACTGTAATTTATTTATGTTGACCTTTTCTTTATTCATTCATTCTTATTTCCAATCAATTTGTGATTTATAATCATTTAAACCAATATTAATATAATGACAATTCAATATACATTTTTACCTACTGTCAAATCCTTATATACATATTATACACAACAAACAGGCTTGCCTACACTGTACACCTATGAAAATGAAATCATCCCATAAGGCGAATATTATTTTATTATTAGATAAATGATTAACAGTTCAGTTTAACACATTCCTTTTTATTAAGTTAATTAAATCCACACAATTAATCGATTTTCTGACTATAACCCAAAGTAATAATGTAATATTTTTTCAATATCCACATAGTCACGTATGGTTTTTCAAATAGAAATGATTGAGAGAAAAACCGTTTTTTGTTAATTGTTCATTTATTTAGTTTCCTGATTTTCAAGTATTGGTTTGTAGGGGATTTTGTTTGATTGGTTGGAGGATTTCATCATGAGATGACATTCGACAGTTGTTTCGTCCTAGTTTGTGACTCTTCATCAGCACGCACCCACTGACAGGGTTCGAACCCAGGACCTTCTGGTTACAAGGCGAGTTCGTAGACCATTAAGCCACTGGGACCCAATCCAATGACTAGCCCATGAATTCTAACTTCTGTCAATTTACGAAATAGCGCGACCACTTAGCAATGTTTCTTCGATGAGTAACTGTCCTTACCTTCGACCTGCCGTACCCTACTTGTCACGGCTTCCCACTAGAACCCCATGTAACTGCCTAAATAGGGCCAGATGCTAGTAAGCATCAGATATATAACCAACAATAACAAGTAGCGATCACCCACTATCAATGGTAGAAATCTAAAGTAATCTCCTTCAGCTGTCTAGACAGCGTCATTTCAACTACAGGCAGGTGGAACGGACGAGGATATCATAGGTAGGATCAAAAAAGTAGGACAGGCCTTCATTAGTTTGAATTCAGTGTAGGAGTGTTCTGTACTCAGAGTATAGAACAAGATTCGAATTTTCAAGTCAGTGTTTCAGAGACTTGGCGCGTCAGCAAAAGCAATTCCAACAGGCTGTAAAACTTTATCAACACTATCCTTAGCTCCATAATGGAAATCAGAAAGCCACAAAGAATAGGGAAAAAGGAACTCTGACAACAAACAAACTAGGAACCTATTGCTCAACAAATATGCAGAAGAAAATGGAGATGAATTGGACATATGCTGAAGAGACCACTGAGTAGGCCCTCAAATGAAACCCAATTGGAAAGCGTCGAGATAGGTGTCCTAGGGTGACATGGAGGAGATGAGAGCTTATGGGCAGCCGTGCAGCCAGCTAAAAAGGACTGAGGAGAGTAGGGTGAAATGGAGATGTGCTACTGAAGCCCTAGGTCCCACTCTGAATCCAAGGGAGTTATAATATAATATAATATTAGGTGTGAGGACCAAAAGTTCACATTTTTGCATGCATCTGTTTACTTGTTGTAGTTAAATGATGACCTGGTGTCTCTTAGCTCAACTGGTAGATCATCCGCCTAGTAATACGGTGATCGTTAGTTTGGAACTTACTATGACCCAAATTTTAATTTCACCTTCAATCATCACCCATTACATTAATAACAGTCTACCAAAACGAGACTATCTCAGACGGTCTCGACATCGCTTAACGATTTGCTGAGTAGATTAATAAAAACATTGAACCCATTGGTGACTAACTGACTCAATTTCAACAGAGAACTTTGCACAGAAAGGTAGACAAAAGAAAGAAAGAGGATATTCAAAAGAACAAAAATGAGCAGAAATGTGCGTGAGAAAGAATAGTAACATAGAAAAAGCATGAAGGTTTAAGGAATATGGGAGATCATAAAGAGTGAATGTATATGCAGCATTGTGAACGATTTTGAGCCATATCAACAAGTCTCCAGTCATTGGTCTTTAGCATCCGGAGGACCCTAATCAAACAGTCTACATCTACCTATGTGGCTCAAATCAACAGTAATAGACTTCATGCACTGATGGCAGGTTTCGCTTTCACCACTCCTAATCCTTTCCAGCATAATCCTATGTCAGCTAAGATTGTCAGTTGAAGAAGGCAATGGTTCGGCATGCGCAACATGTGTCCTCATCATGAGGTTATATCTATTGGTACCTAATACCATAATGCCATGTATACTAAAATCAAAACCTGAATTTTTGAAATCTAAGCACTCAAAGTGAGGTTAAATATGAACAAATTAGACTGGGGATAGGTATTGTAATTTTTGTTGTTTGACTTCATTTCTTCTTGGATTGCATTTCTGACGTTGATTTAGATATATAAATACAGTGTTACTACATAAAAAGAAACTATCAAAACAATAAATCAAGTAAACAAGTCTTTATGAATCACAGTGAAAAGATGGTTATATAATATACCAGAAGAAATTTTCCCCATTACAACGTTTCATAACACTTAGAGAGGAACTTACTTTTCAAATTCTGGTCCAATGAATATACCTGTGTACTGACGAGAGCTAACCAACTCAACAGGAAGGGCATATGATTCGCCTGCATCAATGACTGCTAGTAAGCCAGGCTGTTTCATTGCGGCAGATTTGATTAAATGTGAATAGATGCAGATACGTTCAGAAGTTCGATTCAACACCTGATAAAAGAGTAATAATAATAATAACATTAATAATAAAGAATTATGACAATCTGTGATTTTATTAAGCTAAATTTCCACTAGATATGAGTATTATAAATAAAAGCTAGAAGACAGTTACCAAATGAGGGAAACAGATCATTTGGGATAATGAAATTCAAGCATAATAGTAATCTAAGCGTATCACAACACAGAATATAGATTTGAATCCCAACTAGTAATTATGGAAATGATAATGAATGAAGCTAGAAATTCATACTTCACAAGTTACATTGTATAAACAGTGAGAAAATTCAAAATGGCTCGACTTTTGAATATCTTGTGGGTGTGTAGTGGAGTTAAACCATCCAAATGATTTCTCAAATACAAACCACCGATGAGTTCAATGATACATTAAATTTAGATTTCGAAGATGAAAACATTTGGAACGTATGATTATGTCAACATGATTTATGTAGCTAAAAAGAAAGTTACTGTGTTCGCTTATCATAGATAAAGATAATAAAACTGGGTAGTCAAGGGATAAACATTGACATTAGTGTTATTAAACCAAGATAAATATAAAAAGGGATGAGGAATTATTGTTTTATTTATTTTATTGTATTCCTTTACGTTCCCAGTGGAACATAGGGCTCCAAGCTAGAGCTTGGGAGTTTCGGTAGCAGTGGTATTTATTTTTTTACGGGATTGAGTTGCTGGCCTCACGCCCAACCTTCCCTCTTTACCAGTCTTATAACTAGATTAGCGAGGTAAAGGAGTGCGTCGGTCGGGGATCGAACCCCAAAACACCTGCGTAGTTGGCGATCATTCTACCGCTATGCCACCGACGCTAGGTGAGGAAATACGCTATCGCAAATCAAACTTGCTACCCTTTCATCTCAGTATACTTGTATGTGCAGAACGAAGGTGATCAATTACGACTTGAAGTTCATCAGATAGTTGATTCTATATTAAAGACCTAGAGGTATGCTGTAATCATATCAGATGTAACGTTCGGCTGGTTTAAAGGTATTCCATCAACTTTTTTACGTTTGCTATGCTATGCGCAAAAAAACCTCCCGATAACCTTTACTATCACTCCTAAAAAAGGGATAAAGATTCGCAATATATATATATATATATATATATATTCACCAGTTCGACAAATCGGAAAATGATCAATTATTGGGTCAAGTGGTCAAATGAATCTATCAATTCAATGAAAATAGATTAAAGTGGACTTTCAGAAGAGTTGTTGAAAAAAAATATATTTGTTCGCAGAACAGATGTTGTTTGCTTTTTCTTCTATTCACATGGATGAGTTGATGCATTCCGTCATCTAAAAAATAATACGGCTTTGACGATTCCACTCTTTTCTAGTATATTTGGAGTTTATAAGCCAAAAATATGATGAAGACTTAATATGACTTTATTGTGTTAACAAGGTTAAATATCTCATTTTTTTATTATCTAATTATTATAAGAATAAGATTTCATTTTTACAATTACCTGAACAGTCGATCGAAGAGTAATTGACTTCATACCTAAACAGGCATTAACTTCAGCCATTACTGGATAAACTGTATTGTAATTTGAAGTAGTTGTAGCAGAGGCATCTTTTGATAAGCACAGTAGATCACTGTCACCACGATATAAACGAAATACAGCTTCTGTACTAGGTGTGCCACCACCACCACCATCACGACTATGCTGTGTTTTGCTGCTGTCAGCCAATGAAATCCAGATATGATGACGTGAATCCTTCGATGAACTTGAGGAAAGTACAGATTGTTTCTAAAAGAAAGTGGAAAAGAATTATGTAGCTTATAAAAGGGCTAAGTAATAAATCATTGACAGTTGATATAACGATGAAACAATGAAGCAACCGAATAAATGTTTGACATATTTACGTGAGAGATTTAAAATTTGACAGGTTGTACAGTGATCAGCAGTATTATTATTATCATTATTGTTTCCTTTAATTCCTAGAGGAACATAGGGCTTCAGCCGTGCGTCTCCATTGCGTTCGGTTCTCTGCTAGAGTCTTCACCTGGCTCCAAGTCTGCCCACACGTTTTAATCTCCTCTTCACATGACCTCCTCCAAGTCACCCTTGCACTGACGACCAACTCGCCGCTTCCCTTTCGGGTTCCACTCGAGCGATGGCTTGTCTAGTGATGTCACTTGATGGTTTCCTCAGAGTATGGCCAATCCATCTCCATTTCTTCCTGCCTATTTGTTTCACAATCGGTTCCTGGTTGGTTCGCTGCCAGAGATCTCTGTTGCTGATCTTTTCTGGCCATCTGATCTTGAGTATTGAGCGAAGACAACTGTTAATGAAGGTATGTAGTTTGTTTGAGGTGCTCTTCATGACGCGCAGTGCAAGTCTCTGATCCGTATAGTAAGTAGCACTGACTTCACATTGGAGTTGAAAATCCGGATCTTATTTTTCATGCTGAGTGCTGTTGACCTCCACACAAACTTGAGAGTAGTGAAAGCTTGTCTTGCTTTCCCGATTCTTGCTTTGATATCCTCATCAGTCCCGTCCGCCTGTAGTTGAAACGATGCTTCCCAGGTAGGTAAAAGAGGTTGTTTCTTTCAGGTTCCTCCCATTTATGCTGATCGTTGTCTGTTGTTGTTGTTCTTGTCGAGGAATCTTCATCACCTCTGTTTTCTCTATGTTCACCTAAAGTCCTATCTTTGATGCTTCTTCTGCCAACTTGTTGCTTTTCGCTTGCATATCTTCCAGTTTGTGGGAAATCAGACATATATCATCGGCGAAGTCCAGATCCTCCAAGGTTTTTTGTGTGAGTCCATTTTATGCCTGTTTCCTCATTGCCCGCTGTTTGTCGCATTATCCAGCAGTATTAAGTGATCATAATACAACGAAAGCACACACACACACTTTAGCATACCTTTAAACTTATGTGAGCGGCAATAAAAACCTCTGCTGGGAAAATCCCCGAAAATGTTAGTTTTTTACGACATACAGGAAAGACTCAAATGTGGATAAGTGCTTGACTTTACACTAATTAGTCATGAATATCAGGATACTTCTCCCCTGTATGTCTGTGAGCCACTGCAGATTTTGTGACATTTCTAAGAGCATTCAAACGTAGTAATAGTTTGTTGTTCATGAGACCCGTGTAGACATCTACCAGCAGATTATCAGGTTAGTAAGTCTGATGCCTATTCCAACATTGAAATTTGTCAAATTAACAAATTTTCATCCACACAGAAAGGTGAATTTAAAACCAACGTGTTGATACACAGGGAACAGCTTCACATAAAAATACAAGAAAAGAAGTCAATCAGTATGTAGTGATATCAGTATTGCAGCAACATACTCTGACCAATTGTATTGCTTTCAAAAATCAAGCAATATACTTCCTAGAAAAAGTAGAACTCGGAGTAGAAAAGAAATTGGTCGAAACGTATGCAGCTTAAATCATTTCAGACACATTGCAAGCTTGACTGATAGAATTCGGTCTGCAGCGAAGATAGGACTAGACGCATTACATTAGTTACTGATTAGTGTGCAATCAAAAATATCCAATACAGTCCTACAGGAGGTTAATCGCGAGCCTGAATAGCTCAGTGGAAACGTCTCTGACTGCAGCACTGGGTGACGAATCTCAGAAGGGACATGAGTTGCTTCAAGGTTGCAGATACGCCTTGCTGATGAGTGCCAACTAGCACGAAACCTAGGTCCAAGGCTTCCTGCCGATTGCCTCCAACCATCTATTACCAACATGTAGTAAGCGCTTGAAACAAAGTTCGGCACAGAAACATGGTCCGATGGGATTTATTGAGGGTGTAATTCCAGCGTATAGTTAAACTTTATAAATTAAGGCAATAACATCATGTCATAAAATTACTAACCTTCTCTGTTTTAACTAATTCAGTTAGCCCAATTTCCTGTTTAGAATTGAGTACTATTGAATTGTAATGTGTACTACTGCTTGATCCGATTGATTTATCTAAATGTTGAATATTGCCAGTATTGTCAAGTTGAAGAAGTGATAAAGCCTGAGAATTATAACGTATGCCTAATTGACAACCAGTTTTGTTGACAATACGATAAGGTGCTATAATTTGATTGGCCGAGTCATCATCGTATTTAGATTTGATATTTTTCAATTTATAAGCTGCTTCAAATGACTAGAATGTTATAATATGGAAAACAGTAAATCATAAAATGTATAAATTCAATTGGAAATTGTAAAAAAATATACATCAAAAGAATGATTATTGGAATTATGCATGTGAAAAAAGTACTAATAGATATCTGTAGGAAGTGTGAGATACGTATATGGAACACATATCATCTGCAGCTGTTCACAGATTTTTCCCTTCATAATTAGGCGTTTGAATACTAATGATAAAAGAAAACTTTTAAATCGCTTTACTTAGGCTGTTTCTGATAGTTTCACCCACTTCATATTGTCATTTATTAGGAAAAAACAAAAAGACGTTTGCAGAGAAGAAGATTTTCTTTCAAATGAAAATCATCAACCAGACTGTAGATTCGTCAATATATAACAAAGGGATTACAAGGTCCCAGAACTATTTCCTGTCGAGGGGCAAACTATAACGATGATGATTCCGTTTAAAAGAGAATATTCTTCTCTGTGACCATCCTTTTGTTGTCTCCTATGATCTGATGTGTATATCCCATTATCATCTGCCGAAATTGTTATCCTCTGCATTAGAAATACTATTTTTCAAGTATTTTAGAATGCTATTATTATTCCCTTGGGTTCTGAGTGAAATATAGGGCTTCAACAACACATCTCCACTTTATTCTATTTCCTGCTATCCTCTTAGCTGGGTCCACGATTGCCCATAATCTCTCATCTCCTCCATGTCACCCTCACACCAACGACCCCCTCGTCGCTTCCCATTGGGATTCCACTCGAGCTCTGGCCTGGCGCGCTATGTCATTCGACGGCCTCCTCAATGTATGCCCGATCCATCTCCATTTTCTCCTACATATTAGTTACGCAATCGGCTCTTGGTTGGTTTGCTGCCAGAGTTTCTTATTTCGAGGGTAATTTCAGCATACATGGATATTACTCGAAAGGGAGATTACACATCAAACAGCCTTAATTCCAACATTTATCTTGAAATCAATCCTAGACCCCAAAACTCAACAACAACTACCCGATTTCAGTAGTATCTTATATTCTCTGCATGGATCTGAGACGTTCTGACTTTTTGAATAACCAACAATTTGCTTTGTTCGCGCTACCACCATGTCTCAAAAAATTATCAAACACATTCCTCTGAAAGTAATAGGCATAGAATTACACTGCCACAAAAGATACTTTCTTCATATTAAGATGCTTGCCATTGTTTCAGAAATCAGCAGTCACATAGAAATTTACACAGTAGAGTACTACCAAATCTTATTTATTTGAGAGATTTTTAAGCGGTAGTATCAATATTATCAATGTAATCTGATATCAGCACAACTCAGTATAAAGTAACAATATAATATTTTACTGTAAACTGAAATATGCAGTAAGCTAATAAACGCTATTGTTCAAAGATTTGTTCACCTTTAAGGCGTTAGATGGAAATGTGATTAGTGTAGTCTATGAGTAGAGTATTCTAATACTATTTCATGAAAAAAAAAAATAAACACACTAGAAAAATATCAACAGGGTGTGTAGACAAACCTTTATGGCTCAGCCAATCACATAATAATAAACAGGCACTGATATGCTATACATTCATTCTTTCCCTAAACATAAGTACTTAATTTGATCAGACGCTTTGGAATCTTTGGATAGCCAAATTTAAGATATTTATCTACCTCTGTATTAAAGACTGTAGTTGTGCTAGTAAGACTCAGTGCCCTAAGCATAAAATCTATGTTTATTGTTATGCGTCCTGAAGTTGAAAACACTACTTCACTACTTCTTCTTCTTCATCAAATGGGGCAACTGGGTGGCATCAACACTCTCCACATATTAAGAACAGTTTACTGTCCAGTACATTAAGTAACATTTATTATTATTGTTCCCTTGGGTTCCTAGTGGAACATAGGGCTTCAACTGCACGTCTCCACTTGTTTCTGTCTTCTGCTGTACTTTTCACCTGCATCCATGTTAGTCCATACTGTTTCAGCTCCTCTTCACACGATCTCCTCCATGTCACCCTTGAACTGACGTCCCACTCGCCGCTTCCCTTTCGGGTTCCACTCGAGCACTGGCCTGACGCGCGATGTCACCCAGCGGCCTCCTCAGCGAGTGTCCAATCCATCTCCACTTTCTCTCCTAGACTACAAGCTTACTAGTTTTCTATCCGGTCCTAGGCCCGGATAAAGAGGGAGGGTTGGGGCGTGGTGCTAGCAACTCCACCCCCAAAACTTAATCAAATCGCTACAGAAACTTCAACGCACAAAACTTAACCAAGTAACATTAAGACACTGAATTGAAATATACAGATAAATGGCAAAGATGAATAAGCATTCATTTGACGTAAAATCTCCATTTATCATATATCAAAATAATTGTTTATTTGCTTGTTTCTGCTAGCGAAGCTGAAGGATACAGAAATCACTACGATATTCATTTATTTTGAATAATAGACAAAAAAAAACAAAACAAACAATACTTACACGTCCTAAATTACTAAGCATATCTAAAGCAGTTTTAGACAGAGTGATTTCTAAATTATCTCTGGATACAATTAGCATTGTATTAGTTGATGCTTGTAGACAGCCAACTTCTTCCCAGTCTTCTTCTGCTAAACACTCTGCTTTATTAATACTCATCAACTCCAGCTGAAGTGACCACATACGATCACCTTCATCTGGTAGAGTTTCAATTAACGGTTCCCATTGATTAAGAGAATCATTATAGTATGACAAGGATAAATCGATCATAAATTTTATTTCAAGCTGAAAGAGAGAAAGAAAGAAGGAAGAAGAAGCAATGAACAATAAACTAATCGTAATCGTACTCCTAATTTTTAAAATTTTTAACAACACTTGACATTTTAAAACATTTTTGATTTCAATTCACTGATAAAACAATAAACTAATCAATGAAATATAATATCTGAGAGTGAACAAACCATAATTAAGTATTTCAAGCACTTAATTCCCAGCGGTAACATAGTGGAGAGGCTTAAAACACAATTTACCTAATCGTGTTTCTTTTTAAATATTAACTGATTAAACTATATGTAACTAGTAACAATACACATTGTGTAGTTTACAAAAGCATGTACATGAAAACTAAACAACAAAGTCACGAACTCATTGTGACATATAATACCCAATAAAACTATATTCTTTTTGCCTCATATCTCTGTTTACTGTCTCTATTTTGTACTTCTTTTTACTTTCTGTGCGAAGTGAAGTCTGTCTGTTTTCGACATAGAACTTAGCACATATGTGCGGCAGTTCAAGTCGCCACACTCCATGTACCACACAAAGCAAGAGAAGAAAGTAGAAATGCATAATATATACAGTAAACAGAGTAATAACGAAGAACAATATAGTTTCATTGGAAATCATAAGTCACAAGGAGTGGATGCATCTGCACCAGCCAGCCATTGAGAACGATTTTGAGCCATGTCACCAATTGTTTCCAACCATTGGTTTTTACCGTCCCGAGGACACCAACCCGGAAGTCTACACCTTCCTACGTGGCCGGCTTAAACTAACTGTTGTGGATTTCAGTGACTAAAGAAGTCGTGTTTTGGTTTGACCACCACTGGCTCTTTTCTAGCCTGATCCATCCTATGTCAGCTAACATTGCCCATTGTCGGGCTAGGCGATGACTAGGCATACGTAACACATGTCCTAACCATCTCAGTCGATGTAAATTCACAGTCTCGTCTATTGATACTTCCTTCTAACCTAACACTCGACGGAAGTCTAACCTCAATATTGCTCACCTTATTATACCGCTTCACACGGGCAGGCACCTATGGTCAAAGACAACTAGCCGGTCTTTTCATGTCTTCCGCTCTCAATGGCCAGGTCTCACAGCCATAAAAGAGGACGAAGCGGACTGCTGAGCAGTACAACCACCCTTTGGTCGACAGTCAGCCAGATATCACGTCTACGCCAGAGACGGCGTAAACTGGCATATGCGAAACTAGTCCTCTGTATCCGTACTGAAATTTGGTCAGAGATCAACCCGTTGGGGCTGATGTTACTGCCCAAGTAAGTGAAGCGGTCAACGTGCTCTACCACTTCACTCCCTATTTCTAAACTAGGAGTCAGTGTAGTCCAGTCCTGTAACATCATATTACATTTGGCGGGAGCGAATCGCATGCCAGACATTCGCAGCTCAAGGTATTCAGAAGACTGCATTTTGTCAGCGTCTTCACCTAGAAGGACTATATCATCCTCATGCATATTCTAAGTCAACGAGATTATTCCCTGGTAACAAGTCAATCCCTTAAGTGAAGTGTGGCGACTCGAACTGCTGCACATTGGTACAAAGTTCTACGTTGAAATCAGTCAGTCAAACAACAAAGTCTCATTCTGATCCGCCTACCTTGACGACAGCTGTTACTTGACAAAGGAAAAGTGTTAAGGAGGAGGGAGGCGAACAGAACGCCTACATGAAATCATAGACAGTTAGTTTGAGTCACGTAGGGAGGTGTAGACTGCCTTAGTTTGGGTTCTGGGAATGCTAAGAACCAATGGCTGGAGATTGTTAGTGTTATCAATAATACAATTGGTTATGGTTATTTTAACTAAACAGGTGAAAATTAGTAAGTTTTGGGCGGAGTTGGGTAATACAAAAAGTATTCAGAGGAACTGGATGTCAATATAAGAGGGTAGTAACAAAAGTGATGAGTTGTCCAGCGTGGCTACAGAAAGGAAGTAGTGGATGTATAAGGAGTGCAATAATTGAACATCTCGTCAACACTGGTCATTCCATCTCAACAAATGCCTCCTCCTTCAAAGTAATCTACAAAATGAAGAACAACCTGCCAAAGACAACACGCTTCCATCTTCTTTGCATTGCAGAAGCACTAGCCATTCAGTTAGAAGAACCAGAACTATGCATACAAAAGAAAATTATTCACCCATTTCTACTACCATGGTAACAACTCTGTTGATCTGACTTAACTTCTGCTATTTTGCTTGTTTTTCTAACTACTTGAAACTCTTACGTAATTCCGTATTTTATTTTGTTTCCATGTTCGCCCTGAGCACAACTCTTTCATCAAACTATTCATGCTATTACGTAACTCTTCTTTAACAATCGTTTGTGACAACTCATCACTTTTGTTACTACCCTCTTATATCAACATCCAATTCCTCTGAATACTTTTTGTATTGCGTAACCCCACCCAAAACTTAATAATTATCGCTAATAAGCTCTTTCAATAGCGCAGATGCATTCACTCTCTTTGTGATCTCTCTAATATCCATTAAACCGTCATGTATTTACATGTTACTATTCATTCTCCCATACATATTTGCTCATTATAGTATTTTTGAATCTCTCTTTCGTCTACCTTTGTGTGGTACATGGAATATGGTAACTTGAACTGGTGCACTTCTGTTCAAAGTTTTATGTAGTCCCTCAGTCATTCCAATCCTAAAAAGTCTATGGCAGATGGATTATAAATCAATTAAACACGATTAAATAAGTATCACATGAATTTGAGTGCAGCTTAACATTTCATTGCGGACACAGAATCTATTATATTCACTGGGTGACAAGTGCATATCAATATTTCTATGCTTTCTTACAACTTAAAGTGCATTTAAATCTTCAGTGAGTAAATATCAACAAAAAAACATGATAAACATTCATTAAGTTTATTAATATAATGAGGGCAATGTACTAGTAGTAATAACAAGTATTTACTGGTTTGTATACAAGATTTATGAAGATATGGTGACCACTGGTAGTTAGTTACCTTATTATCGTATTGATGAATGTGGGACTTATATATATATATATATCGCATTAATTATATGTGAACAGTGTATAAATCTACACTCTCGTAAAAACTCATAAGATATACACACAAAGAAGTGTCGAACCTACATTTGTACTTGGTCTGTTCAAAACCGCATCAACTGAAGAGTCGAGAACTAGCATGGGCATAGTTTTAGTGTCCAACTGTGATTCCAGAATGATACGAACAGTTTTTAATCGAACATTAATCTACAATAATGGAAGTTGTACGGAAAAGGAAAAAAAACAAGAATGAACAGCGAGTAAAAACAAACGATATGTAGAGAACAAACCAATAGATAAAATCCAAGGGGAAAAACTCTGATTAGGTGTTTCATTTCCATTCATAAAGATTCGTAAAATACAGCAGGGGAATAAGATAATAAGTAATCAACAAAGGGAAGGGGAATAATGAAAATTATTCAAATGATGTTGATGTTTTGGTAAATATGTTCAAATAAATATTTAACAAAAAGTATATAAAGTAAGGAAAATAAATACTGAATGTTAGAATTCAATCCGCACCAAACAAGAGACTGGACACATGACACTAGTTACTACCTAGTGTTCAACCAGAGAATCCTTCAAGAGGTCAGTCCTGACCCCGAATAGCTCAGGCTGTATTACTAGGTGACACGGGTCTGAATCTCAGAAGGAACATGAGTTCCTTCAAGATTGCAAATACTGCGCCTTGCTGACGAGTGCAAACAAGCACGAAACCTAGGTCTATGGCTTTCTACCGATTGCCTCCAGACATCTGATCATCGAACGATAAGCGTATCATTATACTGAGTGTCTAACTAGTTTTTTTCAGCAAACATGATTCCTGTGATGAATTAGAACAATGTAAACTTCGCATCGAATATATATATATATATATTCACAGTATAAATTGTGTAGTCTACATTAAGTGGAAACGTGTATAAATTACTGGATGTAAGAAATCCATAAGGAACTTCTGTATTTAACCAGATAAAATGTGAAGTCAGTGCCAGCTATATGGTAAAGTCTAATACAAAACATTACGTATTAGATGAACCACACATCTGAGAAGCTCAAATAGACATGAATTAAGTAATACAACAGCGATGAAGTCATCTTTTTTTGATTATTGTCATCGCCACACACAAAACTAGGACTGCCTAAAACGTCCGCTTCATGAAATTAAATGCAACGAAGGGATTACGCATGTCCGTCAAATCAACTGTTTTGGTTGGTGGTGAATGGCAGTGAAGTCCAGGATGCGCATTTCGTTCTATTTGCGACTGGTTCACTAAATATACTTGCATTCCCAGTGAGTGATGCTGTTCCCACTGAGACTCGAACACTGCGCCCATCGTTTTGAACATAATGTAGGATGAAATATGCAGCTTGGATTCCACTGCTAGTCACTACCAACCAAGATAGCTTGATGTTATTCCTTAGATATTGTCAAAGCGTCCGTACTAGGAGCTTACTTGTCAACACTAGTGATTGAGCATTTCTGTCCAACACAATCAATCAACGTGAAATGCAAAATTAACCTAAAAACAACTAAAGTGTATCAAGGCGTATATTATTTCCGGTGACGATTGAAGTAGAAGTAAAGAAATTACTTCTCAACAGAGTTCAGTAAACATTGAAATATCGGTGAAGATTTTATTAGTACAAAAAAGGGCACAATAAATAGCAAGATTTAGGTGTCAAAGATAAGAAATACTCTAAAAACGACCCTGACCCCGAACGACCGAAACGAGTACTAGGTGTTTAGATAACTGTGATCGGGATAGCCGACACAGGAAGGTAGTATGAGTTATCAAATTCAACTCTGTGTTCTCAATATTACAGCTTTCTAAATCGATGGAACCGAATCTCAACATTTTCTTTTGCTTTCCATACTTCACCTTTTATTTATAATATCCGTAGAATTTATTGGATAGTTTCTCGAAAGTATCACTAGTATATATTTGACACACTGTGTAGAGGCAAGTACTGATATTAAGTCAAGATGAAGAAATTTGGTTGGTTGGTTACAGGATTTCATCATGAACTGACATTGGTTAGGAAACCATTGGAAAACCTGTTTCGTCCTATTTTTGGGACTCACTAGCGACTTGCCCTATTCAGGTAGTGAGTTACCTGGGGTTCTAGTGAGAATTCGTGACCAGTAGGGTGCAGCAGGTCGGGTGTGAGGGCAAATACTCGCCGAAGACATTGGCTAGTGGTCACGCTATGTCATGAATTAGCAGAAGTTAGAATTCACGGGCTGGCCATTGGATCGGGTCCCAGTGGCTTCATGGTCTAAGAGCTCGCCTTGTAACCAGAAGGTCCTGGATTCGAACCCCAGTGGGTTCATAACGCTGAAGAGTCCCAGACTAGGACGAAACAGCTGTCCACTACTCCCAGGTTTTCCAATGGTTCTCTAACTAATGTCAGCTCATGATGAAATCCTGTAATCAAGATGAAGAAGTTTAAACCTACCAGTGAAATAAGGCAATTTTTAAAGATTACATCTGGAAAAGAGAACCAACGCATAACTAACATAGTAGAAAACAATAACCATCAGACTACAGGCGAACCAGTTGACATACACAACTTACAAACAAACATAGCACATAGCACAATTTGTAACTGGCATAAGGTGGTAAATGACTGACAAACACGAAACTGATGTATATACAAAGTCAAATATAAACTTCACTAATCAAAGCCATAAGTCATAAGAAAACATTAATAATAATAATTCTTTTTAACACCAGTTAAATATGAATACCAAGTAGAAAAGAAAACTGGTTTGCGGGGAATAAAACATGCTTTAGAGAGTAGTAATAATAATAATAAACAAACACAAAAATAAAAACGCATCATTATGTCTTGAACTTGTAAACGTATCACAGATAACAACAAATAAAACAGAGCAACTCAGAGCACAGCAAAAACAACTTACAACACCATTATCTCGCTATAAAAAGAAGTTGTGAAAACTAGTGAATTCTAAAAGTAATGATTGCAAGCTGATTAATGTTTGATCAAATCATGCAGTTGACAGCTCAAAGGCTTCGGTCAGCTATCAAGAACACATTGTACGCCACACACCCTTCTCCACTATCTAACATATCTAGAATATTTTTAATTCCTGTGCTTACGACTTAAGGATGTAGTTCTGTGGATTCTACTTCACACTGTATCTACAAGTTCACCTTCAGTTGTGCGGATATTTACATAGGCAGAACCAAGAGAATGTTCCAATGTCATAGGAAAGAACATGTTCTTAAATGGTTATTAAGTCACACAGAAAATCTAAATGCATTTAATCTGAATAGAAATCCGGCATCTTCTATTACAAGGCACTTATTATTTCTGTTTGGAAAAACATATTCAGTGGACGATGAAGTAATCATGACACGCTTTTGAAATTTAGCACAAATTTGTACACAACAGATCTATTTAACATATGGTTAATTACTTTTTTATTCCTTTACGTTCCCAGTGGAACATAGGGCTTCAAGCTAGAGGCTTGAAGTTTCGGTAGCAGTGGTTTTTATTCTTACAGGATGGAGTTGCTAGCCTCATGCCCAACCTTCCCTCTTTACCAGTCTTATTACTGGCTTAGAGAGGTAAAGGAGTGAGTCGGCCGGGGATCGAACCCCGGACCACCTGCACGGCTGGTGAGCATTCTACCACTGTGCCAATGACGCACTGGTTAATTACTTTGGAGGTGTCAATCTACAATAATGCTGTTCGAATTAAACAAATCACCTAAATGACGATAAGCAGTAAAATGGGTACTACATAAAAAGCAATAGAAAGAAGAAGAGGAAGGATTATCAACTCACGATATCTATGCGTCGATTTTCGATTTCCTCCATAACCTTTGAAACATCACACGCAACTTCGGGCGTTTCATTTTGATTCTTCCCATCTTGATTAGTAATATAACATTTTTTTAGGAAAACAATAAAAATAGTGTAAAAGTAGATGGCATTATTTTATTGAGAAAAGTATTTTCTGTAGTCGTTATACTGTATGTTCCCCCGCCGCACTGTAAAATCACTGTATTTCTTTGAGATATATTACACATTCACTTTAATATAGAACACAATAAGTTTGTAAATGGGAATCCCTCATGAATAAGAAGAAAACGAACTACTTGTTTATGCAAGCAATACACGAGTATGAGAACAGAGCCAAATGTAAAGCTTCTTTTCAGATATTGAATTGCATTATATTATTCATCTCAAAGATGGCATAGTTAAAGCTGGTAACAATTAGGAAAGCTCCGCAATTCAGTCCAGCAAGGAATTTGGACCATATCAATCTATCTTCGAATTCTTAACACTATATTACTGAGCTTGATTTCAAATCCTGCCATTCAACATTTCCACCTACATATGTCTAATATCTAAAACTCCATAACGGGGAAGAGACTGAAGACAGAGACCTAATAAATGAACGCCTAACTATAATAAATAAACAAGGTTACTTCAATTAAACACTGGGAAAAAAATATTTACCTGATGAAAGTCCTAAATAAGGCATATTTAATTCTTCAATTGGAATTGGTTTCCAAAAATTAGCATATGACTTATCATCTACAGTTTTGCCATCGGATACTTTTACCAATTCACTTGAAACAGATTCATTGGCGGGTAGAGTTTTACTAGTGGAGATTGACGATTGAACAGAAGCAGATATAGTGGATAACAGCCTGATTGTATTTGGATTTATTTTGATAGTTAATGTATCCATGTTAAGTGTTCCATGAATGCTACCGTTAACAGGTTGAGATGAGTAAAAACTCAAGTCAGTTGGAGACAAAATCTGAAATGTTAAAAAAAATATAGAGAGAAATCATAAATCATTTCTATGAAATAAAGAAAGACATAAAAAAAGAAAAGATTACATAGCAGTGACTCATTTCACTTGATTACACACTGACAAATAAGTTAGCTACAATAATAAAGCACTTCAATAAACAGATATTGATTTTGCTGTTAGATGGTTGGAGGCAATCGGCAGGATCTTATGGACCCAGGTTTTGTGCTTGTTGGCATTTGTCAGCAAGGCTTATCTCCAATCAATGAAGGAACTGATATCCCTTCTGAGATTCGAACCCGGGTCACCTAGTGCTGCAGTGAGAGACGTTACCACTGAGCTATTCGAGATCACGATTGACTTCCTGTAGGACTAGAACACTAGGTAGTAACTAGTCTAGTCCTTCGTTTAATTGCAGACTGAATTCAAGTTTAGCTGGGAAGGAAGAATCTCAGTTAATAAAATCTTCCATGTATAACGACTAACATGAAGCGGCATCAAAATCAATACAACCTTGATCCTACATTGTACACTTATATACCTGACCAAAAAAACTGAAGATTAAGACTAAACATGTCATCACTTTTCAATAGATTTTTAATTCCAGCATAAGTACAATGCCCCCTTATGTGGTAGCAGATAATTGCAGCACAGGCTTTTGATTATTTTGATAGTTTCAGTGCTCCAGAACCTTGGATTTCTTTTTTCGAGAAAGGCTTCTGTGTCAGACTATGCATAATCACTAATGCTGCTTCGTGAAATGAAACCAAAACTTCAAGATGACACAGACCATTTAACTTGAAGACTCAAATACTGGATATTATCCACCAAGGAGATATATTAATGATCAAGTGTTGGTTTGCAGGGGGATTTGATTGGTTACAGGTTTGATAACGAAATGATGTCAATTAGAGAACCACTGAAAATCCAGGAAGTACTAGATAGCTTCAATGAAATTCACTAGAGGCTAGCTCTATACAGAACTAGTCGGAAGTAGCGACCAGTGGGGTCCACCAAGTCGGGTTAGAGCCCAAGTGGGAGAGACTCAGGGATTAACTTGCTACCAAGGAATAATCTCGTTAACTTAGAATATCCAGACGATATAGTCCTTCTAGGCGAGGACGCTCACAAAATGCAGAGTCTTCTGAACACCTTGAGCTTCAATCTTCGTATGTTTGGCATGCGATTCGCCCCTGTAAAATGTAAAATGATGCTGCAGGATTGGACTTCACCGACCCCTAGATTAGAAATAGGAAGTGAAGTGGTAGAGCACGTTGACCGCTTCACTTACTTGGGAAGTACCATCAGCCCCAACGGGTTGATCTCCGACGAAATCTCAGCACGAATACAGAGGGCTAGTTTCGCATATGCCAGTTTACGCCGTCTCTGGCGTAGACGTGATATCCGACTATCGACCAAAGGGCGTATGTACTGCTCAACAGTCCGCTCCGTCCTCCTTTATGGCTGTGAGACCTGGCCATTGAGAGCGGAAGACATGAAAAGATTAGCTGTGTTCGATCATAGGTGTCTGCGTTCTATCTCCCGCATGAAGTGGTATGATAAGGTGAGCAATATTGAGGTTAGGCATCGAGTGCTAGGTAAGGCGGGGAAATCAATCGACGAGACTGTGAAATTACATCGACTGAGATGGTTAGGACATGTGTTACGTATGCCTAGTGATCGCCTTCCTCGACAATGGGCAATGTTAGCTGATATAGGGTCAGGCTGGAAAAGAGCTAGCGGCGGTCAAACCAAAACATGGCACCAGTCAATGAAATCCACAACAGTTAGTTTAAGCCACGTAGGAAGGTGTAGACTGGCTTCCTGGTTGGGGTCCTCGGGACGGTAAAAACCAATGGTTGGAAACAATTGGTGACATGGCTCAAAATCGTTCTCAATGGTGCAGATGCATCCACTCCTTGTGACTTATGATTTCCAATGAAACTGTTTTGTTCTTCGTTATTACTATTCCTTTGTCTCACTCCTCTGTTTACTGTCTATATTATGCATTTCTCCTACTTTCTTCTCTTGCTTTGTGTGGTACATGGAGTGTGGCGACTTGAACTGTCGCACATATGTGCAAAGTTCTATGTCGAAAACCGACCGACCGACCCGGTGGGTGTGTACCGAAGAAGAGTCCTAAGGTTGGGACGAAACAGCTGTCTGGTACTCCCTGGTTTTCCAACAGTTCTCTAACTGTTAGCTCGTGATCAAACCAGTAATATATTAATGAAACACATGATTATTTAGACACCATACAAAGCAAGATGTATTATTAACCACTTCAAACTAACTTAAAAATGAGGCGGCTGTTGACCTAGTAATTAACTGTAATACTTGAATCTGACCAGCATAGTGAATGAACGGCTTACAGATTACTTAAGTGTGACTTTCTTGTAAGATTTTAAAATCAAATAGGTAGATTTTTCCAACAAAATTCACATTCACAACATGATTAAGCAGTTAAACAACAATTCGGTTGTGGTGAGTGTCGAATTTTCCACCTTTGAATAACGGTCATTTCTACGATTTAATTCTATGATATTTCTAACCAAGTAGTCGTCTATCATTATTTGTGGCTTGCTTACTAAAACATTCAACTTTCAGTCAATGGGTCGAGGGCTCGAATCCTGTTTCACCTACTTCAATATGGGCAACGTGGTGGTATCATCAGACTCCACACAATAAGCGTGTGATTTGTAGCCTGATACATAAGAAATCTACAATGGTTAACTGAGTTACAACTCCAAGTAACTTCACAAGGACATTCTTGAGATTTCCCTACAAATGTGCAATCAGGTGAGAGAATTGTAGGCAGTGAGTGTTTCTCAGGCTTGAAATTTAGATTCGAATAATTCTCCGCTAGTACAACTTTTTGTACGAAGATATAACAACACCTGTTAGTAAAAAAATAGAACAGAGTCCGTCAAAGAAGCCTTTCTAAAAACATTTATTCATAAACAACATGAAACATACCTCTTTAGAAAAGGTTCCACCAACGTTTTCATTGTAAGGACAAGCAGCGACGGATAATCCATTGATCAAGGCATTCATAACAATCACATCTTGTTGCATAGTATATGTAAAGCTCAAGGCAGTCTAAAAAGTAATTTTGAAAAAAACAAATGTCTTGTGTGAATAAAAGTGCAACTCTATAAGGAGTGTTTCTAAGACATCAGATTGTTTTCTAGTTGGCAAGGCGAATGTAAATGAGCATAACACATGTTTTGATCAATTTAGTTTATGAAGTTTCTCAACTTCACTAATTGTCATATTACACATCAGTGATCGAACATCATAATCATCAATGGACATATTTCACAGTCACAGATTAGGACAGAGTAGTGTGATGAGCATTAATCTTGTCTGCCGATGCGAAATCGATGTCCTAAGAGAAAACATAATGTAGTAAATCCCCATTAGCCCTTTTATCTTTTATATTGTTCTAAAATAAAGTCAGTAAACGGGTTCATCACAAGTGATGCAACTATTTAAATAGGTAAGACCGTCAGTTTGATTTTAATTTTATTCCTTTGCGTTTCCAGTGCAACAAAGGGTTCAAGCTAGAGCTTTGAAGTTTCAGTAGCAGTGGTTTTATTTTTACGGGGTGGGGTTGCTAGTCTCACTCCCAACCTTCCCTCTTTGCTGGGCTTATTAACAGCTAAGCGAGGTAATTAAACTCCACTTATTTACACAAACCCAGATCTACAGTTGTAATGATAGCGAAAATTGGACTTCACAGAGAAGTGAAAATCCATTGAATTATGAATATCCATGTACATTTGTGGTAGAATACTTCAGACATCAAATAATAATAAGAGATTCGTTTTTCCACTGAAATTAACACCAATTAGTTCTATGTGCCAAACCAAAATATTTGGATACTATTTCGGTGTACAGTGAGAGAAGTATAAATATTTAAAAAAATTGTTTTGTTAATTTTTCTCCTTCATCTGATATTTCTTCTTATATTAAATGCCAAAAAAAGAAAAAGATTTTGGTACATGAAATCCTGTAACAATAAGCCTAATCAACGTGACTTATTTTATTTAACGAAATGTTGTGGGTTGCATCGGAATACTTTCATTCTAAAATAGTTTATTTGTTTCCAGTTTTGCTATTTGATTAATAAACGAGTAAAACAGTACAGTCTAACCGTTAAGGATAAGATACCGCTTTTGGCCACTTCAGTGTGTATTTATCAGCTTACTTGCTCGTGTGGAGCAAAGTATGTCGGTCACACGCAACGTCAAGTCCACAAACGTATTCTGGAACATTGTCCAGCTTGGTTAGCCAGAGGAGAAAAGAAGAATAGTAGCAGCTTCATACTCGAACACCTCGTCATCTCTGGACATCGAGTGCCCCCGCATGAATGCTTCACAGTGCTAAACAGAGTCCCTCAATATCGTACAAAGGGACTTCGAATACGCCATTTGTACATAGCTGAATCATTGGCTATTTGGGATTTGAAACCGGACCTCTGCATTCAAAAGCGCTACAAACATTCACTCGTCCTACCGTGGCCAGAGTAACGTTATAGCTATAATTTTGCTTCTTTTTTATTATGTAATATTAATATATGTGTAAAACTTGGGCAGTGTGGCAGTGAGTAATTCCATATTAGTTTGTTTATTAGATGTATCACACAGTGAAACAGTATTATTTATTGTTCGTAATCATTTCATCAATTATAATCACACGACTTCGAAACTTGAGTTTTGTAGTTTCCTTTGTCCTCTCTTATTTTTCGTCGTAGGGGTAGTGGAATTTTCCAGATATCTGGGACAGGTGTTGAGTCATTTCTATTACACGTATTCTCTCTCAGCTGATTCGATAAACAAAACTTCCGTTATCAATCTCTCCCTCCACCCTGTTACATTAGATTTTAAAACTGTCATCCTCTATTACTGTTTATTAACAAAATGGCGTTTTCATACAGATTTTATAAAAACACTTTATCGTCTTTCCACTAGTTCCTGTCCACTCTACACGACTGTATTTACTAGTCATTTTCTCACACTTATTACGTGATGCCAACTTCTGCCTCTCTTCTAACTTTCAATTACTTACCCCTTCTAGGTTACACCTTACATTACGTAATACGTTTTTTCGAGGGCGAATTTTACCAGTATCTGATTGTTCTTATGATTCCTTTGTAAATGATAATTACGATTGTACGGCTTATGAAAATGGATCGTCGAAAAGAAAATTTCTTCGCTGTTTACATCTTCTTCTTAAAACAGTACAAATTATAAAACCAGTGAACCATTATGCTTTTGAAGTTGTTAAGTAGTAAGTGTGTCACAATCGGTTACCATTAACTGATTCACATCAGAAATAATGTTCAAATAATGAGAGTGTGTCGGTGGCACAGCTGTTAGGACTCTCGCCGACCACGCACATGGTCCGTGGTTCGATCCATCGCCGACACACTCCTTTACCTCGCTAAGCCAGAAATAAAGTTGGTAAGTAGGAAAGGTTAGGCAAGGGGCTAGCAACCCCATCCTGTAAGAATAAACACTGCTACCGAAACTTCAAGCCTTTAGCTTGAAGCTCTATGTCCCACTGGGAACGTGAAGGAAAAAAATGATAATGAGAAAATGGCATCTTCTAAAAAGACAAGGACTAATTCTTATAGTTGAAATTTAGTTACTGATATCAGGCGTAACAGGAATATTCGCTTACATCCGTCATAATAAAACAACAAACCTCAAAACTTACAGTAAGCTTGATAGCATTGCTGTCTTCATTGTAGATATCCTCCACTAGAACAAGTTCAGGATTAGCTATCTGAACCTTCAATTCCAAGCTGTAGGGATATGTGGTTGGCGGTTGTTCAACTTTTGGTCGTTCTAGAATGTTTTACAAAAGATATTGTATAAGGCAATCAGAGTTAAAGAGTGAATGAATGTTATTCAAATATGAAGACGTTCAAAACACATATCTGGTTGATATCCTTATATATCAATAATACATATAGTATTCCCACTAGGAAGCTTATCAACAAACTCACACGACTTTGTCAAACAGAAGCAAGATTCACAAACCATCGGATTTTTAACAGTCGATGTTTAAAAAGTGATATAATTCCTAAATACTACTTACACCTACGTACTCCAATTACTTCAAGAAAAATAACATCAGCAGAGGAACATGTCAGAAAATTATGTCTTAGAGAAGAACTACATAGAATTATCATAAAGCTAAAGAATATACGAGATGAAATTGAAACATCGAAAAAAGCTAGAGAGGCAACCTTAAAGAAATCAAAAACCATGCAAATTAAGAAATTCAACAAATTATTAGAAGAAAAGAATAGCACAATAAATGAAGAAGTTGACAGCAATATTTCATCTTCTATTGACAAAACAAAGTGGTTAATCAACCTCCTCTCTTCAAGAGAATTAAGCTCTAGTGAGATAAAACATATCTGGTTGTCCATTCCTCGACACAGTATCTGAAAACCAAGCAACTAGATATACAAGTTAAATATTTCCAGGGATCGCTAGATACATATGAGCTAACATCTAAAACAAAACTGTAGGCGCAATGAGAAAATTACTTAATGCTTTCCCTGTACAAATGAGTCAAGTCAAGTGTGAAACAAGAGTTTGTCACGTATATTTTGATCTCACCCTGAAATTATGCCAATGTAAACAAGTTGTTACATGTAAGTATATCATGAACGGAATCCTCTTCTAAGCAGGATGATGGATTAGCTTTTAAGATCACCATACTTTATTCTATTTCAAATAATCACTAACATGTCTGTCTACAAATTACCCTTAGGTTGAGGAAGTGTACCTTGTAATTTGAAAACTGCCCAGCAAGCCTTTCCCAAAAATATACATTCACCACTAGGAAAGCTAACGAAAATAATAATAATAATAGGAAAAGGAAACTTACTTATTTTTGTAGATGTTCCACTGTTCAATCGTTTCTGTTTGCCTTTATCAGTGATTGGGGGCAAATCGGTTATTTCATTTTTCGATGCAGGTGTGCTTTGCAGTTGGAAATCAGCCAACGACATCAGATAATCCATTGAAGCGCATAAATGGATACTACGCAGACTGATACCGACTGAAAAGAAAAAAAGAAGAAGATATTCCAAGAAATACAATTAGCAAGCGAAAACATATTAACTTAAGTCTATACGGAGACAAAAATAATTATGACAAGCATGCAAACACCTTAACTTGAGTAATGAAATCTTTTGGGGGAATAGAAATACAAAGGCTTTTAAAAATTGTAGGCGATCATATATCACATAGAACAGTAGTTTAATAAAAACTAGAGTTCAAACAATGAAGACAACAAATGTTTATGTGGAGAATACTAACACTGAAGGTCTTAGCAGGAAAATTATGCGCATTCGTTGTTCACTTTCCACACTTTCAATAAGCCTGATTGGTAGATTTCTTTCTGACATGATCTTAAAATCTGGCAAAAAATAACGTTTTAGCAGCTTCCAGACAGTTTTCATTTGGCAGTAGAAGACATGAATATATTGAAGAAACGAGTGGATTTCTTAAGAGTTTGTTTCATTCGAAATGAAGTAACCCATTGCTAATTTATTAGCCTTCACTAAAACTGCGTTTGTAGCTCAATGGCAGTATGCTCCCCAACCCACCCACGTGGTCCGGGATTCGATCCCCAGCCCAAGTATTCTTAAACCTCATTTAGCCGACAGTAAGCCCGGTAATGACAGGAGGTTGGGCAGAGGATAGCGAGCGCTGAAACTTTACAGCTTGAGGTTGAAGCCCTATTTACAATTCGGAACGCTCCCAAACCTACCTAAACTGTGTCGCTATATCTAATGTACAAAATCAAGTATGTGAAATAACCTAATTATCAGTTCCTTAATTTTATGAGACAGCGGGATAGTTTTCTAGAACATAATAATTAGCATCTACTCTCGTATAGAATGAAGAAATTTCACGTTTCATACAGTGGATGAATAAACGGAAGTAGAATGAGTGAAAACAGCTCACGTAAAATATTTTGAAATAGTTCAATTTGTCAAAATTGTTGTATATCCACATATCAAAATATGAGTTGAATGGTGGAAATATTACAGGGATCCACTTAAGCTATGTATATGCATTACCCAACTACTTTCACATTATGATATTAAATTAAGCTGTATGTCGGTGGCACAGTGGTTAGGACTCTCTCGACCATACACATGGTACGGGGTTATACCCTGCCAACGCACATCTGATATCTATGGTCGGCCTGCAAAATTTGGGCTACCGATATCACATGCTGAAAATTCCATACTTGTACCAAAAATACGGTGTGGAATCAAGCTGTAATCAAAAATCAAAATCAAATGTTAAAAGATACTACTCAAAACTGGCAACATCCGTTCACATTCTAGAAGATGGGTTTACTAGGTAGTAACAAATGTTATGGTTCTAGTCCTTGATTTGGTGCAGACTGAATTCTAGCAGGGAAGGCTGCAGTACGGTTACCATGCTAGATGACTCACCATCACAGTACACTGTAAATTGATGTTAGATGGTTGGAAGTAATCGTCATCACGACGTATCTACAATCTTGAAGGAACTCTCATGTCTCCTCTGAGATTCAAACCCACTGATGAGTGAGTGCCGACAAGCACGAAACCTAGATGAAGGGCTTCCTGCCAATTACCTCCAACCATCTAACATTAATTCATTGTATTTGCTAACTAACAACCACAACTTAACATTCTCAAATGTCACACACTATCTATAAGTAACTGCATATCAAAGACATTATTTAAAAAGTTTGAAGAAACAATTCAGTTCTTTGTTTTTCTCTTGAAATTTACTTTGCTTATTCAACGAAGCATCTTGTTTGAATTCAACATAAATCAATTCCTCATGACGATTATCTTCTGCACCAGAATGATCCAAAATTCTACATTTAACACAAAAAAGGAGAGATAAGAAGAAACAATATAAGCAAGAGTAGACATGAAGCTTATATTTTGGAAAAAAAACACAAATAAACATTATTAGTCAATAACATTGAGATGTTAAAGTTAAAAGTAAATAGGTTAAGGTTAGATCAAAAGAAGAATAAAATAGACAGAATACAAACTTTTAAATCAATAAGAAGAGTTAAGAGAATTAAGAAAATAGCATAGGGCAAATTTTTGTTATGATTGGTTAAAAAAAATGCTGAATGAACTTATTTCATGTGAAGGAAGAAAGAGGAAACAATATGAAAATCTCGATGTCAAGAAAAAGCAGTTTTTTTTATTTTGAAAAACAAACAAATAAAAGTATAAATAAGGGATAAGTGGGTTAACTGTTGCCAGTTAGGGAAAGTGACATGTGCTCAGAAGAAGATGCACGTTTTATAACCATGACAGAGTAAAGACTTCAGAAATGTACAATTATATTAGTTATAAGATAACAAGATAAACTATACACATGTGGCGTGTGCTACTAATAAATCTTATCAGTAGCATATAAAGAGACGTTCATCGGCATAAAAACATCAAATAGCAGGGAGATAGATTTCATATCAGGGAAAGCAAATGATACACTATTGCGGAGATACATAGGAGACGTGAAAGGAACACAAAGAAACACACTACGCTATATAGAGTTACCAAATTCCGAATAGACATTCCTTTACTAAATCTCTCGTCTCCCACCGTTACACACCCTCTATATGACAAAACACTGTTCACAGCTCCTTAATGCTTACAATATATTCCCAACTCGCATTACTAAAGTTGAGGGGTTACTGAATCGAAGTTCACATTACATTATATATATAGTAAGAATCTGTCCAATATGCATTTTCACTGTGAGCAAGAAACCCCAGCAATAAACATTGTTTATTAACAAGGGACTCAGGAAACGACCTAACCAAGAACCTACTGCCCAACAAATATGCTGAAGGGAAAGGAGATGTATCGGACACACGCTGAGTGACATCATACGCCAGAAAGGCCCTAAAGTGGAATCCGAATAGAAAACGACCAGATGGGCGTCCGAGGTTGACATGGCAGAGATGAAAGCATGAAGATAATCCTGAGGCCAGCTAAAAAGAACTACAGAGAACGGGATGAAATGAAGTTGTGAGGCTAAAAGTGTATGTTACACTTGGGACACAAGAGAAAAGTAATATTCAAGTCATGAGCTGACATCATTTAGAGAACCAGTGGAAAACCTGGGAATACTGGATAGCTGTTTCGTCCTAGTTTGGGACTCTTCATCAGTACGCACCTACAAAACCAATACTTGATAATATTCAAGTGTTGATTTGTAGGGATTTAATTGGTTACAGGATTCCACCATGAGCTGAAATCGGTTGGCAAACTATTGGAAAACCTGGGAGTACTAGACAGCTATTTCGTCCTAATTTGAGACTCTTCACAGTACGCCAGTGTCGCCAATGACATAGGCTAGTGGTCGCGCTATATCGTGAATTGGCAGAAGTTGGAATTCATGGGCAGGAAATTGGATTGGGTTCCAGTGGCTTAATGGTCTACGAACTCGCCTTGTAACCGGAAGGTCCTGGGTTCAAACCATGGAGGTAGGTGCATACTTCAGAAGAGTCCCAAACTAGGACGAAACAGGTGTCAAGTACTCCCAGATTGGTTCACTAACCGATTTCAGCTCTTGATGAAATTCTGTCAGAAAAGCAATAACAACTAAACGTGTTGAATAACCTTTGAGATATTAGCAACTTTCCATTTACTTAATCAAGTACCCTAAAGTTTCTCAATTTAGTTATAACTAAAAGAAGTACTGCCTAAATGAAACTAACATCTGTATTAGTATTTGCGTTCAACACAAAATAGATATTAACACATGAGAAATTATAAACAACCAAATGAGTGCCCATCGAAAGAAGGAAAATAATGCTAATTCGTAGCAATGTATTGTTAAAATATTCTAGTAACTTTTCGATAATAGTTCATTAGTTTTGCAAAACAAAAGACTATTACAAAATTATTTACTCTGTAAGTAACGATTATAATTCTACTAATTGGTTTAAACATCCGATGAAAATAGGTAAGGCATCTAATGTTTATTAACTTGAGGAGAACACAGTGCTATTGAACGGTACTCATTCTCTCATACTACTTCGTTGAAATTTACGAGACAACCGAAAACCATGTTTTGAAGATTTTCGGCAATAATAGCAAAGAAGCAATTAAAGCAGCACAGATGAATTTCTGTATTTATCTTAATCTTCTATCTTCATGACCTTCACTTTAACTGACTTCTATCTCTTATCTTCGACATTAATAAGCGAATGAGAAGTGTGGAGAGAGGTCAGTCATTACGTGGCACTGTCAGATCTTGTTTACAATACGCCACATGAAGCCTTACACGCGCTACATAACACTCCGACTATTTACCATTATTACCTTTACTCATTAATATACATACATGTCTGACAACACATTAAAAAATATAACAAGTCAAAACATTCGTCGCCAATTAGTGGTGACAACCATACTGCATAGTTTATCGAGAAAACAAGGGCATAAGAACTCAAAAAAAACCGCCGGATAAAACCAAATACTTCACTGAAAAGACAATGGATATATTACATATTAACACAAAATTTACTAACTGTTTTCACAAGCATATGTGAAATGTGCATTGATTATTTTGAAGGCATATATTCAAACACAGCAAACAGACTAGTCAGGTCTATCTATTAGCTTACGCATATACACATATATATATGTACAAAGTCCATGTATAGAAATTCAGCTATCATCACATGACGAATATTTCGAATTCTTAAAACAAAAAAAACTTTGTACAGTATTCTTTTCAAGTTTTGGATTCACAATTAATTTCTCATATTTTCCGAATGTAAAAAAAAAAACAAACGTAGAATTTCTTTTTTCCGAATTAGAAACATTTGCATTTATAAAGAAGAAGATTAGACCTATGATAGGAATTTATAAACAATTAGAAATTATGTTAGTTTTTACTTGTTAATGTTTTGATTGGCACTTCAAAACACTACCGTTACACTTCTAGTGTCAAGGTAGTTAATTGAAGGGTAATATAGAGAATTAACGTAATAACATCATGGTGTAATGACGATTAATTTAAGTCTTGGATACTTCAAAAAACAACAAGAATATTATGTTAGATTTTAGTAAACTACTATATCTATCCATCAAAGTATTGTTTAAAAGAAAATTTGAGTGAAGCATACACATACATGTTAATGAGTCATTTACTTGAAGTAATAAATTGGAAATGTTAAGAAGCAGCATTTTTAAGGGTGCATAAGACTTTTGGAAGAACTTGTCAGTTAAAATACTCTTAATACTCTTGATAATATTTATTTTTTCTGATTGAGAGTAGATAGGAGGAATTCCTTTTTTTTCATTTTGCCCTCCAAAGTTGGAAAGCTGAATAGCTGGTCTTTCAAGGTAAACAATTCAGGTGTGGTGGTGTGATACAGATAATGTGTTCTAACGGAATATGATTCTCATATATTCCCACACTTCAATAATGCGTTAGCAACACAATACTACGTATATTTGAAAATCCTATCTCTTGTTGTTCAACATAAACCAAAATCACACACTGAGTGATTGGTTAACGAATATAAACTACATATATATATATATACATATATATATATATATATATATAGCAACCAACTGAGGCGCATATATCCTAAATGAACAATTACGCTTTTCATGATTTCATCATGAACTGACACTGGTTAGAGGATCATTGTGAAATCTGGGAGTACTGGACAGCTGTTTCGCCCTAGTTTGGGACTCTTTTGAAACCAATCAAATCCCTGTAAACCAATACTTGAATTTTAATCTGATGCTCACTAGTGATTAGCCCTATTTAGATAAGTAGTTACCTGGGTTCTAGTGATAAGTCGTGACCAGTGGGGTACAGCAGGTCGGGTGTGAGGACAGATACTCGCCGGTGATTACATTCGCTAGTGGTTACGCCATATCATGAATTGGCAGAAGTTGGAATTCATAGACCACTGGATCGGATCCCAATAACTTAATACCAGAAGGTAATAGGTTTGAACCCCGGTGAGTGCGTACTGATGAAGAGTCCCAAACTAGGACGAAACAGCTGTCCAGTACTCTCAGGTTTTCCAGTGGTTCTCTAACTGATGTCAGCTGATGATGAAATCCTTCATGCAATCAAACAAAATCCCTACAAAACCAATACTTGATAATGAAAAATATACCTTGGCTTTCGTATCTTGCCTTCTGTTGTTACACAGGTACAATCATATAGACTTCATCAGAAATACAATTTCACTCTCGAAAATGAAAAATTTATGAACTAAAGTTAACTCATAAAGAAAATCTGTCTGTCTGTCTGGATTCAACATAGAACTTGGCACCGAAGTGCAGCAGTTCGAGTTGCCACGTTCCAAATAGCACACAAACGTAGACAAGAAAATGAGTGAAGAGAATCAATAGAGTTATGACAAGTATAAGAGTGAAACAGAATGAGTAATGGTAGAAAGGAGTATGAAGGTTGAAGAGACTGAATACATCTGCGTAAGCCATTGACAACGATTTTGAGCCATGTCACCTATTGTCTCCAGCCATTGATTCTTAGAGTCCCGAGGGCCCCAACCCGGAAGTCTGCATCTCCCTACCTGACTGAGTTTAACTGTCAAGGATTTCATGGGTTGATGAGGCCATGTTTTTGTTTGGCCACCACTTACTCTTTTCCAATCTGCACCTATATCAGCTAGTAATGCCCGTCGGGGGAGACGATGGTTAGGCATGCGCAGCACGTGGCCTAACCATCTCAATCTATGTAACTTCATAGCCTCTTCGAGTGATTTTCCCTCTTTGCCCAACACTCTACGCCTAACGTCAACATTACTTACCTTATTATACCACCTAACGCGAGAAAGAGATCGTAAACATCTGTGGTCAAAAACAGACAATCTCTTCATGTCTTCCGCTCTCAATGGCCACGTCTCACCGCCATAGAGAAGGACGGAGCGAACTGCTGAGCAGTATACACGTCCCTTGGTTGACAGTCGGATGTCACGCCTACGCCAGAGACCTTGTAAGTTAGCGAAAGCAGCCCGAGCTTTCTGGATCCGTGGTGAGATTTCGTCACCAATCAATCCGTTGGTGCTGATACAACTTCCTAAATAGGTGAAGTGGTCAACATGTTCTATCACTTCACTCCCTATCACTAAGCTTGGAGTTGACGTAGTCCAGTCCTGTAGCAGCATCTTACATTTCACAGGGGCGAAAATAACCATTTAAAAGTCGGATTGACTTCGGTTTTGATATTATGAAATGAATAATTATTATTGATCATTTTCCTAACAAAAAACAGAATTTTCAAGTGTTAGTTTCCGATTGATTTCAACTTACATCAAGAAGTGACATCAATTAGAAAAGCGCTAAAAAGCAGGAATTACTGGGACTTTTCAGAAACATTCACACAAGTCCCCACTGGGGGTCAAACACATGTTACAAAGTGAACCTGTTGACCATTCGGTCACTGAGACAGCATCTAATCGTTCCCGAATCCTAACTTCAGGTAATTGGCGATCTAAATTAAACAGCTAATATATATATATATAATATTCATCTTGGATATCCTCCTTACAAGAAAGCCAGATGGTAGCATAAAAAGAAATTTGCATAGAAAAAGTACTTGGACAGGACAATAAACACACTTTCACAGCTTCGTTCCTCTCAAGTACAAAAGAAATTTAGTAAAGACCCTCAGCCACAGAGTTAGAGCTATATGCTCAGAAGAAGTAATTGAAGATGAATTAAGCATTGTATATGATACTTTGATCGAGAATAGCTAGCCCAAAAAGTTTATCAAGAAACACATGACAAAGAAAGCGGAAAAGGACTACTCACTGTCTGTAAATAAGAAGCCTTTATATATACGACTACAATTCATGGGCGATATACCAAGTGAGATAATTACGAAGAAATTAAGAAAATCAGTTCAAAGAACTTTCAATGCTGGCGAACTACATGTGTTAATCTCTGCACAATCGATGGTGCTAACTCAACTGAAAGATGAAGTATCTAGACTAGCCACTTCTAGTTGTATCTACCAATTCAACTGCGCTTCTGGAGCGAGTTATTTTGGCCATTGCTCTAGGAACTTGATTTTTCGTTCTCGAGAACATATCCCACTATGGCTAAGTAAAGGTGTAGTTAAAACCATTAACAGTTCGATATTGGACCATCTGATGAATACCGGCCACAAAACCAGCCAGCATTGAAGAATCCTTCTCTATAATCTACCAGGTACCTAATTAATTGCCAAAATCGTCGAAGCACCGCATGCTCCAAACAGCAGAAGCTATTGCAATTCGCCTCAAACAACCAGTGCTCTGTGTTCAAAAGAAGCAAGTCCAGCCAGCCACTTCTACTGCCCTGGCCTTCAGTAGAAACTATAAACTCATGAATTTGTACTATTATCTTTCCTAATTCTTCTGACATTCAGCTTATTTTATGTTGATGCTATTGAGCTGTAATCTATCAATGTTATTGATTCGATGTTATTTAAACATTAATGTCGTTCATAACACTAATTCATTCATTCACTACAATGTATATATAACTGTAGAGCCTGATGATGAAGTTATCGAAAAGAGTACTGTTTGTTCATTCTTTTGATCCGTCAGGCTACCGACTAAGCAATATATCTATTTACAGAAAATCTAACTGGGTAGGACAGTATATTGCTTACCAGTATATAATAACCGCTAAAAACTTCATTCGATTCGGTTATAAACTAAATTTTGCTCCAACTTACACATAGTAAAGATAGTGGAACTAGAAATGAATGTCATGAACTGTGAAAACCCTGATAATATCAAGAATTCAAAGCATTTAAATTTTTTAAAAAAACCGAGAAGAAGAATAACAGCAACCTTATAGGCATAAAATAATAGTGTCTGACAACGATAACGGTTGTGACACATAATCATACAATCAAATGGTTTGTTTTCTTTCAAAAACAATATTTAATACAAATATAATCACAAACCTTAATATTTGACCTCTGAAAATAAAAACAAGAGAAAAAAAAGATTATTAACAGTTATTATACCATATATTGACGAAATATATGTTAATAAGACATTTATACAAAATACCTGAGTTGTAGGTAAAACATACATGTATACAAGCACCCCAAGAGTACTAAAGAATTCCATAAATTCAATCGTACATACAGTTATTAACTATTATGATCTCTAAACTATAAGTTACACATAATTTATGACACAAATTTAAACTGACTGACTGAGTTTCAGAATGAAACTTTGCACAGAGGTGCAACAGTTCAAGTCGCCACACTCCATATATCCCCAATAGTCCCTAGGCATTGATTCTTAGCATCCTGAGGACCCGATCCAGGCAGTCTACACCTCTTCATGTACGTGAAACCAACTGTCAAATGCTTCATGGGCTGGTGTAAAGTTTTGATTTGACCAACCTCCCTAACTCTCTTCCAACCCAACCCTATGTCAGCTGACATAGCTTGTCTAAGGAGACAGTGGCTCGGCATGCACAACACATATCCTAGCCATCTCAATCTATGTAGCTTCACAATCTCATAGACTGAATTGCCTTTCTTAACTAGCTCTTTACGCCCAAATTTGATATTACTTACTACAATATACTACCTAACGTGGCAGATAGGATGTAAGCATGTGTGGTCAAAGACAGCTAACAAACTTTAAAACAATTCTTCCTTAGTTTCCTACACTTTTTGTGGTTTAACTAGATTAAAACACACATCAACTGATGACAAGTATTAAAAAACATACAAATTCTATGGAGGTTCTTACTTGGTAATTTGTTTTTCTGAACCAGGTCGACTATCCTTCAGTTTGATATCATGTAGTTTAGCAATGATCTGTGAAGAAGAATCTGAGGCAATCTCTCCGGCTACATTAAACTTTGTCAGATTGAGGATAGCTAGTCGTTTATCATCTGTGAAACCAGTATGCCAATCAGCCTATATGTTAACATACAAAAAGCGATATAAAGATACCATACTTCAAAAAAGACTGAAATACAACAATGTAATGAAATCTAACAGAGCAGCTGGAAACAATATCAGCTTGAAAACAAAACACGTAGATCAGCGAAGAGTGTCTTTTCTGCGAATTCATATTCTTAGCTGTACAATCGCAAATATATATGCATTGTTTTGTTTGTATGTGTACATTAAGTTTGTCAAACAAAGTTACAATTGGTTAAGGTTAATTTTAACTAAACAAGTGAAGGTTGGTAATATAGGTCAAGAAAACTAGGGTAGTAACAAAGGTGATGAGTTGTCACAAACAGTTGTTAAAAGAAGTCTCCTCTGTATCGCTGAAGCTCTAGCCATTCACATGGAAAAACCGGAGCTGTGCATACAAAAGAAGATTACTCAACCACTTCTACTCTCATGGTAACAATGTTTTGATTTTTGATTTTTATTTTATTTTATTCTGATAACTTAACTTTGTTTCTTTGCCTGTTCCTTAGTTGCTTATAATTCTTGTATTCACTTAGATCTCTTACATAGTTTCGTATTATCTACTTTGTTTCTATGTGCATCCTGAGTAAAACTCACTCATCAAAATATTCATATTATTATTGCATAACTTCTTTTAACAACTGTTTGTGACAACTCATCACCTTTGTTACTACCCTAGTTTTCTTGACCTGTATTACCAACCTTCACTTGTTTAGTTAAAATTAACCTTAACCAATTGTAACTTTGTTTGACAAACTTAATGTACACATACAAACAAAACAATGCATATATATTTGCGATTGTACAGCCAAGAATATGAATTCGCCGAAAAGAGACTCTTCGCTGATCTACGTGTTTTGTTTTCATTAATGCCTGGATGGGGATTATCCATGAATATCAGCTTGAGCAGGATTTCTGTTATGGATAATCAACTGGAAAATCAGAGATTTTCATCATAGATTCATTTCTTTACTTAAGTAACTAACTACTCAACTTTTGGAGATTTAGACAATTCACCTTACTGAGCTGAATTAATCTTGGTTCCTTAATGATGAATTTGGTCTTCAAAACGAAAAATGTATTTCAATCTGCTTTGTTTTCTATAAAAGCGACTACATTAGTAACGACGGCTGAACTATCAGAGAAGTCTGAAATTTTATTCTAAATGTATAGAGGCTATTTGAGCTGTCTGATTGTAATTGGTGCAAGTGAACAGCCTATAGTGTTGTACAGTAGTAGTCAATCAAGACAATTCTCAGCGGTGGAATATATATAGAAATTTGAAATTACTTGCTATTTATGCGTTCAAAACTCCATCCGTACATAATGGGATAGCTGTCCCATTCCCATTATGTACGGATGGGATAGCTGTCCCGACCGAAAGCTGCTACCTTGACGTGGTGGTCGGGCTTGAACACCGCAATGACCCAACAAGCTATACTGGCTGGAACTTATGTTCCTGCAGGTCTTACCATGCCAGAAAGGTTGTTTGGATAGCGGTTAGACTAAAAGCAGTTACCCAATCCAATCCTATGACTTCAAACAAATCACAAAATATCATGCCGGATCGGTCGGGGCCCGGATTAACAACGACCGCGCTTTCTGCTGCCGTGTCACAGGGCAGAAGTGATAAATACGCTACTGAGACACACCAAATAAAAAAGAACAAACAAAAACAGGCCGTGTGTGACCGGCCTCAAGCAGTTGTCCCCTGGGCTCTGCGGTCACGCAACCAACTTCCACGGTGTGGGCAGCCGGGAAGTAACAATCGCCCTCACAACCCGAAGAGCACGCGAAACCTCTCTATTCCTCACTCACCTTTGTCTTCATCTTCATCTCTATTATCTTACCTTCCTTCTACTAATGCAACTCCTCTACTTAATGGCCCTTCACTTCCTCTTCACTCTGTGTGCACTGATAACGATGGAAGCCAAAAAGCCACCATCGATAGTCTCCTAAAGCCACGTCACCAATTTCATATAGGGGCATTTAATGTTAGGACACTTTGCCAAATAGGACAACAGGCATCACTAGCCAAGACTCTGGCATCCCGAGCCATTGATGTATGTTGTGTTTCAGAAACACGCATACAGGACCCAAGTGTGGTTATTCACCTAACCCCACCTGGCCAACAGGATGAATCTGCAAAATTCACCTTGAGGGTGTCAGGAGATGCGACGGCTAGCTCACGAGGATTAGCTGGTGTTGGGATAGCTTTAAGTACTAGAGCAGAAAAGACATTACTTGACTGGATCCCGGTAGATAGCCGAATGTGTGCTGTCCGTCTGAACGGATCAGTGAAAAGGAGAAAGGACTGCACTACTCGCCGATGCCTTTTCGTAATCTCCGCCTACGCCCCCACTGACTGCAGTTCGGATGAAACGAAGGATGAGTTCTACCAAAAGCTGTCTAGTTTGCTGCGAAAGGCTAAACGCTCAGATATAGTCGTTTTAGCTGGTGACTTTAATGCTCAAGTGGGGAAACTGTGTCAATCTGAGAAGAATGTCGGTGGCACATACGGAATTCCGTGCCAGCGAACCGACAACGGTGACCGTCTCCTACAGTTCTGTTCAGATAATCACTTGTTTCTTGTAAGCACTAACTTCAAACACAAGGAGAGACACTGTCTTACCTGGCGACCTCCATCATCAAACCAACGCTGGACACAAATAGACCACATAGCAATAAGCTATCGTTGGCGTGGGTCGGTAGGGGATTGTCGCTCCTTCTGGAACACGTGTGTAGATACCGATCACGCACTGGTCCGCGCTCGTGTGTGCTTACGACTGAACGGACGTAGGAAACAGCTGGCGGTAAACCCATCACGTCCCCAGCTCGATCAGGAAACTAAGTCCCTATTTGAGGAAGAACTAGCTAAACACATATCTGAGTTTGACAGCTGCGCTCATCCTGAAGAAGCCTGGAAAAATATTCAGTCAGCCATAGATACAGCTGTAAAAGCTGTGAATAAGGTAAATCCAAAGGTGAGTAAAAACCATTGGATTTCGACTGCCTCATCCGAACTGATAGATGCTAGAAGACTTATTCCGGCGAGCTCCGAATTCAATGAGGAGCGAAAGCTGCACAAAAGAAAACTTACGAAAAGTCTCCGCAAGGACCGTGAACAGTGGTGGTTGGCAAAGGCGAAAGAGATGGAAAAAGCATCGGCGATAGGCAACACTAGGCAACTCTTTAGACTCATCAGGGAAACGGGTGGGAGAAGGCAAATCATAAGTGAGACTATTTGTGAGAAAAATGGCTCCTTAATTAGCTCTCAGGATAGACGCCTCGAACGCTGGAAAGAACACTTCGAGGAACAGTTTAACTTGCCTACAGCCACACTGAGCCTCCCCGCCATCCAGCACACACCCGAATGGGACATAGACACTGGCCCGCCGTCTGTAAGTGAGGTCACCAAAGCTATCTGTAATTTGAAACGAGGCAAAGCGGCAGGACCCGACGGAATTATTCCGGAGGTGTTTAAATATGGGGGTGACATGCTAGTATATAGTTTAACTAAGGTACTAGGTAACGTCTGGGAATCAGAGACGGTTCCATCAGACTGGGGTAAGTCACTTATCATACCAGTATTCAAGAAGGGAGATAAGTCCTCATGTGATAATCATAGAGGAATCAGCCTAACGAACATAGTCTCTAAAATCCTAGGCTCAGTAATCATGAACAGACTAAGCCGAACTCGGGAGGAACAAACGAGGGAAAATCAAGCGGGCTTTAGGCCAGGTAGAGGGTGCATAGATCATATCTTCACTCTCCGACAGATCCTAGAACATAGGCACACTTTTAGGCGTCCAACAATTGCCATATTTCTTGACTTGAAGGCGGCCTTCGACTCCGTGGATCGAGAGGTTCTATGGCAATGTTTGACTATGAAGGGAGTGCCAAGAAAGTACATTGCACTAATCAAGGCACTCTACTCAAACTCACGTAGCTGTGTAAGGGCTTATGGGGAATTGTCATCTGAATTGATAACAACCAGTGGTGTCCGTCAGGGATGTCCACTTTCCCCTTTTCTGTTTAACTTCATCATAGATATGCTAATGGAAGTATCCTTAACTGAACGTAACGACTTAGGAATCGACTTGTTACCAGGGAATAGTCTTATAGACTTAGAATACGCAGACGACATAGTCCTGTTAGGGGAGGACGCTGACAAAATGCAGAGTCTTCTGAACACCTTGAGCAGCAATCTTCGTATGTTTGGCATGCGATTCGCCCCTGTGAAATGTAAGATGCTGCTACAGGACTGGACTACGTCAACTCCAAGCTTAGTGATAGGGAGTGAAGTGATAGAACATGTTGACCACTTCACCTATTTAGGAAGTTGTATCAGCACCAACGGATTGATTGGTGACGAAATCACAGCACGGATCCAGAAAGCTCGGGCTGCTTTCGCTAACTTACACCGTCTCTGGCGTAGGCGTGACATCCGACTGTCAACCAAGGGACGTGTATACTGCTCAGCAGTTCGCTCCGTCCTTCTCTATGGCGGTGAGACGTGGCCATTGAGAGCGGAAGACATGAAGAGATTGTCTGTTTTTGACCACAGATGTTTACGATCTCTTTCTCGCGTTAGGTGGTATAATAAGGTAAGTAATGTTGACGTTAGGCGTAGAGTGTTGGGCAAAGAGGGAAAATCACTCGAAGAGGCTATAAAGTTACATAGATTGAGATGGTTAGGCCACGTGCTGCGCATGCCTAACCATCGCCTCCCCCGACGGGCATTACTAGCTGATATAGGTGCAGGTTGGAAAAGAGTAAGTGGTGGCCAAACAAAAACATGGCCTCATCAATCCATGAAATCCTTGACAGTTAAACTGAGTCAGGTAGGGAGATGCAGACTTCCGGGTTGGGGCCCTCGGGACTCTAAGAATCAATGGCTGGAGACAATAGGTGACATGGCTCAAAATCGTTGTCAATGGCTTACGCAGATGTATTCAGTCTCTTAAACCTTCATATTCCTTTCTACCATTACTCATTCTGTTTCACTCTTATACTTGTCAAAACTCTATTGATTCTCTTCACTCATTTTCTTGTCTACCTTTGTGTGCTATTTGGAACGTGGCAACTCGAACTGCTGCACTTCGGTGCCAAGTTCTATGTTGAATCCAGACAGACAGACAGACAGAATGGGATAGCTGTATGGGTAGCGTTTGAATCAGATAGTTTTATGTGACATTATACCAACAAGTTCTGCTGTTATTTGACATGGCTGAAATTCATATGCAAGCCATTGCATAAACTACACTGGCTGAATGCAGGCGACCAGTTGTTTAAAACAATCAAAAATGGACAAACTTCCACCTCATATTACCTCCAACTGCGTCTACCAATTTACATGTACGTACAGAAGCACATACATTGGAAGAACAGACAGAAGGACTATTATCCACATTTCTGAAAAATATCTCAAAGAACCTTAGACTAACGGGCTCATGGATGTTAAACATTGCGATTGCGTGCCACCTATTAGACACTGCCAATGTTGTAGACAATCTGAAGGCGTTCAAAATAATCAACAGGCCAGCGAGACTTAGTTTGCCACTTCTTGCTGATGCAATAGCCATCAAACGATTAAAACCAAGTCTATGTAAGCAGAAGGAGACATTGGTGAATCTTACACTGCCTTGGTGATAACAAAGTATACAAATTTTATGACATCTCCAGTCCTGTTTAGAAAACTTTATCCTTTCATCTAAACATGACTCATCTTATCCCCCTCCCTACGTTTGCGTTATTTTATAACAACATTTCCAGTGGTTGTGTGACCCATTATTTGTTACACTCTTTCTAGTTATACTTGGTTTCTACACAGAAAATTACGGACCAATATTACTCTTAGTTCCTACCAATTACTCCTTGTCATCATGGAGAAAGTATGTTCGAATCTGCAATTTTATTTATATTTTTGTATTGTTCAGGTTGAGAAGAATTCTCGAAATAATAAAAGATGAGCTTATATTCTCCTGGTACGCATTCGCCGTTTATGCTTTGTTCAAGTTTATGAATGTAATAAACTTTATGAAATTTACTGTTGAACGAAACGTGATAAGTAATGAATACATTAAACGACCTACTACGGTTTTTCATTGCATGAGAATACTGTGTTTACCGTATTGATAGCTTGAAGGAAAAATTAGGCATTTTGTCTCTTTTTAACTTAGATTTTCTCTCGGTTTAAATTCATCGTCTTATTATATTGCAGTAATCTTTTCTCAGTGAAATAAATATACACAGTGCATTTTTGTATCAACATAATTTCGATACTTTCGATAATTATGTACCTATTTAAACCATGATTTCTAACAAAAACACTTTACTGGCCTTTTTACGTTTTGTAATGTTAAATAGATTATATCCTATCGAACTTGGTAAGATAGTGTTTCCACTTAAAAAGCTGAAATTTGATCAGAGTCACCTGAAAAAATGCATCAAAATAACTAGTTTCCAGTCGTCATAATTTATTGTCAAAATCAAGGTACTGACTATATTGTAGATCCTGTATAAAAGATTGGAGCAGAATAATCGATCTGAAAATCCCCCAATAAACAATCTGTTCACAATACTAATACTTATTTGGATATTACACCTAACTGTATGAATACTACCTCTTTTTCCCCTAAGTTGCATGTAATTTTTCTAAAGTTTGCACACCTCCTTTTGACTTAATCCTTGTCATTCGCCTTTGCTTTTGTTCGGTCCCTAAATTTAATGTTACTCTTTGCTGTTATGTGATGGTGTTGATAATCGATGGCTTCACAACTGCGATTTTGTTTGTGTGAAATGAAGGTTACACCGTGGAGTAACTGCATGACCTGGGACTATCTGCCGGAAATGTGCTTGTTGTGTTTGATTCTTGTAGACAGAGTGTTGATCATTGTTTGTTGGAAATATTCCTGTTCTCTGGTAATTTATAATTGCGTTTGGTTAACTAGTTTTGTTGTACAGTACGTATTATGTACCTTAGAAGCTTTTGAATTGTGTAACTGCAACGACATCGTTGAGGTAGGTTTGTACTTTTACTATTGTTGAGTAGTACCGCAGATCCTATCAATCAAATTGTCTTTTTGGTATTATTGGAATAATTTTGGACTGTTAAGTGACTCGTGGAAATTCGGTGAGCTATGCAGAAGGACGTATCGAGTGGTTTCCCACGTTCAGACCGAAATACTTGGTCGTTACAATCATTACTAAATAACATGACTTTGATCCCAAATACACAAAGTAGTATGTTGGCAGTCATTATTAATAATAGTTAAATTCATAAAAATGACAAAATAACTAACCTGTGGTTGATCACCAGTGTATAAATTTAGGGTAACACTTTCCATTCCTAAATCAAAACTGACAGCCACCTTAACTGAATCTTTATTATCAACATTTGATGGGGAAATGTTTTTATCGTCGGCCTTTTGTGATGGCACAAGTTCATTTTTAGTGCCACTAGGTGTAGAATTAGCATTCCCCGGCTTTTTCGTAGAATCTGATGATGTCAATGTAGGTTGAGATTGAGCAGTCGGTGGTAATTCACTGAAATTATCAATCAACACCTCTTGAACAACACGATAATCACCCTGACACATTGAAATCTATGTGACAAAGAAAGATTCAGAAAAAAAAGTAAGTATGAATACTGTTAGAAGGTGAAGGCAGTAAAATTATGCTAGAAATTTATCACTTTGAGAGGGTAAATAAGGCAAAAACGGTTACTTTAACAGTGAGCTAAATACCTATGTGTGTAGGATAATTTAAAGATTATCAAAGAAGCAAGAACATTTCCCAGTAGGGAATTTAAAACTAGCAACACTTGTGAAAAAAAGTGATAATTTAACGACTCATCAACTGAATACACTGGCAAATTATCACACACTTTTTATCGATCAGACACCTGTTGAACTTAGTAGTTATTCGTTATCACCATGACCATGTAAGTAGGTTGACCTTTCGAACTGACACGCACACACACACAATCGTGTTCAGCTGACGAGTCTTAAAGTGAATTATAAATTCGTCAAATACTGCTTTCTACACTATTGTCAATAATCGAAAAAGTGGTGAAAATAATGCATAATTTTAAAAGATAGTTATTTAAAGCCTTCAAAAAGGCAAAAGCCAATTCACAGTACATTTTTGAAGAGAAAAAAATAGGAATATTTATATACTAAATAACTAATATTTCTATTTAAAGCACATAGTACTTCGATTTTCCACACGCAGATTTATAGTAGGCGGGCAATGGAGAACAAAATGATGTTAATTTGGTGGTTAGAAGTTGAATAAGTCTCCAACGTCTATAATATAGCACTTTTAGAAAATATAACGATGACAATTCAGCAGAAGTGGTTGCTAACCTTTTAAAAACAAAGGCCCTAATTCAGTGTTGAAGTAGTGTTTAGACTCTCTTTAAATGCAGTACTGGATTATGCAGCTTCGTGTTTATGAGAGCAAACCAGATGTTTTAGCAGATGAATTTTGATAAGTAGAAGACTTAGGTTCTTCACATTTCACCTTCAAATATCCTAACACTGTGATGGTCATTGTTACTAAACGGTTTGCACCTAGTCTCTGTATACAGGAAGATAATGGGATTAATCTCGTACTAACCCTGTTAACTAAACGTCTCTGTTTCGTTTCCGTTTTTGTTATGTTGAATTTATTGTTTTGATTATCACTTACTAAGCTTAACTCAGTATTAATTAAACAATTAACTTAATTGTTGACTTGTGTAATAATTTTATTTTTACTTACCATTTCTTCTCAGTCGCAAGTTTCACCCTTCACACTTTCCACCATATCATTTATAAGTAAACACTGGTTGTTAGACTATTAACTATTCTGTATTCATATCTCCCATTCTGCCACTATGCCAATTTGAGTTGAAATAGTTTTTAAAGTATGTTATATACTTACATTTATAATAACTAATGTCATTTTTTAGACTGCTAGCCGTGAAATAATAAATGAACTATTTTTGTCCTGCAAATATGCTTGTTTTTTTTTATTACCTTCACGCAGTAGGGATATTCCTTAGAAAAGTGGAAGGGTAAATACAAATGTCTAGCGCTTACAATAAGACTGGTGGACATTCTGGTCTACCTAGAGGAGCTGGAAAACCCCGATTCCAAACCTATCATGTACATGACTCAGAATCCAGACGGATTCTGGCATGGCAATGTAGCCCGTGATGCTACTTCACTGCCATACGGATCAGACTTCAAGTTAAGGGCTTGGTTTGGCCCTTTAGGACAGCCAACTGCTGCCGTCTGTGAGTCCGGTTAGTTTCCTAGCCCACGTACAAACTATGGGGTTTTGTGAGGCGCATCTATTAGTGCCTATAATCTATCAAGATTGTTTTATAACAATAATAATAGTGATAATAATATGGTTTGAACTAGACGACATAATAATGAGTAGTGGTCAATAAATAATTGTAACGAAGTCTACCACCTTAGAAGTAGTCGAATTCTAAACCAAAAGAACTAATACCAATTAAAGTATATGAAAGTCATTTTGCTTAGGATAGTAAAGCAATCAGTAATTATGTTACATTTCATTAGCATTTTCAATCTAATCGTTAACATATTTTACTACTAAACCTGGTCATTCAATGCTTCGAGCAAAGACAAAACACAAAAATGTTAGAATCTAAGGTAGAGTAAAAATTTTATTGAATATGATTGGCAGACAATATCTACTCACGAATAACCACAACGGCTTAATGATTCAAGTGTTGATACACTTAACTGCGGAATAGAAACTTTATTTCGATAAAGAAAGGAAGACGAAATTTGCAGTATAAAATGATATCATTCTATTTCACAGGTTCTCATCAGCTGCAGACTGCCTGAAATTTCAATGGTTATATAGATGATAATAACATATTTTAATGTTTAGGTGGTAGTAGAGAAGAAATACTATAAAATTGACGCATTTTTAGTTTAAGTTTAACATATTCCAAGAAACCTGTGCCTGAAAGGAAGCAAATATTCTCAGAGTGCAATTACCAGACATATTGTTGATACCGGACATCTCGTACAGATTTCTAAGTCCTTCAAAATATTGAATAGACAAAGGACAGCAAATTTACTAAGATTTGCCGAAGCAATCGCAATCAAACGACTCAAACCAGACTTATGCATACAGAAAGAGAGTGTGATTAACCTCTCACTGCCTTGGTAACTGAATTTTGATTTTGATTACATTAATTAGTCATCTGATTCAGTGATCTCAACTCACTGAGCAAATCTCAATCTTATAAACTGTAACCGCTTTTGTTTTTTGAGTTGCTACGTGAACCTAAAAGCTAACACTGTTTGTAAATGTTTCTGTTTCCTGTCTTATCCCTCCCCCTCTTTTCTACTTTGAAAGTGTATAAATTGATGATGAAAACTTAAACTAAAAAATTGTAATGCTTAAATTTTGGATGAGTCAGTTTTATAGTATTTCTTCTCTACTACCACTTAAACATTAAAGTATGTTATTATCATCTATATAACCATTGAAATTTCAGGTAGTCTGCAGCTGATGAGAACCTGTGAAATAGAATGATATCATTTTATACTGCAAATTTCGTCTTCCTTTCTTTATCGAAATTTATCAAGGGAACCGAATGTATGAAGAAACTTTATTGATGTACAGAAACCCGCCTCAGTATAAAAGCGAACATTTTTCATCAAGCAATTACCATCTAATATATCTCATATTGACTAGAATAGAAGTCATAATAAGTTGATCACTATACTTTTAAAAACAAAATATGAATTCAATTGTTCAATTCTTAATTAAACAACAATATATATATATATCAACTTACACTGATTGCATTTAAACCGCCTTTAACCAATAAGATTGGTATTCCAGAATATACATCCGGATTGAGATTTCGACGCATTTTCAATTCAACATTAACTGGGAGTAAAACATGCTTTTCAGCTGTTACAGAATTCTCTGCTAGTATTATTCTTTTGTTATTTAGTTTAAAAAAAAGGGATAACAAAACGGAAAGAAAGGCATATTAGTAAGCAGGAGAGTGTGCAGTATGTACAAACACCGGAAGAGGAAAAAACAAGAATAGAACTCTAATCATTAACTCATAAGATCGAACAGACTATTCATCAACTCCAATGGAATAACTTACTGAAGAACTCACTTCTTTACATAAATATATTTAACATGTAGTCTTTTAGACGATTTTACTAAGGTGTATATAAATCTACCTCTGGAAATATGTAACAATATATAATATCACTGTCCTTAAGAAAACACAATTTAATTGATAATGACTATGCATGGATATAAGCAAAGATGTATTTGAAATACATATATACCTAAAAATATTCTACAGTGGCACAGTGATCACCAATGTCACCATTCAAAATGAGAATACAGACTGAAAATCTTCAAAATTTTACTGATTGAATGATGTTCAGCGTGAATTAAAACACTGTGTTAAGCTTAAAGCAGAAGGGATTTATTGCTACTCGAATACTTGTATAGAGTACAAGAAAAAGGTATTTCTAAATAAGTGGGTATTTTTTGACGAACTACACGTCTTATTCTCTACACGACCAATGGTGCTACCTCGACTGAAAGATGAAGTACCTAGACTAGCCACTTCAAATTGTATTTTTCAATACAACTGCGCTTGTGGAGCGAGTTATATTGGCCGTTGCTCCAGGAACTTGATTTTTCGTGCTCGAGAACATCTCCCACTATGGCTAAGTAAAGGTGTAGTTAAAACTATTAACAGTTCGATATTGGACCATCTGGTGCAAACCGGTCACAAAGCCAGCCAGCGTTGAAGAATCCTTCTCTATAGTCTACCGGGTGCCTAATAAATTGCCAAAATCATCGAAGCACCGCTTGCTCCAAACAGCAGAGGCTATTGCAATACGCCTCAAACAACCAGTGCTCTGTGTTCAAAAGAAACAAGTCCAGCCCCTACTACTGCCCTGGCCCTCAGTAGAGACTATAAACTCGTGAATTGGTACTATTACCTTTCCTAGTTCTTCTGACATTCAGTTTATTTTATGTTGATGCTGTTCAGCTGTAATTTATCAATATTATTCATTTGATGTTATTTAAACATTAATGTCGTTCATAAGACTAATTCATTCATTATAATGTATATATAATTGTAGAACCTGATGATGAATTTATCGAAAAGAGAACTCTGTTCCGTGTCTATTCTTTTGAAAATTTTAGAGATGAAAACTGTGTTTACTGATGCCACACATCAGTTAACGAGATGCTGTTGCTTTTAGAATCTATAACGCTAATAATTAAAAATGTTCAATGACGTGAACCCAATCTGTTCATTAAGATACAGACATGTAGACTTTATATCACCATCAAAACGTTGAATAGTTTAACCTATTTCCATTGAATACTTGACCAGTGTAGCATGATATTATTTCAGTTCAATCTGAATTACAGAAAGAAATCTACTTTTCAATGCATTCGAAATGTAATCAGCGACCGGATTTATAAGGAAGTAGAAAGGCTCACCTTGATAATCGTAGATTTTCTAATCTAACTATCATATGTTCTAACATTATACCAGACTCGGGAACGGCAAGTTGTGCATCCGGTAACTGACTTACTGACTTTATAAATTCAAAGTGATTTGACAATGTGATACGACCAAAATCAAGCATTAGAGAAACATCTGACATTGAGTGTTGTGGCACATATATAACTGGAGCTTGTGCAATAATGTTCAAACTTAGACGGGTTTGAACCGAGTTATCTACTGCTTGTTGTACCTAAAAAAGAAATTAAAGTTAGAATATATAGGGGTATATTGGTAGAAATTATATTTTTCTTTTCTCATGGTGTCCCTGTAGGCTTCCCTATAAGTTATAAGGAGACATACAGATAGAATCATGTATCTTCTGATAATATAAATGTAATCAGCTAGAAAAGACACGCCTAGGATGACTAGATTAATCGCTAGAAGATGACTAGAAACTGTTTCACATACTCTCAATTCAGTGGTAACAAAGGAGAAAGAAACAGTTTGAATCGATTGAATTCACCAAAACCTGTCTTCGTTGGACTAGTGAGCTTTACTAAAGTTGTTGCTTACATATCCTTCTAAGTTGTACAATATAAAGTTAGATCGCATCATAAACCGCCATCTCACAAGAGAATAGAGCAGGTGCTATATCACAGATGTAATAAAGTAATCTATTACTGTAAATCACGATAGTTTCAGGGTGTTTTTAGAGAAAATAAGAGATGGCATCACCTCTTGAATGCACTGCTTGAAAAAAGCAATAGTTATTATGATGTAGACGTGAACAAATAGTTGAACATTCTGAAATTTAAACTATTCCAAGTTCTACTGGTGGTCAACCAAGCAACTAGCACCATCAGTTGTCATAGAAAATAAAGGTCACCAAGGCATCAACGGAATTTGTATCGAAAGAATGAGGATCAACAAATCTAACAAACAGTATGCTCAAGTTGAACTGCTCTGTGATTAAATTTGATTCAATATCCACTGTTTTGGCAGAATTACTATGCATTTCGGGTGGTTAGAGACAATCGACAAGAAGTTTAGGACCTCGTCTTGATACTTGTCTGCAGGTTATATCTGCAACGTTGAAGAAACAGATGCCCTTACCATGGATTCAAACTGACATTAGTCGGTGCTGCAGTGCGAGACGTTGTATTCCTTTTTATGTTTCATTCCTTTGAGTTCCGAGTGGAACATAGGGCTTCAAGCTTTTTAAGCTTTGAAGTTCCAGTAACGCTTGTGTTGCTTTTACGGAGTGAGGCTGATAGCCTTGCGCCCAACTTTCCCTCATTACCAGCCTTACTACACACTAAGCTACGTTTAGGAGTGTGTCGACCAGGTATCAAACCCCGGCTCACGTGGGTGGTTGGAGAGTATTCTACCATTGAACCATCGACGCGAGATGTCACCGGTGAATTATTCAGGCTCACGATCAATCTCCTGTAAGATATTACACGTTATTAAAAATCGTCGATCCAGCCAAATAGTTCAAATGTGACTAATATTCGTCATAAACAGTTGATGCCATATGTTATCACTAAACATGAAAAATGTAACTCGAAAAGTCATGAAAACGCCACTAACCTGCTGAACAGCTGCATCTGATAAAGCTTGAACCTTATTTAGCATAGCGTCAGCTGCATTTTGATAGGCTTGCATAAAATTCTATATTGATACAGTGTAAATAAATGAGGAGAAAAAGTGTTCCAAAATGTATATTAAAATAATCAATAGTTTAGGAAAGAATAATACATTTACATAAAAAACTGCTCACCACTAATATTAAGAAAAAGTTACTTATTTATTTTTATTCAACAACTAAGAGGTATTTATTCGAATGTTCTGTGACTATAAGAAAAGTTCCATGTTAGGTGAATTTATTTCATTCAATACACACAATAACAGAGTCATGATAATTGAATGAGCGCGATTTATTGCTCGTAATCAAATCAAGGTATTCACACAAATTCTTAACTTCCTTTAATAAACTGCTCTCCTCCTTGTCAAAACATTGTACTAGCGTAAAACAAGAAGGAGTGGATCTGTATCAAATAAACATGAAGAAATTAGACCACATTGTCCAATTCCACTTGTATATTATAAGACATTATCTGAAGTTCCCATTCCGAACGGTTCTTAAAGTACCTAATACTCTAGATAAATACAGATGTCATCTTAGAAACATTTCATAACAATAGTCATTTCGGTGGGAATGGTAATCTACGTTCAACAGTAGATTCGCATCCTGTTTCTATTCAACAACATAGAGGAAGAGCAAAGTGTAAAACAGTTTATGAACACGAATATGGTAACTGATATGCAACACGTTCACTTAACATCAAGTAGAACGTTAAAATAGGCTCACTAATTGAAATCACAACTAGATCTCTTATTTCCTGTCTGTGGTTACCGAATTACGATCACAAACAGAACACAGAAAAAATCATACAGATATGAAAGAATTCATACGAAAGATAATTTACTTGTATCTGACATTATGGTTCTTCTTATAATTTTACGAATAATCACAAAATGAATACATCACATTGAAACGTTACAGTTACAGTATAAACTATTTTCTAGCTAATAACATATGTTGGCAACCGGATATAGATAATTAAATAGTGAGGGAGAAAAACAGCTTAACGTAAAAATTCATGTAACATAATAATGTTTATCCGATCGAAGTGAAAGTCAACAACTGACAAGAATCATGATTACTAAAGGCATATTGACAAAAGCAGAAAAGATCGTTCCGAAAGATTAGAAATATATATATATATCAGTTATGTAATCGAAACCAGTATAGAATGAAATGCAATAAGCTATTTCGTACCGCAGATAGCAACGTAAGTATTCTTAAAAAAGCCTTTCATGAAATAATTTTTTGTCAAAAAGTATCCCAAAGAGATTAGAACCAACTGAGTAAAAAGACGTAGAAAGTAACAATTGAAGTTAGCTTTAGTGTCTTCTGCAAAATGTTGATGCAACCTAAACAGATGCATTTTCCACAAAATTACACAGTTAGCAACCAATTGAGGCGCATATTCCCTAAATGAACAATTACGCTTTTCATGATTTCATCATGAACTGACACTGGTTAGAGGATCATTGGAAAATCTGGGAGTACTGGACAGCTGTTTCGTCCTAGTTTGGGACTCTTCTCCTGAAACCAATCAAATCCCTGCAAACCAACACTTGAATATCAATCTGATGCTCACTAGTGACTGGCCCTATTCAGGTAAGTAGTTACCTGGGTTCTAGTGATAAGTCGTGACCAGTGGGGTACGGCAGTTCGGGTGTGAGGACAGATACTCGCCGGTGATGACATTCGCTAGTGGTCGCGCCATATCATGGATTGACAATTTACGACCATTGGATCGGACCCCAGTGGCTTAATGGTTTACGAGCTCGCCTTGTAACCAGAAGGTCCTAGGTTCGAACCCCAGTGGGTGCGTTCTGCTGAAGAGTCCCAAACTGGAGCAAAACAACTGTCCAGTACTCCCAGGTTTTCCAATGGTCCTCTAACCAATGTCAGTTCATGAAATAAATACAATAAACAGTGTATACAACAAGGCTAGACGGCAGTTGAAATAATAATAACCACAGGCAGCCTGCTTATTTCATTGGGGCTACCTAAATTTCCATCCAGTATAGTCCATTTTTAACTGTTCTAATCATCTAATTATGTTCTAGGATGGTTACATGAACTCGTGTACATTCTCAGTTTGCTGTCAACGTAATGCAGAGCACTTCTCAGAAGAAATGAGGGGAAAATATCGTACAGGATTGGATAGTGATTCAGATGAAACAACACGGTGTACTGCCAAATACTGTTTTCCTTTAAGATACTGCACTCAGAGTGGATATTTTGAAATCTGAATGCTCTAAAAATTCTGTACTGTGTTAAAATATTATCTATAATAAAGCTACTATTATAATATTATAATTCCACCTTCATGTTATTTAACCGTACTCGATGAGGTCACCAAAAAAAGAAATTATTTCTATCAGTTTTTAAAGCATAAACTATGAAACAGTGAATTAAACAAAGACAGCTTACCAGTAGACGTGTGATAAAATGATACAGAAATATTAAATGTAATTTTCCTATTTGGAGATTGATAGCCATGTCTACTTTGTCCGGATCAACTGAATTCTGTAGAGATTTAGTCCCATCTTGGAAATGTGTAAATTGCAGTGAAACAATATTCTCTGATGGATCAACCCACAAAATCTGTATAGTAAATAAGAGGAAAACAGATACGTCGTCAGAAAAATACAAATTTAAAAAAATTCTGCCTTGGTAATTCATAGCTGTTCTACGACCTTTTTCTTCTCATTTGATAATTCCCAATAGCACCCCCCCTTTATAGGAGCCCTTTATGCTTTCCATAAATCTATTCAGCTTTCATTAGTGCTAAGTGATATGTATTTTATTTTTTGATTATAGCTTGATTCCACACCGTATTTTGGTACAAGTGATATCGGAAGCCCAAATTTTACAGGCCAACCATTGATATCAGGTGTGCGTCGAGGGTGACCGGACCATGTGCATGGTCGGCGAGAGTCCTAACCGCTGTGCCACCGACGCATGTACTCCTGACTAATATAAATTAGAATCCTCTCATGCTAAAAAAGGAAATGCTAACAAGCTCAAACCAGGTTCATTAGAAGTAAACCTGAATTGATTGATCACAGAAATGAATCGTTGAAACCAGACTGAGTAGAATAGCAATAGGCGAAGAAATCCGGCAGGTGGTTTCTGATTACTTGTATCGGACCATTATATATATACTCCTAATCATATCAAGTTAATCGTGTGATTAACTTGATATGATTATGAGCAATAAATTGTGCTCGAAACGTCATCAGTAAATATTACTGTATAACACTGTGAGACTCTATAAAAATAAAATTTACCCATAATGGAATTACACTCTACCACAGTGCCCAAGTTTTATTCTTATATTATATTTATATATATATATATATATATATATATTTCATGCTCGTAGTCTACAGGTCATTTACTGCATACTGTCGTATCTAGTTTCTGAATGCTTCATTTAGGGATCTGCAATTAGCGAAGTCTTTGTGAAGTTTCATCGATCGACACGGCTAGGACATCTTAGATGCTTGCTACACTACTAACGTTTTTGACGAGCAATGTTAAATGAAGCAAGATTAAGCTGGAAAATATTTAGGGACAGCCACACTAAAACATTTCATCGATCCATAAAGTCATTAACTGTTTGTCTGAGTCACGTATGGAGCTGTAGGTACTCGACATACAATGGATCAGTGATTGGAGACTTTGTTGAGGTGGCTCTGTATCATTTAGAATAGTGTAGATAATTGCACTCCTTTACATCTTTCAGAGGCTTATATTTAAATCTGAAAAAATAAAGTAAATAATGATTTATACTAGTTTTTGTTTTGTGTTGACCGCTGTGTCTTGTATAGGATACCTGCTTAGATGTTATTTTTTTCTCTGAATACAAGATGTCAGAATTTGTTTATCTCCTCAGAAAAGTCCTGCATAAGTGTTTTTTTACCCATGGAAGTCTAACTTAACACCTTTATATGATGAAAAAAATTTCCCTACGCTTATCAATGAATTGGAAGATACTCAATGTTCATTTAGAAAGATTGAGTAACTAAAATTTAGGACACTGGATGATGATCGAGCACAATATGCACTTATTTCGATGAAATGAAGGTGTGGGAATGCAGAACTTAGGATTGCTACGATATATTGTCAACTACACGTGAAACTAGTAGCTTCATAGATGTTCCAAGACAAAAGTCAAGCTACTAGGCAGTAGCTAGACTTTTATACTTCTTATGATTTTGATAAATTTGTTATCATTGCAATGGTATTCAAAATAATTACACAAAAGAGAAATTATTTATGCGTAGAACTGACCTTTCGATAAGATGTATTTACAATGTGATCAATTACACTGAATTCTGATAAAATTGTAGAAGCTTCTAAAGTATTATATGTTGTACGAACATCAACTCTTAGACCATTAACAGCAATTGAAAGTAAATTGGCATCTTTTGAACCCATTGTTATTTCAACTTTGTCCATAGTTGCATTCACCATCCATTGTGTAATATTCAATTCACGAATCAGTGCAACTTTACCTGATGAATATATAACAATAGCACAATGCTAAGAAGTACATTTAAAATGATGTGAATTGGATACTAACTGTGCATTCAGTTGGAAACTAACATAAAAGTAAGGAAGTATATCTGAGACTATGAAGTTATCAGTGTCTTGAAAGTTCTACTAATATATATCACAAGTAGAGTGAAGACATGGAGATATTTATAACTCTTAAACCAGGGGTAGGCTTGGAGTAAATCATATAATTTCCCCCACTTTAATTTTAACATCGACAAAATTTTAAAATTAGCCCTGGGAGTCGGTGAAAGAAGTAATGACCATAGTAAAGTACAAATGTGATGCGTTAGATTTGTTGAAGTATTTCAACTACCTGAATGGATTTCATGTAACCTCGGAACTCAAAGATTTCATACATCACCAGGTAAAGGTTTGAATCGTAATCAGAAGCGACTACTGAACGGTTTGTTAGAAAGGAAATTTTCTTGTGAACTATCCGGTGGGTATTGTAGAAAACAGCCTAATTTAAACTATCTGAATAAGGATTAACACGAGACAGTTCAAGGCTTCCTGACGATTGCCTCCAACCATCTAATACCAACAATTCACAGTGCACCGTAATGGCGAGCCACCTATCATGGTGGCCACATTGCAAACATGACTGATAGAATTCAATCTGCACCGAAGATAGGACTAGACACATTACACTAGTTACTGACTAGTGTGCAATCAAAAATCTCCAATACAGTCCTACAGGAGGTTGGTCGCGAGCCTGAATAGCTGAGTGGTAACGTCTCTGACTGCAGCACTGGGTGAGTTCGAATCTCAGAAGGGATATGAGTTCCTTTAAGGTTACAGATACACCTTGCTGATGAGTGCCAACTAGCACGAAACCTAGGTCAAAGCTTCGTGCCGATCGCCTCCAACCATCTGATACGAGATAATCCAATTAGAAAACATGGAACAAAAAGAAATTAAATACAGTATAATATTCCTTATACTCTCTATTTGACTATATTACTGTTGGTTAAAATTACCTGACTTTTGTGCTTCAGACGCTGCTTCAATACGTATAGTACGACGTTCATTTTTTCGAGCAATATGACTTTCAACTGCATCTACAGCTGTTAGCCGTGCAGGCAGCTGTTTATTCATTTCAGCTTCTTGTGCAGCCCGACGTTTAGCCTCTTCTAAACCTTCTTTATCTCCAATACTGGCAGCCCATTCAATTTCAGGTGTTTCTTCAACTTTTTTCACTTGTTTAGAAAGTGTTAATAGTAGATTATTGAAATAGTTCATTATTAGCAGAGTAGCCTCTTGATGAATGTACACCTATAAAAAAAGATTATGAAAACAAAGTAAACGGTTAGCTGACTGACGATGTATAATAAACGGCACTGTAAACGTTCTAACAATTTTACGATTACTGAGTTATATGGAATATAACAAAAAATAATCGTGTTATAATCACGGGCTGCTTAGTAAACTCAATGATGTGACTGCTTTTGATAGTATTCAACAACTGATTATTATTTCCTTTAGTTCCTAGAGGAACATAGGGCTTCAGCCCCACGACTCCACTGCGTTCGGTTCTCCGCAAACGTTTTCACCTGGCTCCATGTCTGCCCACATGCTTTCATTTCCTCTTCACATCACCTCCTCAATGTCACCCTTGGACGACCCACTCGCCATTTCCCATTCGGGTTCCACTCGAGCAATGGCCTGGCGTGTGATGTCACTTGATGGTTTTCTCAGAGTATGACCAATCCACCTCCATTTCTTCCTGCATATTTGTTGCACAGTTGGCTCCTGCTGGGTTGGTTTGCTCATTGCCAGAGATCCCTGTTGCTGATCTTTTCTGACCGGCCATCTGATCTTGAGTATTGAGCGAAGACAGCTGTTGATTGAGATGTGTAGTTTGTTTGAAGTGCCCTTCGTGACGCGGCTCCAAGTGTCTGACCCATATAGTAGTGGCACTGACTTCACATTGGAGTTGAAAATCCGGATCTTATTTTTCCTACTGAGTGCTGTCGACCTCCACACAGACTTGAGAGAAATGAAAGCTTGCCTTGGTTTCCCAATCCTCGCTCTGATATCTTCGTAAGTTCCGCCTGTACTTGAAACGATGCTTCCTAGTTAGGTAGGTAGATAGGTAGAGGAGGTTGCTTCTTTCAGACTTCTCCCATTTATGCTGATTGTTATCTGTTGTTGTTGCTGTTGGGAAGGAATCTTCATCACCTCTGTTTTCTCTATGTTCACCTGAAGTCCTATCTTTGATGCTTTTTCTGCCAACTTGTTGCTTTTCACTTGCATATCTTCCAGTTTGTGGGAAATCAGACATATATCATCGGCGAAGTCCAGATCCTCCAAGTTTTTTGTGTGGGTCCATTTTATGCCTGTTTCCTCGTTGCCCGGCCCGCCGCTGTCTGTACAATCTCTTTCGTCTTAATTTTACCATATGATTCACAGAACTTCTTTTGTGGTGGTGTGATACAGACAATGTTTGTCCAACGGAATATTATTCTCACATATTTCCACAGTTCAATACTACGTTAGCAACAGAATACTACATATGTATTTGAACATTCTATTTCATGTCGTTTAGTGTAAGCCAAAATCATGCGCTCAATGATAGGTTAGAGAATATAAAACTGTGTACATAAAGACAGCGGGTTTGATTAATGGCTTCCGTGTCTTGCCGTCTGCTGTTACACTTTGTTCTTCTTTATTCCATGCTGTTCTATTCTGTTTTGTTCTGTTTCAGTCTACGTTATATCACATTACTAACACATTTCACTTATTTTATTGATGACACTTTTCATTCATTTTGTATTCACATCTTATTTGCGCATTGGAACATGATAAAATTCACATGTTAACAACATTTGTGAATGAACACAACGAAACATACCATCTAATCTCACCAAACAAGAATATGAAGCCTTAAGAAATTTGAAGAAAGACAAAAGCATCGTTATAACGAAAGCCGACAAGGGAAATGTCACTGTGATAATGAACAGAACGGATTATGAAAAGAAGGCGATCGAACACCTATCTGAAGGACCATACTTACTCATTGAAGAGAAGAAGAAATCCGCCGAATTCAACAAAATGAAACTAAATACAAACAGACTCCTTCAAGAAATGAAACCCAAAATTGGAAATCCTCTCTGGTTTAAACTAAAACCAAAGTCTTATGTACCTTCAAGATTCTACGGTCAACCAAAGATACATAAACCCACAGTTCCATTGAGACCAGTAATAGATTTCACCAACTCACTGACATACAACCTACCTAAATAATTACTCTCGATACTACAACCACTACAAAAGGACACTCAAAATATTGTGAGAAATTCATATGATTTCAAATCCCAAATAGAACACCGAGAAATTGATAAAGAAGACATTATGGTAAGCTATGATATTAACTCATTATATACTAGTATCCCTATTACCGCTATCACAAAGATGTCCACTGGACACCAGTGAAATAATTATGAGCTTAAAATTCTGTCTAGAAAATAATTATTTTACATCCAAAGGGAGTTTATATAGACAGACAAATGGTGTTGCTATGGGTTCACCAGTCTCCCCAATAGTCGCCGACCTTTTCATGAATAAATTCGAAAATAACATCTTTTCAAGCATACTCACTCCTAAAATATGGTTAAGATATGTAGATGATACTTTTGTAGTACTAAAACGAGATCTACACAATTCATTCCTGGAGAAAATAAACTGTGTATCTCCCAGAATCCAGTTCACTTCGGAAGCAGAATCAGATGTCGGTGAACTACCATTTCTAGACTGCCTAGTTAAGAGAAGGGAAAACGGACATTTTAGTATATCCATATTCAGGAAGAAAACCCACTCAAATAAATATTTAGACTTCAAGTCATCACACCCCATCAGCGCAAAGATTTCAGTTGTTTCAAGTCTTCTTAGACGAGCACACTCTCTGATAACTGATGAGAAAGAAAAAGAAGAAGAAATATCAAACATTACTGAAACTCTCAAGCAAAACAACTACCCATGGAACTTCATCAACAAAATCAACACAGACATTAAGTATGGCCGAAAACGCATTCCGAAAACATGGACCTCAACAGTCGTCATTCCATATAGAGCAGAGACGTCAGACGATATCAGAAGAGTACTCAATCAGCTCGACATTAGAGTTTTCTTCAAAACATCAGACACACTACGAAACAACCTTGTCCATATAAAAGACCAAATCCCTAAAGATTCTCTACCTAATTGTGTCTATAAAATAAAATGCTTGGAATGTGATGCGATATACATCGGACAAACATCTCGAGAAATCAAAATCAGAAGAAATGAACACCGTAGAGCATCTCTTCGACCACCGAGAAATCCCGTTGAACTACAAAAACTTGAAAAATCATCAGCCATAGGTCTACATGCTATAGAATCAGGCCACAAAATTGATTTTGACAATATTGAAATCATCATCCAGAAAAACTTCAGAAATCACAAAGAACGTCTAATATCAGAAGCACTTCATATCAAATGGAATCCAAATTGCCTGAATAGGAATGATGGACTAAAACAGAATCTGACCTGGTTACAACACCTCCCTTCCCCCATGAAGTGACAAAATCAACACGAATGTGATAAGCAAGTTCACTATGTAAACACACACTACTTTTATAATTTTACACACCGATCAAATCCAACAATCTACACATGATGGTTTTGTTATCTTTACCAATTGACCAACTTGACAACTAAAAATGCCCCAGACATACGAACGATGATCAAGTTAGTAAACTTTATTTTGATATCATAACAGACGTACTATTACCTTTGTTATTTGGTTTAGTGATCTTCATTGCTATTTTTACTTTCAATATGTCCCTTTAACTTGACCTAAGTCTATTTTCTCACCCCCTAACTCTTTGTTATATATATGCTGAGATTTTGTAAATTCAGGTTTAATAATACTTTGATAAAGCTATTAGCAGCATTAAATAGCGAAACGTCAGTAAAAACAATATCGTTTTGTTTTTCATTCATTGGGAAATACAAAAACCTTTATTATAATGAACTTTATCCTCCTATCATCTATTTTATGCATGTCTATTCAACTTTGTGTTGACCTTTATTTATTTATTTATTTACTCATATTGTCTAATCAATTTATGATTCGTAATCTATCTACACCAATATTATCGCACCTTAATGTTTCTACTCAATGTGAAATTTTAAGATAGATATATAAATAAATATAATTGTATAGCTACGAAAATGAAAGCATCGAAACGAGAAGTCGCATAAGTATCGTTTGTTTAAAACACTAAAACATTTTATTGCTTAAAAGTGATAAGCTTTTTAGCTTTGATGTATTCCACATTTTTAGTTATTATAAAGCTGTTTGACTACTCAGTATTTCTTAAATATTTGGTATACTTAAAGTTACACATATTACACTAACACAAGATCTAGGTGAAAATAGTATTGTTCGTTTGTGTACTTTGTTTTAAATGTTACTATAGGAAACTTTGATAAAGTAAGCCTTATATACACCGCTATTTGAATTATTTCTGAGAAGCTATACATAAATTTATCGATTTGATTTGTCAACTCCGGAAAAGTATAGGATAGCATTAGATGGTTGGAGACAATCGGCAGAAAGCCTTGGCTGCACCTAGGTTTTGTGCTAGTTGGCACTCAAGTCAGCAAGGCGTATCTGCAACCTTGTAGGAACTCATGTCCCTTCTGAGATTCGAACCAGCATCACCCAGTGAGTACTGCAGTCACAGACGTTACCGATGGACTATTTGAGCTGGCGATTGACCTCCTGTAGGACTGTATTGAATACTTTGATTGGACATTAGTAACTAGTGTGGTGTGTCAAGTCGTCTGTTTGGTGAAGACTGAATGTGGAGAGAAAACAGTCTGGTAGTATACATAATCTTCAATATCAGTTTCCTCGATAGTGGTATCAATTTCTTAATTTCCAACCTAGAAATATTATCAATTAAATTGCCATTATTATCAGTGATCTCTACGTATCATTATTCATTAGGCGTTAAAAACGCAAGATTTCAATAGTTGAACTGCCAAACCACTGTGGTGGATCCATACACTTGAACACTGGTCCTCATTGATTATCTCTGGTCATGGTAAAGGTTTATTTCTCCTAATATTCTCTTCTTCTTATTTGATCTAATTTTATTTAACTCCTGGGTCAAGTTATCGACAAACGTACTTGACAGCAATCTCTCAAGATTTCAACATGACTCTTAATTGTTCAACGGTTGTATTTTGCTTCTAATCTAAGCTAACTTCATATCCTGAGGACAAAAACAGCTACGTCAAATAAAATAAAGTGAAGGAACTTCCTAGAGAAGTATGATAAATATAGAAGCAAAGATAACATTTGATATTTAAATCAGCGTAATAAACAGTGTTAATGAAACAGGAAGGTGAAAACAATGTTAATGTGTCCGAAAATTTACGGAAAACGTTGAGTACCAGGATGCATACCCGTATAAACGTGAGAATTAAAAAGCAACTTACATCTAACACCTTAAAGTCACACTGCAAACGATGACGTGTATTTTGATATTGTGTATCAAAATCGGGAGCATTTTTCTCTGCAATAGTTAAATGCACTGACAACAAATGATGGCCTTCTTTATGACGTTTTGTCCGTGCTAAATACACTGGCTCAAAAGTCTCTTTATTTGTAAACTGTGGAACAGCCACTGATAATGTACCAATATGGGCCTAATTAATTAATTACACAATAAAACACACACAAGAAATCAATCATAAGAGAGAAATAAGATCGTATAAATATCTAAATAAAAACAGAATTTAGTGGAAACACCGGGTGAAGTAAGTAAACGCCGAAACTGTTCTACTCCAGATGAGCGAAACTGCTAGTGATAAGAAATCTGTTTCACTTATGAATTCATTCCTGAAGAAGTTAAAACGGGCATGTTGAACGAAATATAGAATTACTCACTTATACCTCGCAGAAATTTATACAAATATAATTTTTCGAGTTTGACCACGGATTGATATCAGTTAGAGAACCATTGAAAACCAGGGAGTACTGGACAGCTGTTTCATCCTGGTTTGGGAATCACCAGCAGTACACACCTACCGTCAGGGTTCGAACCCAGGACCTACCGATTACAAGGCAAGCTCGTTTACCATTCAGCCACTGGGACCCATCTCAATGGCTCATGAATTCTAACTTTTATCAATTCGTGATTTTAGCGCGACCACCAGCGAATGTCATCTGCGGGAACTCCATCTCTACTTCTCACTCGACACCTAATATTTGTAGAACTATTCGGCCAAATCTCGATCAGAGATCATATAGCCTATTTTGCAATCGAAGATAAACTTAACATGAATTTCAAACGAAAATCCAAGTATGAAACGTGCATATCAATGCAAAAGTATAAAACTTTACATTCACTGATATGGATGCATGAAGTATTTAAGATAAACGTCTTAAAAGCCCTAGAAATTTTACGTCTCTAACACACTTCTTGCTTACATTTAGAGTTACGATTTTGACTTGCATTTTGTTTTTCTAATTTAAATGAATGTTATTTCATCATTGGTTAGCAATACTCTTTAATGTCTTAATTTCTGAACAAGGCAATATTTCATGTATACACTCGCAGTTGTTTTCAACCAGTTTTATCTTGTGTTAAGTGACACTTTTCCTGCAAGAATAATTTCGTTCCCTTCCCATCTCCGTGGTTAAGCCTTTTGGTGGTTTGTATTGGTGCTGATAGAATTGGGAACGGGTGTTTACATCGGAATAGACGATACGGACAAGCATAAAATGATAACATTATATCCAACAGCATAATGGCTTTTTCTTGTTTCCTTATAGTAATAAGATGTTTTCTGGGATACATGAAATTTAATCGAATCAGAGAGTAAACATCATTACCACCACATCACTTCCTCTTAACGGAGAACTATTGCTCTCTATATTCGATTGTGAATCCAAAAATTTATGTCAATAAATGACTGACCCAATTTCAGTAATAGAGGCATTTTAATGAGGTTGAATGACAGATAGCATATAATCGTAGAGTTGACTGCTGTTTAAAAAATGTCTAATGATAGGTTGGACAGTTTAGGCTTTTACTATAAAATCTTGAAGTTTATTTATTTCAAGTTCAGGAATAAGTACTTTGAAAAAGAGTCAAGGTGAAACAGAATAAATATTTATTAGTGCAACTTGGCTTTTATTAGTTCTCCAGTTGATCACAAATAGGCGAAAACAAAAAAAAACTCGATTCCTTAAATGGCTGGCTGGATTCAACATAGAACTTGGCACCGAAGTCCAGCAGTTCGAGTTGCCACGTTCCATATAGCACACAAAGGTAGACAAGAAAATGAGTGAAGAGAATCAATAGAGTTTTGACAAGTATGAGTGAAACAGAATGAGTAATGGTAGAAAGGAATATGAAAGATTACAGAGACTGAATACATCTGCGTCATTGACAACGATTTTGAGCCATGTCACCTATTGTCTCCAGCCATTGATTCTTAGAGTCCCGACGGCCCCAACCCGGATGTTCGCATCTCCCTACCTGACTCAGTTTAACTGTCAGGGATTTCATGGATTGATGCCATGTTCGATTCCTTAAATATTCACTATCTGGTCACCACAACGTCAACTTTGTATATTCTATAATGGATACATATTTAATTATTTATCTCATCGAGCTACTTTAGTACAGTACATAAAGATCACTAACATGTTAGAGAAAAAGGATAAGGAAACGGATAAAAACAAGTGACTGACAAAATTAAAAACTAAGAACTCAAAAAAAAAACTCTACCTTAATCTCTTGAGTCCAACGACGCTTAATTAAATTAGTACCAACTTCATGGACATTGAACGATAGAATTAAACGATCTTCAGCATGTTTTGCTGCTGCATCTGATTGACGCTCTAATACCTGAACTTCGATCTAGTTAAGAAAAGTAGAAAAAAAGCGAAACAACAAATGATAAAAATAAGTTAAATAAAATTTAACTTTGGCACTGTTTTTTTTTCATAATTAATTACGTTTATGATATAGAAGTATATCGAAGTAATTACAAACACTAAAAAAGTGCTAATCATATCTAATGTATCTATTTTTCAAATGTATCGATTTCACTGGAACAAAGTGGTACAGCATAGATACAATAAAACTAAAAAATTAGATTCAAGAAGACTTTTGGAAACCAGAATAGAACTAAAGGTTGAGCTTTTACCATTAAAAGAGACCCCCATGAACAACCTAGTACAGTTGAGGGTGGGTAAACTTCAGTGTTTCTTCTCGAAGTGGCCTCATATGGCTGCGCATTCATAGTCTCTGCCAGATAAGTCATATTCACTGCCTTCACGCGGTGGGATGTGTTCCTCACAAAAGTGAAAGGGTTAATACGAACGTCTGGAGCTTAAAATAAGACTGGTGGACACCCTGGTATGCATAAAGGAGATGGAAATCTCCGGTTCCAAACCTATGATGTACATGGGCTGTCTATCAGTCTGTTTTCAACATAGAACTTTGCACCGATGTGCGAACTAAACTAGTAGTCAATGTAGTCCAGTCCTGTAGCATCATCTTACGTTTGGCGGGAGTGAATCGCATGCCAAACATTCGCAGATTGCAGCTCAAGGTGTTCAGAAGACTGCACTTTGTCAGCGCCTTCCTCACCTAGCAGGGAGGAGGGCAATATCATCTGCATATTCCAAGTCAATGAGATTATTCCCTGGTAACAAGTCAATCCCTGAGTCGCTGAAGTCACTTAGGGTTAATTCCATTAGTACATCTATGATGAAATTGAATAGGAATGGGGATAATAGGCATCCCTGACGAACACCACTAGTTGTCACCAGTTCAGATGGCAACTCTGCCTAACCTCTCACCTGGCTGACTGACTGCATGAGTTTAGTACAGTTCAGTGCAATGTATTTACTCGGTATTCCCTTTACAGCCAAGCATCGCCATAGTACTTCTAGGTCGACAGAATTGGATGCCGCCTTTAGGTCAAGAGATATAAGGATTGTTGGACTCTGGTAAGTATGTCTATGTTCCAGAATCCGTCGAAGGGCGACGATGTGATCAATGAATCCTCTTCCTGGTCTAAAGCCTGCCTGGTTCTCTCGAGAACCGCTTAGTCTAGGCATGATTATTGAGCCCATATTAGTCAAGCTAATCCCCCTGTGATTATCACAGGAAGACTTGTCTCCCTTCTTGTATATCGGAATAATCAATGACTTACACCAACCCGATGGGCTCCAGAATCCAAACGGTTCAAATGGTGTGTCACCGGTGTATTTCAGCCAGCAATACTCGAGGAGGAAGGCGGTGCTTCGGTATTCACAACACGTGTGCAAGCCATCTCAATCGATGTAGCTTTAAAACCTGACCAATTGACTTCGATTCCTTACCTAACCTCAATATTACTCACTACATTATACCACCTAACATGGGAGACAGAGTGCATACATCTGTGGTCAAAGACAGCTAACCTCCTTAGGTCTTCCACTTTCAATGACCATGCTTTACAGATATAAAGAAGGACAGAGCGAACTACTGCACAGTACAAGGTTGCGTTATATCTTCAACTAGGCTACTTCTTTACATGAATCAACTGTGTTAAACAACCACCTTCTATTTAAGCCCAGTTAAAGTTAACAACCAGTAACAGTTGCATTTCACCACAGTTAATAAATAACGTAAACTGAATGGTCTCCTGATAGAAAATAACATGAATCAACAAGGTTGGAAGTTATCCGTGTGTGTGTGTGTGTTTGTGCCAAAGTTTTAGGGATTGAATACAGTTGACAAACAATCAGTTTAATGTAAAATTGACAAACACTCCAAATGTATATGATTGTCACACTAACTTTTGACTTAAATGACAGACACTTTTTGTGTACTTCAGTAAAGTTAGGCATATTTATCAATGAAGAAATGTGATTTATTAAAGGCAATATTATAATATCACTGATTGATCAATATAAGTAAGTACAACATTTCAAAAAACAAAGAAGAAAAAAAAGTCATCGTAACAACAGTAAAAATAAGTGAATTATGCTGTAACTTAACAGGATAAATCAACACTTACTCTGCGTATAACAAAATCCACTTTTAAATCAATCAATTGGGCTCGTTTACGCCGTAGATTAGATTGATCACGTTGACGCAAGGACTATTTGTTATTGTTAAAAGTGAGAAAAAAGAAGAACAAGAAAACACTAAGGTAATTTGTAGTGAATAGTTTAGCTAGGTAGCTAGCTAGCTATCTTTTGTACATGTAAATGGTGATAAAAATACATTTAAGAAACATATGTGTAGGTTTATACTGTAACTTTTCAAGTTAAGCTGAATTTTTCTTGAACAGAAAACATGTAACATCGATTCTGGTGTTGCAAACATAAGATAAGATGCTTGTATATAGCACAGTATATAACTACAATGATTGTTCTGGATGTATGAATTACAAAACCGATAAGTGAAACGCATGATAACTTCGTGCTCGAGAACATCTCCCACTATGGCTAAGTAAAGGTGTAGTTAAAACCATTAACAGTTCGATATTGGACCATCTGGTGAAAACCGGCCACAAAGCCAGCCAGCATTGAAGAATCCTTCTCTATAATCTACTGGGTGCCTAATAAATTGCCAAAATCATCGAAGCACCGCATGCTTCAAACAGCAGAGGCTATTGCAATTCGCCTCAAACAACCAGTGCTCTGTGTTCAAAAGAAGCAAGTCCAGCTCCTACTACTGCCCTGGCCTTCAGTAGAGACTATAAATTCATGAATTTGTAATATTATCTTTCTTAATTTTTCTGACATGCAGCTTATTTTATGTTGATGCCATTGTGCTGTAATCTATTAATATTACTAATTCGATGTTATTTAAACATTAATGTTGTTCATAACACTAATTCATTCATTCACTATAATGTATATATAACTGTAGAGCCTGATGATGAAGTTATCGAAAAGAGTACTCTTTGTTCAGTATCCATTCTTTTGAAGAAATATTTCCTTTAAAGTTTTACAACCACTTCACACTGATGGATGCCAATTGCAACATTCCTTCGAGGTATATACCTAACTGTTATAAGAAACTCGAGTCGCAAAGAATTCACAGTTTAGGACTTTATATTTTAATCTCCATAGATGGAACATGTACGAATCAGTAGTTCATTTGGTTGAAAAATGATTACATAATCCAATGAGCTAGAGATTCACATTTAACCAGTTTTTAAAATAAAACTTGCATAAGTTTGATACAGTTTTCTTTTTTTCCACTCGACTGTAACGAGAAGCATACACAGTTAATCACAAAGAGCTTGGAAAATCCATCTGTACACATCTATAATCTCTCTTTCTGTACAAACAAATTTTGATTGGAAATGGTTATCCGAAAAAGCTACTAAATAATGTTATCAATAAAAAGGAGGAGAAACAGAAAATTGAAAAATCTTGGCTATCGACGATAGCCATTCCATATCGAAAGGAGACAGCTGAACAACTTCAAAGACTACTTGCTTCATATAATATTAAAGTCTATTTCAAGCCCTCTAATTCTCTAGAGAAAGCTTTGGTGAGAATGTCAAAGATATGTTTCCCAAAATGACACAAAACAACTGTGTCTATAGGATAAAGTGTTCAGAATATGAAGCTTGCTATATAGGGGAAAGCAGTAGACAGATGGAGGTTGGAGTGAATGAACATAGTCTGTGCAAGAAGTGAAGTAGAATTAAAGATTCTAGAAAAAAGATCAGCTATAGCAATGCATGCTTTAGACAGCGGACATAAGATTGATTTCGACAATGTCGAAATTCTAGGAAGAGACTTTCATTCACATAAAGAAAGGTTGACCTCTGAAGCTTTGCACATTTTAACCACATGAAATGCAGTAAATCGAAGAAAAGGGACAGATTTATCACCTATATGGCAGACTCTATTATTCTACCTCTTATTATTATTATTGCAGCAGTCAAAGAAACAAGAAGATGCTTGCAGTTGCAGAGGCTTGTGCAATTCGAGTTTATAAACCAGGTCTCTGTGTACAAAAGGAGATGGTCGTGACTCTGAATCTACCATGGTAATACGTTTTACTTATTATTATTATTGATTCATTTAAAACTATCCTTTATCAGTAGGATTATCTTAACTCACTTCAACACCATTATTATTATTGTTATAAGTATTACTATTGATATTACTCTGTTTGCAATTCTTGTTATATTCTCTAATGACTAATTGTTTATCTAAGTGATGTAATTGAAGTGTAATGCAACTTATCTTAATTTTGATCTCTCATACTCTCTCTCCCCTTATCTATTTGAACACATGACCTGGAAAACATGCGCACCTGTCTTTCTGCATGACTAATTCAATGTAGTTTATTGGTTTATCAATCTTTTATCTCCCAATGTCATTTCAAAAGTATATATATATATATCTCCGTATGTAGAGTATTCAGTTGACGAGTTCTACCGAAATTTGATGAATTCATTAAATCCTGCTTTATTAACCTTTAATGCTTGTTTTAAATTCGTATCGGGAAATAAATGTTTTCAAGACATGAGAAAACAACAAAAACCTTTATGACCCTCTGTGACCTATATAAAAATATCATGTTTATCACATGTGAATTGATGTACATACACTCAGACGCATTCATACAGACAAATATGCACAATGACAATTTGACATTAGTCATTACAAATATATGATGACTGCTTACATATTTCTATTGGTACAAATGTCTATGGACAAGTGACCTTCAAATAAAATGACTTCAGTTTATGTAAAAAATTTTGACTATATATTTTGATGATTGATAAAATCCGAATAATTCTGCTGAAGAAGCTGTGGCTTACACAGAGAAACAACGTCCAGGAAAATCTTGTTTTGATTTTTTCTTAAACACGCTGGGATTATTTTAAATAATTTATAATTGATGATTTTAGTTACAGGTGTAATCATTAATTATAGACTAAAATACTATATCCCCTACACGTTAACCCCCACCCCGCTACTGATAATCGACGTTTAGAAGTGACCTAGTTGAATCTTCTTTGAGTACATTTGTCTTGGCGCAGAACACAGAAATAACGGACAATTATTTGACACGGTATTACATAACTGATAAGAATAAAAATGTGCACTGTGGTAGAGTACAGCTCCATGTTAGTTTGTTTATTTAATGTGGCAGACAGTGATAAGGTACTGCTTATTGGAGGACGTCTATTACCAATAATCACATAGTGAGAAAACTATTTCTGGATACAAGATACCATACTTGAAAACCAACAAAATAGTCATAATAATATGTACATTTTATTAGAAATACCAAATGAAATGTAAAAGTATACGAATATTAGGTATGCCAAAGTGAACAAACATATCGACATGTTAAATGTTAAACACCATCTCTCAGTAGTTATAATTTAAAATTACGTATACATGGTAAAACAAAACAAAAAAAACACAACTAATGCATATATGGGAGAGATAAAATTTCAGAAATACTTACTTTAACAGCTAATGATTTAGTTCTTGCACGTTCCAATCGACTTGCATGATCGTCACTTTCATCTAAATCACCCTCTGATCTTGACTGTTGACTAGTCTGATCATTTTCACTATCCTCTGGTAAATCTTCTCCTGTGTCTGACATTAAACTGCTTAATGTTGAGTCACTGTCACTTCTGTTAAACTGACGCGTAACTCTGATTAAATCTCTTGTAGCTAGCACTGATCCAGGTGCTATTGAATTAGGTAACACTATAACATCCTGTTTAGGCGTAGGAAATAGTATCAAATTAATGCATATATTATCAGTAGTTAGGTCAGAAAAATTAATTAAAAGAGATAGAATAAGCATTTAGAATAAACCTTTATCACCGAATACAACAGATGAGACGGACACGTACTTAATTATTAAGGTGTAACTAGAATTCAGTGAATTTTACATAAAATAGCTGGTACATGAGTTAGGCAAGCAAAGTTAGATAACTAAAATTTTACTGTATTCTAACAATATTGGTATAACAGTGAAATCATGGTAATCTGGATTGTGGATACTAGCGGTATATTTAACAATGCTTGTAAAACATTTAAAAATAGCTAGCGACAAAAACTGAGAAATTTAACCCTTACAACTAAGCATCTAATTATATTCACTTTTTTATTGCCACAGAGAAGACCACCATTTCCTGATTCGTTGAGAACTGATTGTACGTCTTTATACTTTCTGTATTATTGTTTTTAATTCCACTTGCTTCCGACAGAATGTAAAATCTCTGTGTGATGATGGAAAAGTGTGGGTGGTTGATACTTCCATATAGCCTAAGCCATCGGTTGGTGCGTCACGACGTCTCCCTGGTTGGAGTCCGAGAGATAGCTCGAATCGATGACTCGAAACGTTATCGGATATGGCCAAGAATCGTAATCAATGGCGAACGTGCTGCAATTTCCTCCTTTCTTCCCTTCCTGATGATAGTTGACGAATACTGTTTGAACTTGTTAAATGACTGTTTTCCTTCCAGATGAAGTTCTTTTTCTGTTCTCTACTTATATTTTTACTTTTAATCTATGTTGTTTTATTATTATTGTGTGGTGCATCGTTTTGGTGCCACATTGTACCAAGTTTTTCTGCATTTCAATAAAATAAATAAAACCTGAAAGAGTAAATGGATTAGTTTTGTGTAACTGTAGAACCCAATGTACAACTATTTGTGGCTAATTCCACATGGTATATTCAGAAATAAGTGAATTTATGGAACATACCTGTTCACTAATAATCATGGCCGGCTACAGATAGCCATTTGATCAGTCGAGATGTACACTTGTTTAGGGTCGACCATTCTTAAACTGTCTTCCCCTGAGTGAGAAGGCAATACAACTCGTGTGTTGGTTGTTTCGAGAAAACACCTCAACGCTGTTAAACCTCTTTGCAACTACATTGTGCTGCTCTCAAAATAAAATAAATTTATATAGCCGGATATCACGTCTACTAAGCCAGAGATGGCGTAAACTGGTATTGTCTAACTATACTTTCGAAAAACTCAAAGTCGATGATAGAAGGAAAGGCGTTGGAAAAAACCAATAAAGAGGTAGAATCTCCGCGAAACTAGTATTTAGATACATTAGTGTTATCCCTTAAATACTGTTTGAATACAAAGACTTAAACTGTAGTCAAAAAGTATCCTAGTATATAAAGTCTTATTACAAAATACTTTTAAGCTTGGTTTGAGATCAGAATACTCTATGTGAATAATTAAATTCCACACGAAAACTATCCACAATCGTATATTTAAAAAGTCATCATAAAATCGTTTGACGAGTATTTCATTCTTCGATATATTTGGTAACAATGAATAGTTGATTATCATAGATTACAATAATAAATTATAAGCGTAAATACTTACTTTAAGTAGATCATCAGCATTCGCTGGTGTTGTTAGACTTTTATCTGGCTCTGGGAATGGAACATTTACAATTAACTCATACAATGATTGAAGAACTCTATCTGTTAAATCCACACTGAATACAGGTAAACAACCATCAACAATAATTCTAAAAATGAATAAACAAAAAAGTAAAAGTGTCTTGTATATTCATTATAGAAATGGGAAAGTTACTGATTACAACATGGGGTATTCATAAAACTACTCAGTATAAACTATAGTGTGCTTCTGAAACAAGCATGCTATTACTAACTTTAAAAAAGGAGGAATTCTCTTATCAACAAAACTAACAAGCAGAAAAAAGAAAGAGTTGTTAAAATCTCTGTAGGAAACAAAGTGATTAGCATCAAAAGATTTAAGGATAATTGCAAACAAGGAAAAAAAGACTCGTAAAAACATAACTGACCCTTACAAACCAAACTATAGAAAATTAATCTGATGCTTGCTAGTGACTTGCTACAAGATGGAGTTTCCTGGAGTTCTAGTGAGAAGTCGTGACCAGTGAGGTCCATCCAGATGTCACGTGTGAGGATGGATGTCCCATCGACGACACTGGTTGGGGTTGCGCTAAATCACGAATTGGTAGAAGTTAGAGTTTATGAGCCATTGAATCGGGTCCCAGTGGCTGAATGGTATACGAGCTTACCTTGTAACCGGAAGGTCCTGGATTCGAACCTTCTGTGATAGGTGCGTACTGCCGATGATTCCTAAACTAGGATGAAACAGAGGCTGTCCAGTATTCCCCGGTTTTCAATGGTTCTCTAACTGATATCAATCCGTGATCAACTTGTAAAAAATAACTAACCCTTACAAACCAAACTATAAAAAAGACTAAGCAATCTTACACACTACTTATAAAATTATGACTGCTCAGCCTATAGAGGAAGCTAATGGAAGCAATTATTAACAAATGAAAAGTTTGAAACTCGACATAGTTTTAAAATAGTACTATTCACGGGATCACAGTAATACCTATACAAATAATTAATGCAAGTTTACCTTGGTAGATTTATATCATTATGTAGTAGACACCGTTTTAGTGTGCAGTTCAAACCCAATGGCTTGAGAATATGATTCGGTGATTTGTCCAGCTGCCTAAGGCTTCTCCAATCCTGGCCTGAAATATACATTCAAAAGGAAAAACAAAAACAACAATGACTCAAAACACAAAATAGCTTATTACTTAACAGTAATTAATATCGCTCACTCGGTCATATACATACAACAAGCTTTACTTTTTGTTATAATAATACAGAAGAACAGGTTTTTCATTATCCAAATTTCCTAGAAAATAATTTCTTCAAAATGGTTAGAAACTTTTGAAACATTGAAGAGCGTATGTGACACTACTCTAACTGATTGTACAGTTTGCAAACCCCCGAAGCACTGAAAACGGACCCAGAGACTGCAGCAGATTTTCTCACGCCAATATTGCAAAAGGTTTGGAAAGAAGGAAAAGTACCTACCGATTGGAAGAAATGGCTACCTCGTCAAGCTGCCAAGGAAGAGTGACTTAAGCCTCTGCAAGAACTGGCGTGGAATACTGTTCTTCTCCACGCCAAGTAAAATACTGAGTCGCATCATCCTGGAGAGAATAAAGGATGCACTGGATACAGAACTCCGCCCCACATCCGGAACAAGCTGGATTCAGTGAAAGCCAAATCATGTGCTGATTAAATTGCAACTCTACGCATTATCATCACAGAACAAAGCATAGAATGACAGTCAAACCTCTACCTCAACTTCATCGACTTCGAAAAGGCCTTCGACAGACAGCGTTGACCAAGAAGTAATTTGGAAACTACTTCAACACTACGGCGTGCAGTGCCCAAGTCTTTATCAACCTCACTCAACGGTCGGCTGTATGACAATGCCACGTGTCAGGTGAGGCACAAAGGGAAACTGAGTGAGGCATTTGAAGTGAATACAGGAGTAAGACAAGCTGGTTGCCTATTATCACCGATGATACTCCTAATTGCAGTGGACTGGATTATGCGTCAGACTGTGGGGAGCGAGGAGACAGGAATACGCTGGACAGATAAGAAGACTCTAGAAGATCTGGATTTCGCGCGTGGATGATTTGTGTTTAATGTCACACAAACTCGAAGACTTACAGGTGAAAACCAACAAACTGACTGAAGAAGCAACGAAACCAGGATTGCAGGTGAACACAGAGAAGACGGAGGTGGTGAAGATAACCAATCAACAGCAACAACAAACAGAGCCAATCACCATCAACGGGAGAGATTTAACAGAGGTTGCTTCCTTCACTTACCCGAGAAGCAGTTTTAACTACAGGCGGAACGGGCGAAGATGTCAAAGTCAGAATCGGAAAGGCAAGATATGCCTTCAACAGCCTGAAACCAGTTTGGAAATCTTCCGCACTCAGCCTGCTGGCTGTTGGATTCAACATACAACTTGGCACCGAAGTGCAGCAGTTCGAGTTCCCACGTTCCAAATACCACACAAAGGTAGACAAGAAGATGAGTGAAGAGAATCAATAGAGTTTTGACAAGTAGAAGAGTGAAACAGAATGAGTAATGGTAGGAAGGAATATGAAAGATTACAGAGACTGAATACATCTGGGTAAGCCATTGACAACGATTTTGAGCCATGTCACCTATTGTCTCCAGCCATTGATTCTTAGAGTCCCGAGGCGGGCCCCAACCCGGAAGTCTGCATCTCCCTGCCTGACTCAGTTTAACTGTCAAGGTTTTCACGGATTGATGCCATGTTTTCGTTTGGCCACCACTTACTCTTTTCCAACCTGCACCTATATCAGCTGGTAATGCCCGTCGGGGGAGGCGATGGCTAGGCATGCGCAGCACGTGACCTAGCCATCTCAATCTATGTAACTTTATAGCTTCTTCGATTGATTTTCCCTCTTTGCCCAACACTCTACGCCTAACGTCAACCTTATTATACCACCTAACGCGAGAAAGAGATCGTAAACATCTGTGGTCAAAAACAGTCAACCTTTTCATGTCTTCCGCTCTCAATGGCCACGTCTCACCACAGCCAGCATAAACAAGGTTCGCATTTTCAACACAAATGTCAATTCAGTCACTGCTTCTATACGGGTCAGAAACTTGCACCGTGTGTCACAAAAAGGATCTCCAACAGGCCACTGCAGATTGACATCAACAGCTGTCTTCGCTGGTTCCATACTGAAGATCATATGGCCAGAAAGAATAAGAACAAGAAACTCTGGCAGCCAACCAACCAAGCGTTGGTCGCTCAACAAATATGTAAGAGAAAATGGAGGTGGATCGGGCATACGTTGAGGAGGCCGTCGAATGACATCGCGCGTTAGCCAAGCCATCACTCGAGTGGAACCAAGTGGGAAACAACGAGTGGGTCGTCGGTGCGAGGGTGACAAGGAGGAGATCGTTTGGGAAGGAGGAGATGGGAGGTTATGGGCACTCGTGGACCCAGCTGAAGAGGACGGCAGAAAACAGTAGAAAATGGAAATGTGATGTCGAAGCCCTATGTTCCACACGGAACCCAAGGGAATAATAATAATACAGTTTGGAAAAGCTTACCTCTTTGAGAAAAAACAAATAATGGAGTACTTCGGATAACAGTCAAAGTGTGAAATTGTAGAAATTACTGACGCAGTTACGAAGCACAATACGAGAATGAAACCATCTCATCTAACCACGCAATTCTTCAAGTTCTCAGAGGTCTAAATTGATTCAGACCTGTGCTAATTTATTACTGAACTTGTTGTAAGTGTTAAGAAACATTTCTTTATCAGCTTCTCAATGTTAAGCGAGCGATAAGTATCAGACCTTTCCTGCAAACAAACTGATTTTCTCAACAGTATAGTTTAGATAAATGAAAAAAATGAGCGGTAACTATCATACTGTTTATCAGAAGTCTGCAATGATAGACTATTTGACATAACACAAAACCGAACTGTGACTGAATAAAGAGAAGATCCGGAAAAGACTTAACACTAGCTAGTAATATAACGTTTAGTTTAGAAAACCAAAATGAAAATAAACTGTACAAGGTGAGCGGTGAATGTTTAAAAAACTTTACCTGAAACAGATTATACATTAATCACAACAAATCCCACTACGTGTTCGCAGAAAAATTAAACGTAACTGATAAAAATAGTATTTTAAAATTTGTTACAAAAATTCAAATTTATTAATTCATTTTAGATTGCTTTAGAAAATGCATTAAATTGCATAAGCACATACAAGTATTGTGAGGACTATGAGACAAAATATCAATAAATACGATAACTGGAGTATTTGGCCAACACAAACACTAGGCGAGTTTGATTGCTTAGTGTGTATAAACCTTAGAGCAGTTGCTGAATTAAATTCTATCTTTATTTGTTTAACCAAAACCGTTAACTGCTATGAACTGTGTGTCTAACTACTCCTTATAGGCAGTAAAGTAAGTCACGTAAAATACAGAGTAGACATTTACTCAGTTTACCAGATTTTTATATTTGAATGTTTAGTGTAAGAAAAAAAGTTCCTGAAAGGATCACAAGATCTAACTCTTATGCAAAATATAATCAGTTTACCTTCATTAACCATTAAAACTTGAACTGATGATACACTGATATGAAATTTATCGTAAGCCTCATCTTTTAATTCATCAAATGTCAGTTTTCCAGATTTATGTTTCGCTTTACTGATGAGTTTTGTATCAGATTCTTTTATTGTTGAATCAGCTTTACTCTTCAAAGTCTCTTCATCTGGCTTGGTTTTGCAGGCTGATGGAAGTGTGGTACGACTTGAATTAACTACAAGACTTCCAAGGTCCACCAGTAAAAGACGACAATCACTGTAAATTATTAATAAGAAGAAACATTCAACATGAGCAAGCCACAATTTAATCATTATGCCGTAATACAAACTGATTATTCTAGACCTAACCTGTTTGTGAAGTAGTCAGTTCGAAAATGTGGAAGAATCCTAAATGAAGAGCAGACAGCTATTCTGCGCTTCATGGTTTTCAACGATTCTCCATGTGTTCATGAAGTATTCTTCACCTTTGGATTGCTAGAAATGAATATTTTTTTAATATAAAGTACCAGTAGTAAAATAAAAAGGAGTTATCTCACTTATGAAAGACCATTACTACAGTCAGATCCCTCGAATATGAACTACCAACCATATTTTATGGGATTAATCTTCATTTCTTCTGTTCAGTAACCTACTAATCACTTACAGAAATGATGTATGTAAGAATACTATCTATAAAAATTCATAAGTAATAAACTTAACATAGGAAATAATTGTTTCGAAAAAAATGCATGACAATAGAATTCACCTTCTGAAAACACCAGAGTCTGGTAGGATAAAGTAACTAGGTTTAATGTCAATACGAACATCTGTATAAGATCGGTTAGAAGCCAAATGTCGTAGACCGCTTGTTGTAACTTCTTTAGCTTCTTCAAAAGATGACAACACTGTATTCGATAATCTATTTAATAAAAAAAAGAAAAAGTAGGAGAGAAATAATCGAAATCAGCAAACAATATCAATAACTGAAGATCACATATTTCGGTGCAACATAAAGTGAACAATTACATGAATAAGTCAGTCAACAGTTAACAGTTTTTACCCAACTGATTGTTACTTACACAATCTTAACGTTTTACATGACAATTTCACGCTATTCAAAAGGAAAAATATAAACTTACTCTTGTAAGTGAACATCTTTTGGTGGAGTGAAGAAATGAACAATCTTATTGATAGTTTCAGCATCATAAACTATTTGTAATGGATCAGCTTGAACAAGTAAACACTGATCAGCTTTACGATCAAGAGGATTTTTCTCAAAATCAATAACCAACAAATGACTGGATTGTGATGCGGTAATTTTTTGAGAGACGCCATCGACCGGTGAGTGGCTCACACGACTGGTTATAAGTACAGGTTTGATTGAAGACTTGACAAGACAGGATTCTTTTAATGTTGGCTGAGCTCCAACAGCTTCTAGGCTGTCTAGTCGTAATGCAACACTGAAAGGAAAGATAAATTGTGTGGAGCAGTGAGTAAAAATTAAATATATGTATATATACTACTAAATGACAATTTCCCCATTAAATATAATTATAGTAGATTGCAAGAATGGTAAAAAAAAAGTATTAGTTGCCTTAGAAATTGAAAATAGAACTGACACTAGGTTTAATGCCAATTTAACTTTACTAGAGCAAAGAAGTACATACTGTTGCCACTTGTAAAATTTTCTAATGCACACACATAACAAGTAAAATGTAAAACAAACATGAGTCATTACAAAGAATTATACATGAATGCCATAAAAACAACTACTTAAAAAACATACATATAAAGTTGACATTCTGTTGAATTTAATCATGAAGAAAAGCCTAAACTAAGTAACTGGAATTCAAAATCAGTAGTTGATGAAAACACAATGTGACATACACACACATAAAATCAGTCACGATTGAGTTACATGTATCCAAAATCTGAACAATTTGTTTAATAACATATTATTTTATACATATAAATAATGCACCACTTACGCTAGAGCTTGGTCCCCAGCACGTTGTTTAACATCAGCAGTGAGTTTGTTTACGGAGAATTTAAGAATCTTAGGATCACTGAAACAACAAAAAAAATAGATTGACGTGATGAAATATTTGGCACTGGAATATTATTCAGACAGTAAGTAGTAAAGGAGGAGTCTCAGTGTAGTAATGGTTTGTATCTGAGACATCTTCAAGAGCTCTGGTAAAACTAGTCATATCACCAGCAAGGCTTATTCTGTAGAGGACTAACAAACAATAATGAAGCAATTATCTAGAACTAATAGGAATTCCCTGTTGTCACAGGATGCAGTGTTTGCATGTATTATTCCCCTATAATTTCATGAAATATGAAGATCATGTGAAGAGGTAATGAAAGCTTATGGGCGGTTGTGGAGCTAGGTGAAAATGACAGCAGAGAATCGAATACAATGGAGATATGCTCGCTTATGAAGCCCCGTGTTCCTTTCGGAACGCAGAGAACGAATAATAATACAATAATTCCTCAAAACAATAATTTATTGAACATCACCCCATGTAACTGAATGGATAGCAACAAGACGAGTAATTACTTATTTCTCTCAACCAAGAACCAAATTAAATGTCTGTAAGATTTAGTGTGATTTCGTGATATTATTGCTAAAGCCTAAAACATGCTACTTTGTAGCAATACAATAGAGCGTTATGCTTTGTGAATGTCTTCTCTTATACAAATAACTTTTAGTGCACCCTAAATGTGACTGTAAACAGATGGTGTAATAGTGACAAACCTGCATTCAAATAAGCGAAAGAAACTACTTGGTGTTTAAAACACCTTAGTTTGGCTGTCAAGTGTAACTGATTGTTAAACGTGCGTTGAATATATTTTAGTACTTTTCAGAGAAACTTATATCTACTACAGAATTACGGTTTACTGAGAAAAACAAAACATTTCTCCAAAGGCACACACACACACACTAATAAGACGGCTTACTGACCAGTATACATTCACACTAGAGGATTAAGTCTTACTAACAATCATTTTACTGTGTAGTTGGCATTCGATGGAATTGTCAAGTACCAAAGGAAGAAGGTAAACTGGTTTTTGCTTAGCCACAATTCCAAAGAAAAGAAGGATGTCCAAACTAAAGTGTAGCATGAATGTGGCTCATTAACTTTAGCAGTTAACTTTTAGCCAGTGGGTCTCGGGTTTGAATCCCGATACATCTACATCAGTCTAGAAGACTGGACAGCATCACCAGCCTTCATAATGTGAGTATGACTCACAGTTTGATAAGTACAGGAAAACAGATTTCTAACAACACTGACAAACCAAAGTTTTAGCACTGATCGAAGTTGCTATATTTTGGAATACGGACTCGGTTTTGAATTTCCTTAGAGATGACATTATTGGTCATACAATAAATAGCATGGGATATAAGCTGTTCAAGATGTCAAACTTACAAACCACTAAGAGGTAGTGCTTATATTTTAGGCATTATCAGTGTCTATTTCACAGAACCTACATTCATAGTGTATAGAAAAATAAAAAAATAGAATAAAAATCTCACATATAGAAATGATTACCAAGTTAATAATACTCACTTCAATTTATCATCGAGTAATACAAGACTCAATTGCCTTAAAGTAACGGCAATAGAAGAAGATACATAACTGGCTGGGAAATTCATAGCTGAACCTGAAACACCTGAGGCTGCTGATTCTGAATAATCAATGGCAGCATATAGGCGAGACTTCTCTTCTGGAGTCATTTCAGTTTGCAAACGTTTCATTAAATCACCTTCGGATGTGCTTTCTGTTTCATCTGGTGTAGATGAAGAACCCCGTGAAAACCAACTGAACCAACCACCACCCTTATTGTTAGCTTTTTGTTCCTGTTTCTTTTTAGAAGCATTGAACTGTGAAGTTGTGAAATAAATGAGGGAAAATGAAACTGAATATTTAAAAATTTTCGATTGAAATTGAACTTTTTTTGCAAAAAGTTAGTTTCGCTTAGGTTATGGACAAAAAAACCAACTTTCATATACATATTTCTTTTCACTCATAAATAAACTTTTGACGATAAGTAGATATTTAGATGATCACACGATAATGTCTCGGAGGCATCAGTGATGAAATGCTTTCATTATTCATGCATTACTCACCTTCAGTAAAGTTGTCTCATCATCTCATAGTATAAGAAAAAAGTGTTCAGTATACATTATTCTTGACAGTTATCGGTATAAGTCACTATGCTACACTAAGGGTGGCTGAAAGAAGAGTTTACTAGTTACGTTTAGACAGTCAATTCCCAGAGGAAAAGACCATCTGATTTGAGGTTTTCAACACAATGAGGTAAGTGGTATAAGTGTCAAACAAAAAACCACTCTTTGAGCCGATGTATGATTTCACCTAAGTAAGAACTAAGTTACAAGAAAGTTTAAAGAAATGTATAAAAGGTATTTTTCTGAGCTGTGTATTGAAATATAGCTTCAAATCTGTGCTATGAGCAAATGATTAATGACTGTGAGAAGACTAAACATTGACCATAATAGTGTAAGTATATTTCCTCTTATTTTCGTGAAATTTGAACACCTTATCGCTTTACAATTACCGTTTCTTTCAGATTACTGCCACTCCTATAAGTTTTCTGTTTGTCAAGTGTGTCAATTTGAGCCTATGTATCTCTGTACAGATCCCAAGACCTTATGAATAAAACAGTTTTCTATTACCGATACTAACTAAGCTAGTTCGTTTACAACTTCAAACTAAAAAAGAAGTTTATCAAGAGTAGGTCGTGAATTTTTAATCTATTTAAGTTAAATATTTCATAGAAATGTAAGGAATTGAAATCTATCCCATGTAACACTTCACTTTTTACTTATAACTTTCATTACTTCTTGTCATTCTCTTCACCTTCCTAAAATCTCATATTCATAGAATCATTTTGTGATTTAAAAAAATTGCTGATGCTCACAGTTTACTATGAGTCTTAAAAATAAATAAATGAAATTTTTAAAAAAATACAAACGAAACCAAGATTTAAAGACCCCAGTAACTAACTGTTAGAAAGTGTTATAAAATAACATAAAGTGAACAACACTGAACACATAATTTCATTGCATGCAAAGTTTATACGGAGTGTAATACAGAACGAAACATATTATTCACAGAAAAACAAAAACAAATTAAAATAGGATTCCAAAACCGAGATAAACGTGCGAAAAGAACAACGATTTGAAGACATTTTGTCTAACTAGTTCAACTTGAAATACAGTCAGATACAAACGTATGCTACACTACAGTATCCGGAATATGATGTCTGGTGTTAAGACTGTGCATTTCACATGCATATAATAAAATTATAGTAAATTAAAATATATTCTGTAATATAGTTTTAACTTCAAGTGGTATAAAGTTCACAAAATCAGTATAATCTGGACAAAAATGTTATTAATTTGTAACTTGTTGACTCAAACCTTTATACACTAGATGCAGCTAAAAGCCTACAGAACATATAAATTACACTGTTTCTGTTTTTGAGTAACAATTAAATAATGCTGTTTTGATAGGATGATACTGAACAGGAAGGGATTATGAAATAACTAAGTCAATGGTATGTTGAAACAATGAGGGGATTTATAGATAAGGTGTATATTTTTAGTTTTGTTCTGTTTTTTTTAGAGGTGGATGGCTAAATTGTGAAGTAATTGTTGCCTTCTAGGACAAAATCTTCAGGACTAACTTTAAAATGAAATTAGTTGTATTTCTAGAAAAAATAACCACTTAGTAAATCGAGTTCACTTGTCAACTTTTAAAATGCTGAGGAAGTGTCACAAGAAGGATGTGATACAATTTCATAATTAACTGAACAACAACCAACAGAAATACCAGTACCAGAATTACAATATATATATGTTCTAATAGGACGACACTTATCACAGTACATACACTAAAACATACCTTTTTAAAATGTGGTTTACGCTTTTTTACTTTTTTGACGGAATACTTTATTTAATGAAGGTAAGTAGAATTCGTTAAGAAAGAGACTAGCAGTGTTCAATAAAAAATTAGAATTTCCCAATAGTAACTAAAATAAATAGCTAAACATTCTAGTTGATACACCTAATGAATTGAAAACAGAAGTATCACCCAACAACTACTTGCACTTTCATGCAGTCGGCAGGTAGTCACACTTATTGTGTGAAGGCTAGTGATACTAACTGACCACGCAGACCTCAGTAGGTGGAGTAGAGTTTCAACCCTGTAACCCAGTTGTTGGAAGTTAAACACCAGACCAGTGGGCTACAGTTTCACTGATATACCTTAGGACCGAGTGCGTTGTGAAGTGAAGAAATTTGCACTTTATCCTCTTTCCTTTTTTTCCTTAGAACTAACGGAGTCTTACCCAACAGCTAACTTTTAAATGAAAATGAGACTTCTTGCGTCGACATACTGATGTCAAGTCTTGTGCTCGTCATGTCTAAGTTTTGTATGAAAACCACATACCACTTGCTTGAGGAGGGTTAGACTAAAAAATTTATAAATATCTGGCTTAACACTTTAATAGATTTCACCAGCGCTTTTTGAAATGAATATTTTTAAGCTGGGAGATGAATGTACGATTACAGTAGCCGCAACAAAACACATCGAGAGTAGAAAAAAACTCTTCAAACTTATTTACCCGGTATTCGGAGAAATAATCATTATGACACATGTGCAAATGCATACCTGGAGCTCAGCTTGTTGCCGGCACAACACAATATTGAATACATCCAAAAATTCTTCATATTCCTGCGAAGATTCAGAAAACAACAATAGATTGTGAGAATTTTTACTTGTAGCATACAAAAAATTAAATTGCGGGAAACAATCAACTGACAGTCAATCTCCAGATATCGTATGAATAGATCCGCTATGTATGCGAACCTGAGAAAATCAACTTCTATCAAAAAACTTTAAGCTGCACACCATACAACTCAATGGTTTTCTGGAAATTAAACAGTTCGTTCCTATGACGGAATTTGCGTTTTTCGACCGACTAATTCTTTTCCGTTTATAGTAGTAATCTCCACATTAGTGGTGTTGACAAAAATGGCCGAGATAACAAACGGTTTTCTAGTGAAACTAGTTTCTGCACGAGTAATTGTAGATACATATCCTCTGAATATGAATAACGCTATTAAACATCTGATTTATCCATGGATAAATGACTGGTTTTCGCTATTTCTGAATACTCCGCATGAATATTAGCGATCACATCCTAACATTTAAAACTGGAAATCTGCCAAGACTTAAATAACCATACTGGTTGCCAACCACACAAAGGTACTCAGCTGAGTAACTTAAAAAGTACGATTTTGAGAAAACCCTACGTACGAATTGCAAGTATCCACAACTAATAGGTTATTCTATGAATGTTACATTTTCTCAACATAAGATGAAAAATACACTAAATTATATTGCTGCATTTATAAGCCTACAATGTTCAATAAATGATGTTAAAGGAGCAAATAAATAAAATAAGGACACACAAGCCTACAGATAAATGTATATATATTTTTACCTCAAGATTATTTAGCTGAACTTGACTGAGTTTTTCTCCAGATAACTTCTTTTTCCAAATTGAAATATAGTCCCGAGATATTTTTCTGTGTTTTGCTATGTGTTCCCATGACCACATGCGGCGTCGACGACGAATAGACTCCTCTAAGATGGCATTGTATGCAAAATGCCACCTGAAAGCGAATAAAATCAGACGCAAACATAGCTTATTTTTAAGTTAATGAGATAGGAAGCTTAAGAGCGGCAGATTGTTACTACAGTGTTACTACTTGAATCATAATTACTGTACATGATCACTAGAGTATTTTTTTAAACAAAACAACCGGTGAACATCCTAGGCTTTGGAATATCCGTTACATGCAGATACATTCTGACCGAGACTAATAAAAAGCGTTAAGATAAATGGTGACACACATAGAAGCAAACGCAGGAGTAATTCTATTTGAGGACAGAAAATGATTACTGAAGCAATACATAATTCAGCAATAATTTATACGCTATAAACGAGTGACAGATTATATACTCATCACTTTTTAAGCCAAATTTAATATGTATTTTTAAATTGAAGTTTATCGTGAAGGATGCCAAACTGTAAGTGATGTTAACACTGTGCAAATAGTTCACTTTATAATCAAAATAACTTTCCTCTATGAAAAATGTGAAACTTGAACTGTTAACATAGCTTCAGACAGTTGAAGAGACCACACTAAAATAATTATAAACATTCAAATTATAAAATAGATGTTGGAACTCAACATCACTAAGAACTGAAATTTAGATCACTTTGGTTATTGAGAAACTGGTATCAGAATGCAAAAACAAGACTTTATCAGAATTGCATGGAGGATTTTATCATAAGCTGACATCAGTTACAGAACTACTGGAAAACCTGGGAGTACTGGACAACTTTCGTCCTGGTTTGGGACTCTTCATCAGTATGCACCCAACGCCAGAGTTCAAACCCAGGACCTTCTGGTTATAAGGCGAACTCGTAGACCATTGAGGCGCTGGGAGCCGATACAATGGTCCTTGAATTCTAACTTCTGCCAATTCACGACATAGCGCGACCATTTCGCAATGTCGTCTTTGATGAGTTACTGCCTCATCTTCAACCTGCTGTACCCTACTGGTCACGGCTTTCCACTAGAACCCCACATAAGTAGATATTTTAATGTCAAAATGTTATTAGATAACAAAACCAATCACTGAATCTTACCAAGCTTTACAATTTTGCAGAATAGGCACTGATGGTCTGTATTTGCGATATTTTCCCTGAATCATCAATCTATCTTGGGCGTCCAAAAAAGATGTAACATCATGATACTGAGAAAGGCTAAAACTTAATTCAATTTCAGAGAAATCAACAACTAAATCCATTTGTGGGACTGAATAGTTTGTTTCCTCTGGTCTTGTGTGGATATGCAACATAGCCGTAGACGAGATAGGTCTTATTACTAAAAATAAATTCAAATATATGATAAAACATACAGTATTGGAAGCCAGTGTTCAGATTATCCGGGCTAGCAATTGAATTGCGCATAGCACTCTAAGCGATAAAGTTTCACAAGTTCTTTTACTTACTCGTAGAGGAACTCTAGCTTTCTCCGCAAACTTAGTGGACATTGGATTCCAGTAAACTCCAAGGCTTGTTAGTTTAACAAACTATAGTGTTGTTAGAGATATGGCACACAAACCTTGTTAAATTCACGTATAGACTCGTCTTTAATAAGAATGGGCTTTTGATCATTATCACAAGTCTACAGGAATGTTGAAATTAACAAATATTTTTACTTGGAATGTTAGTCCACTCAACGTTAGTCCAAGAGAGAAAGTACGATTGGGAATACTGTAACTATCCTCATATCTTATATGAATATCTTTGATGGATATTTGCAAGTTTTTAATAACCTGGGCAGCTAACTTCTCACCAAAAGAGTCCACTTTTTGATCGTCTTATAAAAATCAAGTTGATTATTAATGTTGGATATATTACCAGATTGTTTAGGTTTCAGACGTGCTGCCTCCACGCTGGCTAACTCCTTTTGCTTCGCTTCCTTAGCGTACCGCCTCTCCTTAGACTCATCGTACTGCACAGCTGTAAACGTAGTCTAACTCAACAAGTCAACCCACCTATATTTGGAACAATCAGAACATAGAGTCCTGACAACTCGGCAACCGTCGGTTCCGTGAAGAGATTTTTGAAAGGTATTTTGAGGGTTAATGAACCTGAAAGTAAGAACAAAGCTTTCTACTCACTTATGTGTCCCTGCAAGACCTTAATAGGCAAATCCAAATCATCAAACGCATTAGGTTTGATATCGAGATTGTCAAGTTGTGCATTTCCTGAGCGAAATTAATGAAGATAATGCCTACTCACCTCCAAGTAGACCAATTTTCAGTTGAGATGCATTTAACGTCTCGATATATGAGCCCAAATATCTATTAATAAGCTCCACAACCAAAGACTCGAAAACCATCCTCTCGATAAGACATAAACTGAAGGCGAGGCGACCTTGAAATTAGGTCACGACCAATTTTTCCAATCATTCACCTTCAAATTGAACAAAGTTAAGTAAGTCCTCCAATGAACCTTTCGAAGTTAGAAAATAAACGGGTAATTTTGGTGTTTCATAAGTTTACTTTTTCTAATATACATTTCCGACTCCAGAAGAGAAAACAGGTCTCAATATGCTTTTGTTTACATTCCAGTTTTGTAATTATCACTACAAAAGTGTTAAAATTAAAATTGTCTTGAAAATCCCAATCTTGTTTCTTATGCTGGCTGAGTGCAGTGCATAAGATTTCCAAACTGGTTTCAGGTTGATGAAGGTGTATCTTGCCTTTCCGCTTCGGGCCGACGGATTTTGACATTTTTTTATAATAGCTAAATTCCACACCGTACTTTTGGTACAAGTATGGAATTTTCAGCAAATGATATCGGTAGCCCATTCATTCATTTCATTCGCTTCGACTGCCTTTGGTTGAAACCGTGCTTCCTAAATGAGTTAAGGAAGTGACCTCTGTCAAACCTCTACTGATGATGGTGATTGGCTCTACCTGTTGTCGCTGTTGGTTGGATATCTCTATCATCTCCGGTCTTCTGTGTTCACCTGCAGTCCTGGCTTCCCTGTTTCTTCAGCCAATTTGTTGACTTCCGCTTACAGGTCATTCGAGTTTGTGTGGCATTAGACGTAAATCGTCTGCGAAATCTAGATCTTTTAAAATCTTATCGGTTCAGCGTATTCCAGTCCTCTGACTCTCCACAGTCTGACGCATAATTCGGTCCACCACAATCGGGAATATCATTAGTGACAATAGGCAGCCTCGGCTTACTCCTGTATTCACTTCGAACGCCTCGGCGAGTTTCCCGTTGTGGGGCACTCGACACGCACTCTTGTCATGTCGCTGCTGGATGAGGTTGAAGCAATTTCCAAACTACTTCTCGGCCAACGCTATCGAAGGCCTTTTCGAAGTCGATAAAGTTGAGGTAGAGGTTTGACTACCAATTTGATTAGCACATGGTTTGCCTACCCTGAGTCTGGCTTGTTGTGAGTGGTGGGGTGGAGTTCTGCATCCAGTGCATCTTTTGTTCCCTCCAGGATTATGCGACTCAGTATGTTACTTGGCGTGGAGAAGAGCAGTATTCCACACCAGTTCTTGCAGAGTGAGGCCTAAGTCTCCATTCTTTTTAGTTTGACAAGGTAGCCTTTCTTATAATCTGTCGACACTTTTCCTTCCTTCCAAACCTTTCGCAATAATGGCGTGAGCGCATCTGCCGCAGTCTCCGGGTACGTTTTCAGTGCTCTGGAGGGTGGGAAATTCCGTCTAACCCTGCTACCTCCCGGAAATTCTGTCGCTTGATCGCATCCGAGATTTCCGCGTTAGTTGGAGGATTGGTGTTCACTTGTAGACAGTTCTGTGGGTGCTGTTGGTGTTATTTCTGAGCAAGTTGAAGGTGATGGTCGTTTCAAGAGTCCTTTGGAGTGATCAGCCCATTGTTTTATTTGTTTCTCCTCCTTGGTAATTAAGGTCCCTTGAACATCTTTTATTGGTTTCATCGCCTGTGTTGATCTCTTCCCGGATAGTTATCGGCCTGGTTATCTGATATAGTGTTCTGAGGTCTCCTTTGCCTGCGGCCTGCCTGTTCTGATTCAGTTGTCAGTGTGTCGTAGAATTGTTTTTTTCTTTCCCAACACTCTTCTTCACTCCTTTATTCAGTGCAGTGTACATAGAATTCGGCATCTTCTACTGTTCTGTTGTCCATCTTTGTATTGAGTCATCTCTTTCACCATCCTCCTCTCTTCCATTAGCTTCCAGGTATCCGGTGAGAGCCATTCCTTGTCCTACCACTTCTTTCTTCCTGAAACGGTTGTGCACGTTCCCTCAAACATCACCTTCGGAGAGTTAGTTCCAATCTTCTTCCCCGCAGGTTTCCTCAGCGATGCCACGCAGTGTCTCCAACTTTGCTCTGATCTGATTTGTAGTAAAGGGATCCCTTGTAGTTTTGTCCTTCGGTTCCTGGATGTTGAACTTGGAATGTGGTCTGTCCCCAGCTGTCCTGAAGGATTTCAGCCTCACCTTGAAGGTTCCCTGAACTAGATGACGGTCTGAGCCCACATCTGCCCACTCCTCCACCCTGTGGCCTGCAGACTAGCTGCGTCTTCACTTCCTTGAGCAACACTGGGACGAAGTCTATCTGGTTTGTTGTGTGTCCGTTAGACGAAATCCACGTTGCTCCGTGCATATCCTTGTGCTTGTACACGCTGCCTCCGATCAACAAATCATTGAAAGCGCAGAAGTCTGAGAAGCGTTCTCTGTTGTCATTCATTTCTCTCAGAGTTTCTCGACACATGATGAATTCTCTTCCCGTATTACCTGCTCCCAGGTTGGCTTGCATTTACATCGCCAATGAGGATTTTGATGTCACCGTTTGGGCTGTTGTCCATTACTGTTTGTAGTTGTCTGTAAAAATCTTCCTTCTCTTGTTCCGCGTTGTTTGTAGCACTGTACGTAACATTGGATAATTGTGACCTTCCTTCCTTCTGAGTTGAATCTTGCTGTCATGATCCTGGAGGTGAGGATTGGTTCCCACCGCATTGGGGCTACGTCTGCCACTGGTGACATCATGATGGCCGTTCCCCTCAGACTGCGCGTGGTTGTCGTCTAGGTGACTGAAATAGATTACTGACCCGCCAGTTGACAATTTAGAAAGTCCACACCCATTCCATCTGCCCTCGCAAATACCCAGCACTTCTGTACCATATTTTCTCATTTCTTTTGATAACTGGGCAGCTTTCCCTGCCGGCTTCATACACTGTATGTACATTCCGCGTCCACATCCTTATTCCTGCTTTCATCGAGAGAGGACTTATCAGCTGGCTTACATAAGAGATATCGTTTCCTGTTTGCTTGGAGCGACTTTATTGCATATCCCCTCAATGACGCTTGTCGCTATGTTGCTATTGGTTTCAAGTGGCATTGGTTTTGGGGGAAGATTTAACTGATGTAATATTGTGATTTCATAGACATAACTCAGGCTTATACGTGAAAGAAACTTATTATCCTGTAATAAAGAAAAGTTGTTCAGAAGGTAAGGAGGATGTTATTTTTCAGTTTATTTGTGTATATACTGTTGTGCACCGAGTTGCATTGAGTTCTTAGTGCAACTGTATGTAACTGCATTTACATAAAGTGAAACACATTACCCGCTAATTCTTTAGCCTTGCCCAACTAACCTGATGCCCAAGCCATTCTTACCGCCAACCTAACTAGCGGACGGAAGATATAACACGCATGGCTTCTGAATGGTGTATTTATTTAGGATAACTTGAAGAGTGCTTAGAGAATGACGATCGTACCACAAGCAAGCTGCCAAGCTCTTGCCCTTTGAAAGTTCAGTCATCCACCTTATTTCTATCTGCACAGATGAACCCACTGGTAGTCAAGCTTTCGTCTGGTTTGAAGTGCTTCTTTTTACCCTATAAGTACATTAACTAATGATTTATTTATCCTAGCGTAACTGAGATTAATAAATCAATTAAGTGCACCGAAGCGGATGTTCAGTGACAGAGTATCTAGCTTTTTGGGATGTTACAATGGGCTAAAAGTGTATTTGGAAGACCCTCACCCGAGAGTCCGTGAATAGTTGCTGAAGAGGAACTTTGAGTGGCGCCTCAACGCAACACAGTGCAGTCCCAGTGGTGCACTGTGGGAGAGAGGCAGGAATTGTGAAATAAGTTTTAAGTTCCTTAAATAAAAACCAAAACTGGACCGACGAGATCCTGGAAGCATTCTATGTAAACCTGAAAAATTCTAGATTTCTGGTCGCCATCGCCAGTGAGGCATCACGTCTCGGATTTCGATGTATCAAGCCAAAATATTACCGAGAAGTAACCCAGGTATGAGAGGCTTCAGAACAAAACCATGAAATACGATTAAAAGGTGAAGACAAGTCGAGTACCTGAAGGATATATTTTGGAAAAGATTGTTCAAAGAATACGTATTGACATTGTAGGCAAGAGATAAATGGATAAATGCCGAATTTCGCTGGTTGGAAATATACTGTTATTAGCATAATAGGTCACAGCAGGTAGATGGCATTGAAGAATGGTCGAAAAGGTAATTGTCAATGTAGTTGAGGAATGAACGACCAATATTTTTGACTTTATGTCGTAAATGTGGACAAATTCCTCTGATTAATTTTGTTTTAATTTTTAATTTCATTTATATTTTGAGTAAATCCGATGCAACATTGTGACAAATACTGAGAATTCCATTCTGTATTATAAATACTGTTTTTGGAATAAAGTAGATTATTATTATGGTTTTTACTCAAAACCAATTCCATATTTTGGAGGGAGTCACCGATACTGCAGCCATCGTTCCATCGTACGCTGTTCGTTAGAAGAGAAATACCATCAGAAGTATTGTTGTGCGTCGGTGGCACAGCGGTTAGGACGCTCGCCGACCATGCACATGGTCCGGGGTTCGATCCCTGGCTGACGCACTCCTTTACCTCGCTAAGCCAGAAATAATGCTGGTGAAGAGGAAAGGTTGGGCATGAGGCTAGCAACCCCATCCTGTAAAATAAACACTGCTACAGAAACTTCAAGCCACTAGCTTGAAGCCCTATGTTCCATTGGGGAACGTGAAGGAAAAAATAATTGTTATGACATTTATTCTTAGACATTGTGTATGATGACCTTGCGGTTGGTTCCATATTGGTGCAAGAAAAAACGATTCTCGAATCACCAATCTGTGTTCTGTTTTGTCGCGTTGGTTATTGCATATGGTTGTGGAAGGTCTTCTAAAGACAGTGTCGAGTCCAGTGTAGTTAGACCTGGACAGTGATAGTATTCTATAGTAATGATAGGTTGATGAAGACTGTCGAGGTGAGAACAAGATGCAGCATCATGATACGAGATATAACATGACTGTTGTCTAGGAGCTTAACCCTAAGGCTTACCAACTACAGTAGATGCCTTCATTATCGCACGCTTCTTACTCACTGGCTGCGCATCATCACTAGAGTCGGAATCAGAATGGGACGATACTCACGCTTTCGACACAGGCCCCCT